ACAAATTGGCACAATTCCTGGGATTATCTCTCGTGCACTGTTTACAAAATACCACATTATTATTCGAAGAGTTGTTGGGAGTTGTTGGGTGTCTGCGCAGGAGGAGAACGAGCCCATGAAGCCCGCGATGAGTTATTTGTGCGGCTTGATGATCAAGTGGCGCGCGCAATCGCGAGCTCCAAAGTCGAGGAGTTTTGTACTATTTGCACAGCGTAAACACCACCCATGGGTTGATGGTGTTTGTGCAGTTGTATATAGCAATTGCCTGAGATATATGTGGGGAGACTCTTGAGAGACGTGTTGGCGGAGAATGAATGCTATTTTATCATTTTATGAATGAACGAATGGAACACTCTCTCGGTGTATAATTGTTTCCACACATTTCTCTCTCACTCTTGTGTTTATCTAATGCCATCCCATGTGATTTGTCCACAATTTCCGAGACACTTTCCCACAATTGATCTGCATTGTCGTGATTTTGATTTGCGCTGCAGCGCGCGCAATGGTGAAAAAATTCACCTTTTTGAAGCACACGCACGATGAAGAAATTCTCATCCACTTTGCGCGCCCACGGAGACCCGCGCGAGAGTTGTAATATTTGAACCAATAACCGAAAGGCAAGAGAGACTGAAAGAAAATAAAAATATAACAAATTTGTAAGGTGAGTTGCCGCGCATTTCCTTCGAGCTCCGCCACAACAACTTCACTCACTTCGTCTCAAGCTGTTGGCGCGACAAGATGTGCCTGAGCGCAGTGCTTCTCCTGCTCCCTGTCGACTCACACCGCACTTGCCAAGCGATCTTCAACCTCTTGTGATCGGATCTCGAGGGAGAGAGAGAGAGTGTGAGGAAAAAGGAAGTGTTCAGTGAGTGAGATTTGCATTGATAAACAGTGATTTTTTGAAAGAAAACAATTTAGTTGTATTTTGAACGATTATAAGTGTGCGTGTTGATTCCGTTTGTGCATAAAAGTGCGCCACAACATTGATGAAACTCATGCGAAAATGTGGAGTAATTTATTCGTCATTAAGGTAAGACCCGCGCTAAGCAATCCCACGAATTTATTAAATGCTATGTGAAAGATTTCACTGAGCGCCAATGCGCGAGCGAGTGAGATGAAAAGTGTGTTTGGGGCTTCACGCACGCTTCAATACAGAAATTCCCGACCTAACGCAATGAGAAGTGAAGAGCAACATCAATTATTTGGCCAGATTCCACAAAGTCTTGAGTGTTTTTGCGGGTGGAAATTTCATGCGCCAAACTCAATCACACACAACTTAAATCTCTTTCCGTACGACTTTTGCGGCATCTTTCGGGGCTTCGTCTGTGCTTTCTGGGTGCGAAATAGATAAGGGAAAATGATGCAAATTTTGCACCTGTTCTCCATTCCCATCTCTCTCTCTCTCTCACGCTCTCTTTCTCTCTCTCTTTGGCTTCGTGTGCACCCAAATAATAATCAAAGTCTGCCGCCTTTTTTCATGCACATCCATTCCGATCGCCCCTCTTTCGGATGCTGTCTGTCCCTCTCCTATTATCCAAGGGGCAGATATCACAGTCAGAAGTGGTGTACAGCTTTGTGGAAGTGTTTGGCAATTGGAAGGGATCAAATATTTGGAATATTTGCATAGCAAAAGCTTCAGTTTCAAAAAATTGAGGCATATTCTAAGTCATTTTGCTTGGAAAAACAGATTTTATTGCTTTTCTAGGTTATGTGATTGATTTAATACAGATACTGACAATTAAATGATCCTCAAAATCATTAAATTTGTGTTTAAACTGAGAATAATTCTCTTTTTCTTGGCAAATTTGAGCATTTTTGATCCAAAAAACTTCATATTGATTGAGAAAAAGCCTTAATGTCAATCATAACCTCACAAAAATTCATTTCAGTCTAGAAGAATGTTTCTTTGTTTAGTTATTTCCGAGGTTTTTGCTATAAAATGGCAAATTTAATCTCATTATCTAGTAGAAGCATTCAGAGATTCACAATGTTGACTCATTTCCAGGTTTGGACGGATAAAAATTAGTCAAAGAAGGATATTTGAAATCGAATTCATAACCTCACAATTTGATCAGAAGTTTTTCAAGCATTTTCAGTCAGAATTTAGTGTAAAAAACAGTTGAAGTAGTCTTAAAAGCGATGAAAAATACCTGTAAAGCCGTTTAGAAGTGTCTGAAGTGTTGAAGATTCTGCAGAGGAATTGTGGAAGTGTCAGAAAGTGTTGTACAGATTTGAGGCACATTATCTCCCCCTTGCTATTATCATCATTGCTTCTTACTCAGTCGGCCTTTGATGGTGTGTTGTAGATCAGCCGAGAAACACGAGAAGATGCTGACACAGACGAAAAAGAGCTCCATTGATAAAAGGTCTCACAAAAAGCGCAATTCGTGCGCTGAAGCATGGCAAAAAGAGCGACAAGATGGAATATCTAGCTTAGCTCAAAGAGATCTCTGGTTTCCTGCGGAGGCGCAATTGGAACGTATAACAAAGGCGCGGTCTTAGATGGGAGAAATTGATCAACAGAGAGAGCCGAAAAAGTGCTGCAGAAGTCCCGGAAAATCTCCGCAATTGCCGAGAGGCTCCTGGGCTGTGATTTGGCGTAAGAGGGGCAGCACTCTGCTGTGGGGCCTCATGTGGGGCTCCCTCCAGTGATAAATATCTCTCTTTGTGCCTCTCGCAACCATTCCTTATTCCAACATTATTACTCTCTCTCTGATTGTGGCAGTTTTTTCCTCGCCCCGTTTTTCGCTCCACCAAAACACCCAACGAACTCACACTGCTATAAATCAGCACCTGTTTGTTGGTGATTCTCAACCTCCTTCGGCTCTCTCTTTCTCTCTTCCTCCACCCCAATTTATGCGGTGAAGCATAAAATTGCTGTTCGTTTGTCGGCTCCCTTGATTATGTACTCCAGTGGTTATAACTCATGCAACATTTCCTCGATGTGCAGCCTCTGAGCATCCTTCGCGCGCGACGGATCTCTAGCCTGCCTAAAAATCACACTCTTCGCCAGGTTCTCCAGGTTCGCGATCAGCCTAGAAGTCAAGTGAAAAGCCCGCCAAAGCGTCGCGCGCGATCGCCAATGCAATTGAGCCAAAAGAGTGAGAGTCATTTATTTGAGAATGCGAGTTGTGGCGCTCAATTTTTCAATGTTAAAATGTGTGCTTGGCTGGTGGAGAAGCGCGCGGGGCGCTATCGTGAAAGGGGGGGAGAAAGGAAGGGTCATATATAAAATGAAATGCGAAGCGCCGCGGCACCATTAAAGGCGCACATTTATCGAGGAATCATCACTTTGGCTGCTTCTGCTGCACAGTTTCTCTCTCTCTCTCTCTCTCTCTCCATTTTCCGTTTTTAAGTATTATTGTATGCCTTTGAAATGTCTTCGACTAATTAATTATGTTATATAGATTATCGCTGGGGTTTAACCGTAAAGTCTCAGCCGAACACTCACTCATGAAAGCTACCTGCAATCGAAGATAAAAAGTAATTAAAGGGTATTTGTCATTTTCTTCTCTCTCTCCTTTACAAAACTCCCCACATCGTCTTTCCCTCCGATAGATATAGAAAACCACTTGCCTTGGCTGTGAATGTGTTGTTAAATTACACGTAAATCAACCATTTATCTGTACGAATTCTCAACCCTTTCCGCGCAGTGAAAGCTGCGAAACATCCTTAACTTTTATAGCAACACCAAATTGCCAATTGAAATCACAGCATAACTGGCTCTTCAGAAGCTCTCCATGTCTCTATTTTCTCCACAATAAACACCACCACACTAATGAAGCTGAATGTAAAACGGCAAAATGTTATGACCTTTCTGAACTCTCTTCTTCTTCGGGGAGACACCAAGAAAATTCCACCGCAAAGTGCGCGCTGTTGATTTTTCCCATCAAAAGTGCTCAACTACTGCAATTTATCCCACTTGAATTGCACACTTTAATTACGGTAATAAAATTCATGGGGTAATTTAACACCGGCACCAAGTCTCCAAGATGTGGAGAGGCTGCTTTTGGCCGCGCGCACAACCAAAGAGCTGCTCAACAATTGAACGCCATTAAACGATCAATTAATGGCCATTGGGCTGGATGACGGTCTCGCGGCAAGGATCTCCGCGCGCTTCCCTATTAATCCTATTTGGCGCGCTGCGCGAGCTGCTCGCCTGTGATCTTCATCTTTGGCGCGTTCTCCCGATCAAATCTCTGCGCGCACTCGCACTCTCGTGGATTTTTATTGTACCGCGAGAGCACACAGACACGCTCTCGGCGGGATCGCTGCGGCTGCTGTTGCTGCTGATGATGATAGCCCCAAGACTCGAAGAACGTAAACAGGTAAACAGTGTTTTGGCGGAGTCTTTGATCAGAATGCGAGCAAGGAGCTGGTCATTACATCAAAGTGAAATGCCGCCGTTTGCACCAGCCAAACATTCCCTCTCACTTCCACACTCACGTCACCTCTCGCTCTCGCTCGCGCACAACCGCCGCACCTGAGCTCGTCTGCCAATTCTCTCTCTCCCTCTTTTCTCATCCCCCTTTTTCCTTGATCATTTTCACCGTGAGTGTGAAATAAGATCGTTTCGCCTCTTGACAAATGTCGTGGCACATCTCCATTTCCTCCACTCTCTCTCTCTCTCTCTCTCTCCATCAGCCACACTTCCTCGCCGGGATGTGATTTCAGAAGGGATTTCCGAATAGATTTCCCAAGGATAAGCGCTAGGATTACAGGATTAGCCTGTCGGAGAGCTAATTGCCTACGCCTTAGGCAGGTTTTTATGTAATGATCTCACGTTTGGCGATATTTGCACTTTCTAAGCTCTGACACTCGGTTTTAGGAGGAAATGATCGGGTTTAAAGGGTATTTTACATGAGAAAACCTTCCTTTGAGCTGATATTTGTCCATAATCAAAATTTTTCTCCTTCACCACAATTATTTCTGACTCTTCTGAGCACTCAAATGAATGCCGCCGAATCAATTGAAATAAAGACACTTCTGCAGCTGTAAAAATGCAAATGTCTGTGAGAAAAGATACAAGAGTACTTACCATGGCTGATGGTGTTGCTAAAGACTGCGATTTTGGCGCATTTCTCAGCAAATTGTCCATTACTTTTCCCGCAGATTCTTCTCGCATTGACACTCGTCCACATTCCCGCCAATGAGGCCGCAGCTGTTCGGCAGAATTCCATTCTCATCGAGAGCAACTCGGTGCAGCGGGTGGTAGGCGAAACACGTCGGCTGGCCGAGTCTCGCAGTCGGGCCGTGTCGGGCCTCAAGCGAGTGTTTTTGTCCAACCGAACAGTGGCGTGCAACGATGGCTCGCAAGCGGGATTCTATCTCAGGCGCTCCTCCGTCTTCTCCCGGAGATGGATTGTCTACCTGGAGGGCGGGATGCACTGCTACGACCAGAAGTCCTGCCGCGACAGGTGGCTCAACGTGCGTCATCTCATGACATCCACGCAGTGGTCAGAGACGAAAGATGGTGAGAGTTTTGTTAGTGTTTTCCTCCACAAAAACACCCAATTTAACTGATGATTCTGCTCTAGTCGGAGGCATTTTGTCACCTCATCCGGAGGAGAATCCCTACTGGCACGACGCCAATCACGTCCTGGTGCCCTACTGCAGCAGTGACTCCTGGAGTGGGACGAAAACCACGCCGGACACCAGAGATGGATGGCGTTTCATGGGATCTCTGATCGTCAGACAAATCATATCGGATCTCATTCCACTGGGATTGGGCAATACTCAGGGCTCTGAACTGCTCCTCGCCGGCTCGTCCGCCGGTGGTGTTGGTGTGATGCTGAACCTGGACAAGATTCGTCACTTTCTCGTGCAGGAAAGAGGTAAAAAACCATAATTTCACGCATCTTGATCACTCTTCTCAACGCTCTGTGTCTGTGTTCCAGGTCTCAAGGTGACTGTGAGAGGCATCAGCGACTCTGGATGGTTTCTGGACAGAGAGCCCTACGTGCCAGGAGCAATAGCGTCGACGGATGTTGTGAAGCAAGGATGGAATCTGTGGAATGGCGCGATTCCGGAAGCTTGTCGCAAGAAGCATCCCAGTGAACCCTGGCGCTGCTACTTCGGCCATCGCCTGTATCCCACCCTGAAAGGTGAGAGAGACATGAAACAATCTTAAGGAAGCTTCTAATCTTGCCCATTTTCAGCTCCTCTCTTCGTCTTTCAATGGCTGTTCGATGAGGAGCAGATGAAGGCGGACAGTGTGTGGGCCCCAAAGTCGCCTCAGCAGTGGGACTACATCCACGGCATGGGCAACGCACTCAGAGACTCCCTGGACAATGTGACAGCGGTGTTTGCGCCCTCCTGCATTGGCCATTCTGTGCTCAACAGTCGCGATTGGCTTCACATTCGCGTGAATAACATTTCGCTGTCGGATGCGCTTCGCTGCTGGGAGCAATCGACGGAGCGCACGCGTCGGAAGCCCAGGACAAAGGAGGAGAGGGACAGGAGGCGACAGAAGCAGGAGGAGAGAAGGCTGAAGAGGCTCCAGAAGAGACTTAAGCAGAATGCTGCTCAGGAGAAGAAAGAGCAAGGCAAGAATGTGAAGAAGCACAGAAAGAATCAAGGTAGATTTTCCCTTTTAAGCTGCTTGAAAAGAGAGTAAATATTATTGTTTACAATCATTTCCCCTATTTACGGTTCTTCAAACTTTGACACCGATTAATGGGGGGAAAACTGATTCATATTGCTGACAAAGCGCGTGTTTGTGATCAAATTCTAATCTGACTTTTTCCAGAGCACAAGAAGAACCACAATCGCTCCACGAGAATGCCAAAGCGAAATCTCAACACACTCTTGATGGCCAAGCCGGCGGGCGGAGATGACACGGCCACTTATGTGCAGGACGAGGCGAATGCCACGCAGTCCAACCGGCAGCGCAAGAAGCGGAAGAACCAGAAGCGACGTCACAATCAGCGACGCGCGCCGGACACGCAGAAGTGCTCCACGCTGCGTCTGCTGGAGCGCTGCAGCTGGCCGCAGTGCAATCACTCCTGTCCCACGTTCACGAATCCCGTGACGGGCAAGAAGATGACTGACCTGGAGCTGCTGTCGTCCTTCGGCATGGAAGTTGAGGCCGCCGCGTCGGCGCTGGGCGTGGACATGCAGACGCTGAAGAATATGGATCTCATCACGGTGCTGACGTAGCGCGCGCCGCCCGCCGGATGACAATCTCACGAGGGAGTTGTGTGGATGCTCGATGAATCTCATGGCACAACTTCGGGATACACTGAAATTCCTGTTCAGGGTGTTCTAGTCAATTATTTTTGTTTTTTTATCACGTCAAAGCTCTTACAGTAGAAAAATGTCCTTTCCGGACTTGTGGACAACGCGGAGGAGCGAGGAATCACTCTCCAGGCTTAAACAGTATTCAAAACACACACACACACACACGACGGGGAGAGAAAGGACTTGAGGATCCTTCCTGAGGAACAACAACAACGCATGAAATCGTATTTTGTACATAGAAATCAAATGGCACGAAATCGTTGCTTTGGCAGAGTTTTTGGCAGTCTTTTGTGGAGTTTAAGCAGAAACTCCAACTCTGCATTGTATTTTTTTTTCTTAAAGGAATTAAGAGAACTCGAATACTTTTAGAAGAAAGAGAAAGAGAGTCAAAGTATGTTTTGTTAAGTAAGTTAACATTTAATTTATTTATTCTATTTGTAAGTTTAATTTAAATATTTTTTTGCAAAGAAGATTTTCCTCTTCTGGTAAATTCTAACAAAGACTGTCCTGTTTTTTTACACACAAAAACACACACACACAAAACCCTTTTCATTTAGTTGGTCTTTTAAGAATGATAAGAGGGTTATTTTTGGACATAATCATTTTTTATCTACCTCAGGAATAAAAGTAATTAATTATTGTAAATTTTTTATAATATGAGATTCATTGTTCACAATCAATTCAGCCGGAGAAAAAAGGAGGTTATCGTGCCCAAAATGAACGATAACAGCATAAATAGTACCTGTTTTTAGTCACTTAACTGCGCCAATAAGGAGACAAACAGTCGCCATTGTCTGGCGTTGCACAAGAAAATCAGTTCATTCCCCACAAGTTTTATTGTCAACAGCGAAGAATGCAAGTGGAAATTCTCATGCAAAAACCCCATTGAAATGATTCTCTAGCTTTAGCACATAAGATAATAAATTATTAATTTAATTTCACTCTTTCTTTCTACTCTTTAGTTTTGTCTCTAGATTGTGGAAACACAACAATTGTATCGATTGTAAATAGGAGAAGAAGAAAAAAAGCATTAAGAACTCTTCTTTTTTTTTATTATTCACACTTTTGTATAGAAGGAGAGAAAAGCAAGTCTCTTGAATAAAAGCGATTATTGCCTAAAATTTCGTAATTAAACCTGCGCGTTGGGTCAATTTGACTCAATTACGCCCCGTGCAATTATTCAATAGAAAAGACCAGCGAATGAGGATGTCGTCGTCGTTTCCACTTCTTGACTTCTTCACATTTTCTTCGCATCGTCTTCGCACTCGAGCAGCGCGAGTCATCATTGTGAAATTCACAAGAGACTTCTGGCCATGCGTAGCGATTTATAGAAAACAATGTTCTCACACTACCAAAATAGCCAATCGTTAATTCTCAGAATATATTAAGAATGCTTACGAAGAAGTTATTATTTGCCTTCTTCATCTTCGGCGGTGCATTGAGAGATAAAGAGGAATGAAATCATACGGAATTTTCGTGAAAACACAACGATAAATTGATTATCAATTCCGTTGATTAATTCTAATCCATTGAATTTGAATGTGGACAAGTTGAAAAGAATTTCGAGGAGTTTTGCACACAATAAATTGGTGGGAAATTCGGCTTTTCATTGTTAAAGAACATAACAATAGTCACAAATTTCAATTGAAAATCATTCAAGTGACTAAACATGATTCAAACGCTAAATCATTAGAATATTTTACCGGATTTTGAGCAATTTTACACTTATTCTTAGAGAGTTATTCCATCTGCTTTAAAGTTATCGACAAACGAGTTATCGATAATGAATTTTAACCAAGTTTTAACACATTTCCAGGGGAAAAATAGTTAAAAAGGTTTAAATAGAAAGTCTGAGGACTAAACTAAGAAAATTTCTTGCATTTCTTATAAGTTTAAGTTCAATAATTTACCGACATTTCAACGTCTTGTGGAATAATTCCATTAGATTCTTGATTTTAACTATTTTTCTCCTTAAAATGATCTTAAAATAGAGAAAATTTCATATAATTCGTAGTATTAGTAGTTGTGGTAGTATTAGTCGTAGTGGAATAACGCTCTAAGGATATGAAGATGAGTTTTCAGAGTAATTTTCACATCATTCTTGTTCTTGAAGGTGTGAAAGAAACTGAAAAAACACACGATTTAGTCCAGGCAATAAAACGGGATATCAATATTGACACAGTTCAAATTCTACTATCAAAAATGAGCCAAAATTCCATTAAAAAACACTTGCGCAATTGTGTTTAGGTGAAAGAATTGCGAAAATTCAGCAGATCAACATGTGTGGAATCCACTGATAAGATGATAAGACTTTTAAGATACGCTGATCGCAATTCGCGTGTGCATTCTGCTCATCAAAGGCAATGTGATCTTGGTCTGAAGGCAGTTTTATGGCCCGGAAATCATCATCAACATCTCTTCGTGTGGGCGTCAATTTAGCAAATTATCTTCCACTCTTGAGCGTCACTTGAGTGTCTTGGAGAATCTTCGCAGAATCAGTTCTGAGACGCGATGGAGCTGGAGAAGTTGGGGATTTTTCTTATTGCCGCTGTGATTCTGACTGTTCGTGGAGTCGAGAGTGCGCCAGGATGCAGAATCTATCTCACCTTGACGCCACTGGCGAGGAATGCCGCAGAGCGATTCCTGGAGGTGAATTGGGGCAGTGAATGTGAGGAGAAGATGTGGATTGGTGTGTTCCAGAAGAATCCCTCGCTGTACAACGAGCAGCCCATTCACTACCTCGAGACGCACAGCCAGGCGTCCGGCTACGAGATGACGGGCATTCAGCTGGGCCGTCTGGACATGCCGACAGAGTGGCTGGACTCCGCTGGGGAGAAACAGAACTTCCGCACGCAGTGTTTGCCGTACTTCGTGGCCGGATTCTCGGGTGATGATCTCGTGGCGCTGGATTGCCTGAAGATTCAGCCTCAGTGGCAGACGCAAATGAAGGATCTCATCGGCAACTCGCGACTCAAGGAGCTCTTCATCCCGGGCACGCACTGTTCCGCGTGCTTCGTGAACGACACGCAGTCGCGAATGCAGCTCCTGAGGCGATTCGTCTTCACGCAGGACTTCGACGTGTGGACGCAACTTGTCTTCGGCGTGAGATTCCTGGACGTCAGCGTGGGCTATCACAGTGGGAAGTTCTGGGTGGTTGCCGACAATATTATGGTGTCGCCTCTGGAGAAACTCCTCCAGGACGTCCGGCGATTTGTCCAGCAGACTGGAGAAGTGGTGATTCTGGACTTTGGCGATTTTCCACTGGGATTCCGTGGTCATCACGAGAGACACGCGGAATTGAGAGTGTTTCTCGAGCAGGAACTCAAGGATGTGGCTTTCCATCGACACACAGACACCAGAGAATCCTTCGATTTCACCCTGAATGAGATTCAATCCACCGGGAAAACTCTCATCGTCACGTACGGAGATGATAAAGTGAGTGGAGAGAGTGAAATCCTGTGGAAATCCTGGGAGAAGCACTCCAGCGCCGCTCTAACAGACTCAGAAGTCAGGGAATATGTGAGAAATCTCTTCGGCCGAAGGAATTCCGACGCTGAAAACTTCGGATGGATTTTCTACGGTGTTCAGTCGATCGAGGGAACAATCGGCGGCTCGAGGAAGCTTCAATCCTCGCGCGAGAGAGCGGCTGCCATCAACAGGAACCTCACGACGTGGCTCAGCGGTCCGTGGAGTCTCACAGCCAACGCCGTGGCGGTGGATTTCATCCTGTCGTCGAATCTCCTGGACATTGCCTTGCACACAAATCGCCACAAAGCCCACAAGACTTCGCCGCTCCTCAACATGGACTATTAGAGACAGACTCTCCCCGCAGATCCTGGTGACAGTGACCTTCCCAGACATTCCCAGCCTCCGCATCGGTGTGAGTCAGAGTGAATGGAATTCTTCACGAGACTCTCTGAGCAGCAGCCTTGCACCGACGACGACCTCCGGAATGCTGCTATTCTATTTGCATGTCAACTGGCGGCGACATTCACTCAATCCGCACTGGGTCACACAAGTGCTGCCCAAGAGCCACTTTTGCGTGCAATCTATCATACAATTCACGATAACTTTTCCACTGCGCAGCCAATAAAACTGTTCCATGTGAAATTTTGCCTTATTAATCACATATTTCATGCTATTTTGATATCATAGAGAGAAATAGAGTCATCAAGTGTGAATAAGTGCATAAAGAGTTGCTTCGTCTGCAGTTTCAAGATAAAGATGAGGATTCAGCAAAGAAATCCACACCAAGGGAGAAATATATGGTCAGAAGTGGTTTACAGCTCAGCAAAAGTGCTCAAAAACTTACAATCTAATGACTAATCATCCCGATTCTTTCAATTTCTTTAGAAAGCATACGGAAAAACATTCCTTTTCTAGGTTATGTAACGAATTACGGACGGATTTAGTGAATATTTCACATTCTAGCACATCAATTCTTATCCCAAAGTCGCCAAGATTGCTGATAATTGGCGAAATTAAGCATTTTCTTACGATAAACATCGCAATTCGGAGCATTTGATGCCAAAAAACACTGCGAATTGTATTAAAGTAGAACATAACCTCAAAAAGAGCACTGTGAACTTGAAAAATGTTTATTTTGATTACTTTCTGCACTATTTTGATTCTAAAAAGCCTAAAATTGGAGTCTTTTAAGATGTTTTAGTGATATTTTTGAGGTTATGGTCGGACATTACTCTAAAAAAAGTGGTTTTAAGTGGATTTTTACAGAAATATCGCATGAAACCTTAAGATATTTTATAAAATTTGCAAATTATTGCGGAAAACGTCTAAAAATTTGAATTGCTAGAAGTGTTATGAAGTGATATACAGACCAAGAGCATATTATCCCCCTTGATAAATCCATACAAAATGTATTTTAAGAGAAACACAAGAAAAGTTTCAATCCTATCTATAGTGGACATTGACCACAATTCACAACTCCGGTGAGAAATGAGCACGAATCGCACGAATGCTTCTAATTTGCATTCTTGTGCGTCGAAATCGTGCCTCCAAGCGAAAATACAACCACTTGCTGGCAATTCCACCGCGAAAATGTGACTCTGTGCGGCGCATAATCTCGGTTGATAAGGCGCGATACCGCCGAATTTCCCGCCAATGCCTCAGCGCGAGGCGCCAAAGTTAATTGGCCTCGATGCCCCTCGAGAATTGCAATAATAATGATGAAAGCAAAAAGCCTCCTTTCAATTTCACATATTTTATTCTTCAAAGCTTACACTAAATCAATTGAAAAAAAAGAGTTAATCTAACGCATCATTTCAGTATTTCTTCTTTTTTGATGGTTTTCTTTTTTAATAAGCAATAAATCATAATAACTAACACGAAAAAAGGTATCATCTTGAATATTTTCATATACGCTCTATACATAGTATATAATTTTACGCTTAATCGAGTGATTGTCGCGCTCACGCCAATAACTCACGTGATCAGCGTGAGCGCAACGCGAGCAGAGAAAAATGATTTGCATGGGTTGGACTAGTAAGGAAGATTTTATACAAAAACATTGTTAAATAATTCATCATCATCATTCTGTCTATGAAAAGTATATCCTTGTCACTGTGGTGAACGGTTCCCGGCACAGTGGGCAACTCGTGACTGACGATGCACACTTGGCGCACGCAACAACGTGACCGCATGGCAAAAAAGCCGTGTTGTACTCATTAACGAAGCATATTTTGCAAAGCTTATTCTCAAGCGCATCACCCGCTGACGCCCCGATCGGCTTCACCGTCGTCGCCACATCCTCAACTTTGGGGCTCTCCTGCTCCTTGACCACCGCCACGGGCGAGACGCTGGACGACGCAGAGCACTCTTGCAGTCCCTCAGACGGACTGAGTGTCTGTGCATTCTTCGCCTTCACCTCATCAATGTACTTCTGGCCCTTGATCAACTTGAGATACTCGCAGTTGTCATACCACCGCGCGTGCTGCTCCCAGGCGCAGTCATTGTCCTCCCAATCCTTGAGGCCACCGCCGCAGCTGAAGCACTGCACGCGATCGCCAATGCCTGTGTAGAAGAAGCCAGCGTCGCACAGCTCCTCGGGCTTCATCTTGAGATTCCGCGGCCACTCACGAAACGTGGCCAGCCGATTGGCCTCAATCTCCAACTCGGCATAGTCGCAGCGCCGCGGCGGACTGAAGAACACCGCGGCCGGCGTGAATGTGTCCGTGCTGATGCTGGGATGTGACGCCTCAGCGAAAGCGGCCGGACGCTGCGTTGTCACGCCGCACGGGCCGCACGTGTCGTACGAGACGCTGGGCAGCACGCGATTGAGCGCCTCGGCGTCAATAGGAACATTGGCGGTGGGACGACGACGCAACAGTGGACAATTTGTACTCCAGCGGTAGTGCTCGGTGAAGACATCATCAGCCGGCTCCCACCTGCCGATCTCCACACGACAGAACGCACACTTCACCACATCCTGATAGCCGAGGAAGTAGAATCCCAGCAGCGCCAGCTTCTGCCGATCAATAAACTCAACACTCCAATTCTCGAACGTCAGCAGACGATTCTCCTCGCGATGCAACTCCTCAATTGTGGACATGACGGGCGTCGGACGACAGGCGATCGCCTGAGCGCGATTTATCGTCGGTCCCACATCATCACTGCTGCCTACAACGGCTTGAGAATTTGAACTGGCAGCAGTAGATGATGAGCCAGAGCCAACATCCGTTGCACTTTCACCACTCTCTCTCGTGCGATTGTCACAACAATCGTAGCCTGGATTTGTGTATTTGTGAATTTTTGGCAGCAATTGACATACTGCCATTTTAGCCCTCAGAAGAAGATCGAGAGTTAGCATTTGTCTGCAATGATACGAGAAAACAGGCAAAAACCCTATAAATATCAATCACAAGAGACACAATCTCACAACTTGTACAACACAAGAAGACACACAACAATCACAATTGCATGCTTGAGTATTGAGAACGTGTGCAGCGAAGCTAATTACACCAAATAGAACTATCTAAGTGAGACACAAGAAGCAAATATTTAATGATAACAACGCCAAGTACTCTTCATTCAAGCCTCTGCATTCTTTGAGCTCTTCTACAGCGCAAATCTCTTATGAGAAATCAATCAAAATAATCAATCTTAAGCTGTAAAATAGCCTTAGATAAGATTAGAATTGTTATTTTGATTTATGATGAGAAAAAGCTGAGAGTTTGTGCTGTAAAAGCAGATTTATCCAGTAAATTTACCTATTCAAAACTTCTAATCGCAACTCAGTGTAAAAAATGTGCAAAAACAGATTTTGTCGTCGTTGCAACTTTACTTTCATAACATTTAAAATAAGCTGTCAAAAAAAACTATTCATAGAAAGCTGTTGAAACGTTTCAAACATCGATATCTGAAGCAAATTCAAGATATGCTGTAAAATTCACGTAGAAACCAAGAAAATAGACAGAAAGGATGTCTTTAGGTTGATTAACAAGATTTTGTTCACATTTCAATGCAATAAATTGAGATTGACAGCTCAAATTCATATTAAATAAACTCTCAACTTCGCCTTGCATCGCTTTACGTTCGTATTTCATTCACACTTTACACTAGCGCCGCCGAGCGGCCGCTAATATAAGCTATGATGCTTGAAATATGAAATCCATAATGTTGCAACGACGCTTTTATGCCGCAAATACTTTCATAATCAACTTATAATATCATAATGAACGGAAAACGCCCCAACAATATTGACATCCAAAGCTCAAATTCCCCAACAAGTGTGTGAGATAATACTTCTGAGAATAGTCATAATCATTCAATAATTACTCACACACTGAGATTACTGAGTTGCTAAGCGCAAACATCGCTCGATAATATAAACTTTAAGAATGCCTGCAAGGCAAAATTGAAAATAAGAACATTGAAACTCGTTTTTTTTTTACCCCCACAAAGCGGTAAAGAAAAAGAAGAATTTCATTGAAGCCAAAAGATACTTTCTCACCATCTTTTCTCAACTTCAATCAACGTAAAAATTCACACTCAACTCTCAGAGGGAGTGAAATTGCTGCTGGTTTCTTTCACAATTCCCTCAATTGCGCCTCAGACAATTGTGAGAGAAGATAATCTCTGTTTCTGTGAGTCTTCAAAGCAAGAGTGTCATGAGAAAATTCCCACAATATGCATTATTTTTCCTCAATCCATCCTTATATGTGCATCAAAAACACCCACACAAACTCGCCCAAAGCATCATCAAATCAAACACAGTGCGGTGACAATTATGACCAGCCATATTTGAAGCAATTGGACAGAAAAGGTGAAATCCTGTGTGCATTTGCGCTCATGCATGTTAATAATTCTGACATTTTTTCTCTTTCTCTCTCCTCAATTACAACAAAGTTATGTGCAACTGTGATTCATGAATCCGGCCCACACTTCCTCTTTTCTCACAGCGCACATAAGCCAGCCAACGTATGAATTGAGCTCGGAAACACTATTACTATTTCACACACAAACTATCAAAACCCACATTCCAGCGCGCTCTTATTTATTTTCATTTATTATTGAGCTCCGAAGGGAAGAGAGGAATAATGAAAAAAAAAATACCCACTATATGGTTGGGTTTTGTATATAAAATGTGTGTGGAGAGAGAAAAAAGCCACAAACCCAATGAGTCTCTCGTTACTTCACGTCTTTCTCTCTCTCTCACTCGCTTTGATGTCTTGTTTTTTCTCCATTCAATTTTCCTCTCTGGAGTTCTTTTACTTCTTTTAATTTCTTTCGAGGGAGGCTCGCAACTGAACTCCACAGAGAATCAGACAAAGTATTTTAATTTATACAAAACAAAACTGTGGCATTCTTCATTTCCTCCCCCCAAAAAAAAAAAACACACACGAAAATAAACCTCATCATTCGTCCAAAGAGGGAAAAAGAGAGAAGAGAATATAAACACTCACAATTCTCAGAGACAATATTCTTCTTCTTTTGCCAGTCTTCAACACACAACTTCTTCCTCTAAATAAAATCCTCAACACCCAATCACACTCTTCTAAACACACACTGCTCGAGAGCCTCTGCTTGGCAAGCACTCCGGACGACTGTGAGAGACACAATGGATCGAAGTGCAGTGGAAACATGTCTCTCCCATGGACCACCGAGATGCTGTGCAAGAGTACATTTCCACCACTTTTCTCTCCTCTCGCGCGCCAGAGTGCATTTGCACCAAATCCATCGCGTGCGCGTGTGTGTGTGCGTCTCGTCCGTCTGCTCACGTCCTCCCGTGCAAACAAACCGTGAGTGGAAGAGAGATCGCATCACCTGGACAGCAGAGAGACTCTCTCTCTGACTCTCTCCCATGCATCGATCCGCGCGGCCCCAGGAGAGGTTCTAATGCCGCGCGCGCGAAAAGAGACCCCACGTCCATGGGAACCTACATTGGAATGCAGTCGGACTAGTTAGAGGAAAAAGAGAGGAGAAGAAGTCAACAAAAAACATTCTTTCACGAAAAAAAACACACCACACAACAGCAGCATTACATGAAATGTACTCAAGACTGGCCACATAGAGTCTCTCTCGCTCAGCGACACGCCGTGTGAGGGAGAAAGAGAGCAATTTCCAAGAAATATGCACTCAGCAGAGGCGCATAAACAGCCATACAACACAACTCTTGTGGGCAGGGTGATCTTGAAAATATATCCACAGCAAATATATATTTCCAATTGGGAAAATACGCCGAGAAACAATTGAGAAAAATGTCAGCAACTCAGCAAAAAAAAAACCCCATCAATATCTCTCTCCTTTGCTATTGTGCAAAAACAACACCAAATTAAACATTTTAATATATTGCTCATTGTCATTTAGCCACAGGCAAAGCCTTTTGCAGACAACAGCAGCAATTCTATATTAATTCTCGCCACACTCATCGCTCAACGAAAACACAAACCTCAGCGAGAGTCTGCGAAAAATATCATGGTTGAGTGAGTAAAATTCGGTTTACAGTCACGAATCTCTTTGTGTGGTTCCTGCCTTGTGTTGTTGGTGATGTAAGAGCAAAAAGTTGCTCTCGTACTACAGTTGGAAATTCGCGGATTAAGGGGTACACAATTCTTGCCAATCCAGTCGCCATTTCAGCACTTAATCGCCCAATGCTGAATTGTGAAGTTGCTTAATATTCGCGCTTTCAGAGGGTGAAGAAACTCTCGCGATGATGAGAAAATGAGAGTAATTGAAGCTGAAATCCTCCCTAAAACAACAGTCTAGCTTAACTTCTAGCTCTACAATCACATTCTAACGTAGTTTAATAGCTTATATTGGCGTCCGCCCGGCGGCGCTAGTGTAAAGTACGAATGAAATACGAAAGAAATGACGATGCAAGACGAATTTGGTAGTTTATTTAATACGATTTTAGCTCTCAATTGTCAGTTTTCAGCCGTGAAATGTTCTTCAGTGTCAGTGAAGCGTATTTTTCAGTTCACTTAGTTGTTTTCCAATTAGTTTTATTGCCTAGGCTCGAAAGATATCCAAAAGACATAAAATGTCAACAATCTGTATTTATTAACTAAAAAACATAGATTTTGTCTATTTACTTGATTTTCACGTAAAATTTAAGGTTTTTCTTTTTGCAACGCAGTTTTAAGAATTGAAAAATATGACAGCATATTTAAAATGTCATGAAAATAAAGTTCTGACTTCTGTAGAGGAGATTTTGGACCAAAAAAAAGTCAAAATTGTCTGTAAAAAGACCTCTTATGAAGGAAATTTCTTCTAGGCATCTTCAAGACAATCAAAACTCAAGAATTATTGCTGTTATCTTGCTAAAACTTCAATTTCTTAATAACTCTATCCACTCTATCGCAAGTCGAGTGTTTTGACTGATTTCTCCGACACCAACGCCCTCGTGCGGAGGATAAAAACACTGCAGAAAGAGAGGTTTATCCAGTGGTAAACCAAAGCCACAAATTTGTGTTTTCCTTTGGCAAACTGCATGTCCTTGAGATCGAGAATTACGTCACAAGACGGAATGTTACTTTTCGGCTGAAGCCTTGGCAAGAATGTGATTCACGCGAGAATTCGTGGAAGTCCGGGTGACTCTAGAGATCTTCATTGGAGTGTGTTTTCGTCTCGCTGAGCAGCTGCTCTGGCGGCACCTTGTTGAAAATTTGGTATTCTAATTCCCTCTTTTGATCCCCCGAAAACTCCCCTCGCGAAAGTCTCTCAAGGGCTCCGCACCTGGCTCGTCTTCGGCCACATCTTGTGCGCCTCGGCAGCTGTTCTCAGCCCAGGCGAGGGTCAGGAGAGGCCCAGAAGGGCGCCTGTTCTCTCTGGGCTCCGTGCGACTCGGCTTTATTTTGCCGTGCAATTGCAAAGTTGGCAAAGCCGTCGCTTTATTCTGCTTATTGAGAGTTGCGAACGGTGTTGAATGGAAAGTACATTATTTACCCAGGCGCTCGAGCACGAGGGGAGCGCGAGAAAAAGGGGGCTCGAATGGCAAACAGTACTTTTCCACCCAACAATTCCACATATAATAGAGGTCGTGTGCAAAAGGCCGAATGATTATCACAGAGGAAAAAGCGGAGTTATTGAAAACACAGCCCAGCAATTTGCAGAGAGAGAGAAGCACTGGAGATACGAGGGAAAATAGCAAGAAAATAGACATAATTTTTAGCATGCAAAAAGCGCCTCAACCACAGAATAAACTTCAAAGTTAACACAAAAACTCTTCTACGTTGGCACAAAAACGGGAGGATATTTTCTTCGAATAATTACTTGATGGCGTCCCAGATGGTAATGTTAGTGCGTGTTACGGTTTTGTGAGAGGGTAATCTTCTCTAGATTATGCCCAGCATCTCCATTAGCGCAAAGTCTGTATTTTTTTTCTTGGCTGTACACTAAGAAAATCAGCGCTTTCACATTTGAGGACAGCTCAATGTGAAAAATGCTGCTCACTTGAGGGACTATTTGAGCACTTCACAAACCTGCTTTTGCGTTAACGACTGCTGAAAAGTGTGAAGAAGGTCACAAACACTGACTTTGCAGTACTTTCGAGAGGTAGATTTGGGTTTAAAGTGGCGAAAAACTCACGAGAAAATTTGACAGACAACGCGACTACTTGGCACTAGAAGCCATCTTTGTGAAATGCGCAGTGTGTAATAAAAGAGACTCGAAAAAAAGCGACAAATGGAAGTGGAATACCACATATTCGCCTATTTGCCACTGGGAGCGCTGCACGCGGAGCGACGCTTTTCAAAAATTCAAAGCGTCACGGTTTTTGCAAAAATTTCAGTGGAGCTGTTGCAAAAAATGTTATTCAAAAGATTCAAAAAAGTGTCACGCGTTTTGGGGTTAAAACATGGATAACCCAGAAAATGACAGTGCTAAAGTATTACAGATAGCAGGGATGGGGTGGGAAACAACTCACAAATCACCAACACTCGCGCACGATCGCGATTTTATGAACGGAAATCCCCACACATTCTTCATATCGCACACATCTCAAGATCACACGCAATCGCGCAGAAGCCCAAGAGTGACCTTCTACTATTTCATTCATTAATTGATGGGTGATTGGGATTTTTTCGTATTTGCATCTCTAGCGACAAACCGCGGTAAAATGTAATTTTCCAGATCACGTGCCAGCGCGAGATCGCAATTCGAGAGGTTCTCTTCATGAAATGCCACAAACAATGAGTCACAGATTTTCATAGCAGAGATAAAACCTTTTAATTATATTGTTCAAAGGCTGTTCATATGAATATTATGCCATGATGTGAAATATTAAAGCGACTGATAACAATATGGAATGCAAAGCAAAGTCCAAAGAGACAGAAGTAAACATAAGAATCAGTGTTTTATGCAAAGTTAAATCATAAATGATGATTTGCAAAATTAATTTTGTGTATTTATGCACAAATTTGCAAAAATAACGTGAAAATAAGGAGTTATCGACAAACTAGTTATCGACAATGATTTTTACCCAAGTTTTAACACAATTTCAGGGGAAAAATAGTTAAAAATCGACAATCTAAGAACCAAATAGTCCATATTAGTTCTATTTTTCCCTTAAAATTGTGTTAAAACCTGGTTAAAATTCAAGTTCGTGTCGATAAGTATCGGTAAGTTCAATAACTCAACGATATTTCAACGTAGTGTGATAATTCCCTTAGTTTGGCGCCTGTTAATACTTAGAAGATGCTCCAAAATTGACCTTTCATGATCTGTTTTATTGGTTTTATTGCTGCCCACGCGATTTTCTCAATTGACTTCTCATTCTTGCTGACCAAAGGGTGAATTGACGTAATGAGGTGACTTATTTCCATCTTTTGCGTCGCATATTCAAATGAGTTTTCAGGTGTTTGGAGAATTTTCCTACCTAAACTGCGCATTTTTTTATTTCACAATCAATTTCCGCTCACGCCTTCAAGCTCGGGTGATTTTATGAAGTGATACAATTATTCGCACAGACTTCACAAACAGCAGTGGCATAAGTAATTAAAATTGCAACAAATGCGGTGACATAATACTTGGTTAATAGTGTTAATTAAAAATGACCTTAGTTTCTGAATCCATCTCAAAATCACTTACAATCAACCACAACTGCGATCACACGGCAGAACGCGTGTGTTCTGTTCAGAATCTGCTCGGAAACTGATCGTGAGCAACAGTTGTAGTGTAAATCAATAAAGCCATCAACATGTTATCAGCAACAGAGACGATAAGGCGCGATAGGGAAAAGAAAGGAAAAAGTCATAATTTACGCATGTTTTTGGGGGGAATTGTTTGCAATTTCATTCACAGAATGATCGCGGGGATTTTCTTCCACAGTGTTTGTCCGCACAGTGGACAGTTGGCCAGGAAGTCACTGCACTGCTCACACATGACAAAGTGTCCACAAGGCACACACACTATTGCCCTCCTGCGCAGATAACAGACCGAGCACAGCTCATCATCTGGCAGATCGTCGTAGTTTTGAGACTCCAGCTCGTGTTGTCGCTCCAATTCGGCTTGCAGAACACCTTGGATGAAGTCCTGACCTTTCGTGGATCGCAGAAACTCGCAATTGTGGGACATTTTAGCGTGTCTCACGTGCGGATCATCACTGACTCTCCACTGATTCAGCCTCAGGCCGCAGACGAAGCAGAAGACGATGTCGCCGCGTCCTGAATAGTAGAAGCCAGCCGATGCGAGATCTTCGGGTCGGGTTTGCATGGCCACAGGCCAGCTGGAGAAGCTCTCGAGGCGACTCTCCAGCGTCACATAATGCTCGTTTGGACCATTGCAGCAATTCGAGACGTCCTCCACATCGTTCCTGACGCGTGTCAGATCATCCACCACTAGAGGATCATTCCTGTGCGCCTGGTGAGTCACGATGGGACACACTGGAGAGAAGACGCGATGATACAGCAGAGGATTGCGATACTCTTCTCGCCAGACGTCGAAGGAAAGATCACAGAATTTGCATTTCACCGCACGATCTTGAGTGTCGTAATAAAAGCCCAACTTGGCCAGGAATCCCGTGTCGATGTTATCAAGAGGACAGGCTTCAAAGGTAGTTAGACGATCACGTTCTTTAAATAAATTCAAATCACTCATGGTTAATTAGGGTGGCGAAAGAACGCATTTATTCGTTCAACTTTGGTGCCAGTCTTCTTTGTACTGAACTCGGATCACTGATTGCCAACTTGTATCTCTGTCAATAAATGCCTGATAAGATAAAGTCCTCAGGAGAAACACTTGTGGACAATTTGCAGTGTTTCAAGTTCAGTGGAAATAGAAAATTGACATGTTTAAAGTGTTTACGGCTAAACAATGCATCATTATGTTCATATTCACACCCTTCTAAGAAGTTTAGTCATTTGTGAGTTGAGTCTAAGCCCTGGTCTAAGCCCTTGCGGAAGGAAATCCTGGTAAACAAGACACGTACTTCGTTATCAGTCATCAAGAAATTTCCGGAAATGCTCCTCGTTTTCTAAGAACTCTGACTAACACTTTCTTCACGCATTGATTTAAAAATAAATTTATCGTTTCTGAATATTTGAATAAATCAGGAATTCTAGGACTTTAGATAAGAGATAATGAGCTTGGGAAAAACCAACATTTGAATTCCTTCAATCCATCAGTCTTTGTTCTTTTTGAACTTATCACAATGACGTTCGAACCTCTTATCACGGAAATTGTGAAAAAGTGAGGAATTTTAGCGGTTCAAATGAATCACATGACCGCATTTCCAAGAAAACTTGCATCAGTTCATCCTTAAAGCTACTTTTATTATTATATCACACTTATATGAAACGGATGGATGAGTTTATTAATTCATCACAACTTTATAGATAGACTCTCTGGTATTTATCGACTCTGTGGTTGCAGTAGAAGCACTTCTTGACTTTGGTTGAGCAGTTTGCGCAAGTGACGATGTGTCCGCAAGGAATGAACATAATGTTGGACTTTTCCTCGCCGCAGAGCTTGCAGATGCCAACAGGAGCATCGAGATGCGCCGAGGGTTGATCGTCTTCGGCATCAGCGGAAGGATTTTGCTGCTCAAGAGCTTCTTGTGCAAAGTTCTCTCCCTTGTGGTGAATTAGATATTCACAGGAAGCATTGGCTTTGGCGTGTTCCACCCAAGGATCGTCATCAGGCTGCCAACCGCCCAGTCTCACTTTGCAACTGATGCACTTGACAATGTCGTTGCGATCCTTGTAGATAAATCCCGCCTCCACGAGCTCCTTGGGTGACGGATTGAGCTGCTGCGGCCAGTTCTTGAATGTCGCCTCCCTTGACGCTTGCCTTCTGTAGATATGTTTGTAGATCTTGTACGGATCTCTGGGTCGATCGAATCCACACATATCCGCAGAAAGCGGCCGAACAGATCCGACGCCATCAACTGCACTCGAAATAACACTCATTTTTAAATACTAATAGCACTTAATTCTTCCTTTTTTTCATTTTCCTTGCAGTTAATCTAAAGCTCTACTACCTTCGCGATACGCTTCTCTTTCCACTCAAAGGGACTTTGCAAGAAATCAGTCTTATTTAAGCATTTCTCTTATCACAAAATGAGCGCCAAACTGTCGCCTGGATTGCTGGGAAATTATAAGATAAGATACAATGACGGTAATACTAGTAAACACTTAATGATAATAACTTTTACGAGATAAGATAAAAGCATATTTTTTATAGGAATTCGAAGCTACGATGCATAAAATATCGAATATTGAAAGAAAGGCGCCATGCGCTTCTCATTGATAAGAAATGTTTTCAAAGTAAAATGTTTTGCGCGGAATAATTAAGAGATTTGAAGGAAATCTTTTTTAAAAGTTCTGTCAATCGAATTTCCTGCTATGATTTGTCTGATTCTCGATTTATTTCCATCAGAAAATTCAATAAATCGATATTAAACATTTCAGTAGAGTTTCGAAGATTATTCCTTGAAGTGTTAAAAACGAAGTGTAATCTTTCGGTGTCAATTTTACACCGAACACATTTTATTACAGCTTAGTAAGGCTCTTCGCCGCAAGGAGTCGCTTCGCTGAGTGAAGAGGTGAAGTTGCATCAGCTGCGAAGCTGAGCGTCCGGTTGTGTTTTTTGGCATGGAAATATTCGGCTAAATAGCAACACGAGCGGTGAGATTGTGGATATTTTTGCGAGTTGAGACATCAAGGAGAGAAAAGAAGTTGAATGACTGGCAATTTGCCGTGTTATGGCAAGACTTCTCAGCACTGGTAGACTAGCGGCAAAGATCACGCAACGACTGAGTGACTTCACAAGGCAGGTACAATTTTCCACTGTTTTCTCCCGTTTTCCACCTCATTTGCGCATTTTTTGTGTGTCTGCAGAGGAAGTGTGGGGAATTGCTGGCAAGGAATCAGGATGGCCACGAGTGGAGAGCACACAAATCGGCTGATTAATGAGAAGTCGCCGTATTTGCTGCAGCACGCGCACAATCCCGTGGATTGGTATCCGTTTGGCCAGGAGGCCATCGAGAGGGCCAAGCGGGAGAACAAGCTCATCTTCCTGTCCGTGGGCTACTCCACGTGCCACTGGTGTCACGTGATGGAGAAGGAGTCCTTCGAGGATGAGACAATCGCGAAGGTGATGAATGACAACTTCGTGAACGTGAAGGTTGATCGGGAAGAGCGTCCGGACGTGGACAGAATCTACATGAGCTTCATCCAGATGACCAGCGGAGGCGGAGGCTGGCCAATGTCCGTGTGGATCACGCCTGAGTTGCGTCCCATCATGGCCGGAACGTACTTTCCGCCCGTCGATCGCTGGGGTCAGCCGGGCTTCCGGACGATTCTGCAGCGGATGGCGGACAAGTGGCGCCGAGACTCGGGCGAGCTGGAGGGATTCAGTTCGTCCGTTGTCGCGGCAATGCAGGAGAGCCTGAAGATGGCTGAGAACACGTCGGATGACTTGGCGATTGAGGAGAAATTCAAGGAGTGCACGAAAATCTACAAAGGTCGCTTTGACGGCGTCTGGGGAGGATTTGGCCATTCGCCAAAGTTTCCCGAAGTCTCTCGTCTCAATTTCCTCCTCCACGCTTTTCTGCACGCGAAGATCTTCCTCGGCAAGACGGACGAGGACATCTTCCATTCCGTCTCGTACACGCTGGAGAAAATCTGCCACGGAGGCATTCACGATCACGTCTTTGGCGGCTTCTCGCGCTACTCCGTGGATCAGAAGTGGCACGTGCCGCACTTCGAGAAGATGCTCTACGATCAGGCGCAACTCATGACGATTCTCTGCAATAGTTATCGCATGAGGCCGCGGAAGCTCTTCCTGGACGTCGTGGACAGAGTGTTTGAGTACATGTGCAGTGATTTGAGGGAGTCTCGAGGGGCATTCTTCAGTGGTGAGGATGCTGACTCCTTTCCCACTCATGCGTCGCCGGAGAAGATCGAGGGCGCTTTCTATGCGTGGTTGCAGAGTGAAATTGAGGAGGCTTTCGAGGAGAATGCAGGGAAACTTGCTGAATTCTCCTTCAACGCCCTGGAAGTCTTCTTGCATCACTACTCGGCGAAGGAAGAGGGCAATGTGGATCACAGGAGTGATCCTCATGGACATCTTCAGTCGAAAAACATCCTCATGATCACAGGATCTGTGCAGAAGACGGCGGAACACTTCAAAATATCCGTTGAGGAGCTCCAGAAGATGCTCAGCATCGCCAATGAGTTTCTCCACGGGATTCGCAACAAGCGTCCGCGGCCACATCTGGACGTGAAGATGGTGTGTTCATGGAATGGGCTGGTTTTGACGGGATTGTCGAAGCTGGCGTCGCTCAAGGAGTCTTCAGTGCAGGAAGATTGTGGCAAAGTGGCCGGAGAACTGTTCAAATTCATCCAGGAGAACTTCTTTGACCACGAAGCGGGGAAGCTGAAGAGAGTTTGTTACTCACCAAGTGAGCAGAGCACCTCTAATGCTCCCATTTATGGCTTCTTGGATGATTATGCCTTTATGATCAGAGGTCTTCTGGACTACTATGAATTCTCCCTGAGAGAAGATGTTCTGCTCTTCGCCAAAGACTTGCAGGACATCCAGGATAAATTGTTCTGGGACGCCGAGAAGGGCGGATATTTCTACACGGAGGCCAATTCGGACAATTTGATTGTGCGGATGAAGGAAGACTACGATGGCGCTGAACCCTCGGGCAATAGCATGAGCGTGAAGAATCTCCTCCTGCTTGGCGGGTATTTTGATAGCAGTGATTATCGCGATAAGGCCAAGAACACTCTCAAGCACTTCAGTGCAATGAGTCACTTTGGATACGCGCTGCCGGAAATGATGTCTTCGGCTCTGATTCACGACACTGGCGTGAATGAGATCGTCATTGTGGGTAAGTTTAGAGATTAATCCTTTGCCCTTGAGAGACAGAATGTTGATTGATTCACACTCCTCCTCAGGTCCTGACAATGAGGCCAGCATGGAATTTGTCAAGGTGATCAGAGAATTCTATATTCCCGGACTGACGATCTTCCGTGTGAACACGGACAGTGCGAAGGAGTTTGCGAAGATCAAGAAGGACACACACAAGATGCTCAATAATTTGCCCACAGTGCACATTTGCTTCAATCAGACTTGTTTGCCGCCTGAGACGAGTGTTGACAATGTCAGGCGAATCTTGGCGGAAAAGTACACAAGTCGCAATTGAGGCAATTTCGCCGAAATCCCCTTTCTTTTCCACCCTTCGAAAGGTTAGAGTTGAGAGAGAGTAAATTGTTTTATGTTTTCGCATGTGCGATTTTGCAAAAAGGGATTTTTTCTCAAAAATATTTATGTGTAAATAATGCATTTTCCCAACTATATTGCGCCCTCATAAATAAATGAATCCCTCAAAATATGTGTCCTTTTTCCTCTGCCTCAGAGACCTCAATAAAAGGAATAATTACGAAACGACCATGACCATTGCGGAAAGATGGGTGAAAGAGAAGAAGAGTGAAACGGCAGCGAAACGACTCAATAAGGCGTCGAAAGTGTTGAGCTTTGCAAAGGTCCAACTATATGCAATGGACGGGAAGGATTTCAGGAAAACACATGTATTTGTTTAACAGATAAATATGGAAATACAAAAGGAAGATAAATAAATGGCATTTGATATGATGTTTTATGGTTTTTCAGCACAGAGAGAAATTCCGGAGTAAAAATCTCTTTCTAGAATTAAACGCGATCAAAAGACTTTCCTTCCTCCTTAAACAGGTCTTTAATTCAGGATATTTTCAATGTATTTGAGTGAAAAGTGTTATCGATGCAATTGACACGAGAAACTCTTGTCCAAGGGGCAGATATTTCAGTCGGAAGTGGTGTACAACATTGTAGAAGTGTTAGAGAAGTGGAAGTAGTAAAATATTTAAAATCATTGCATAGCAAAAGCTTCAGTTTCAACAAATTGAGGCATTTCTTAATTAATTTAACTTAAAAAATCAATTTTATTGAATTTTTAGGTTAGGTGATTTATATAAAACAGATTCTGGTAATTAAATGATCCTCAAAATCATTAAATTTATGTTTAAACTGTGAATAATTCTCTTTTTCTTGAAAAATTTGAGCATTTTTCATCGAAAAAATTTCATATTGTCCGAGAAAAAGTTTAAAAGTCAACCATAACCTTAAAAAATATTATTTCAGTCTAGAAGAATGTTTCTTTGCATGATTATTTCCGCGGTTTTTGCTTTAAAGTGACTAATTCAACCTCATTATCTTGAAGAAACATTCAAAGATTCACTATATTCACTAATTTCCAGGTTTGGAAGGACTAAAATTAGTCAAAGAAGGATATTTTAAGTCGAATTCATAACCTCACAATTTTTCAAAGCATTTTCTGAAGGCAAAACTTAGATTAGATTCTGATAAGTCTGAATTGAGTGTGAGAAACAGTTGAAGAAGTCTGAAAAGCGATGAAAAATGCCTTTCAATAGGTTAAGGAGTGTTAGGAAGTGTTGTAAAGATTTGAGGCATATTATTTCCTCCTTGTCTTGTCCAACAAAGTCAGAGAATTGAACATTCCGCTGAGATCCTTTGGCTCAGGAGTGAATGCCTCATTTGGCCTCCGCAGAGTGAGAAAGAAAGAGGCGAAGAGGACGTATTTTTAATAATCGATAGCGACCTTCTAGTAAATATTTTACAATCTCACAGAAATTGGTTGTCCTGTGAAACTCCGTGGCAGAGCGATTGCCTTCGCCCAACATGCTAAATTGCTACCGATAGGCCAGAAACTATGCCATAAAGGCGATGCGGACATTCGTCATTGTTGGCCGAATGTCATGCCCATTTGCTCCACCTCCGAGGACTGCGGCGGGACCGGCAGGGATTGGAGAAATTCACTGTTTTGCTGTATTTCCCTAATTCAGGCGTAAAATGTTGTGAATTCTTCGTGGAAGGAACTACCGAAAATAGAGGACAACACTCACCGCGGGGGTGGTAAACTATATCGATGGGGTGTTGAAGATGCGGGACTCCAAACTTCAGTTTACACTCAACCGCACAGTTTAATTTTTATGGTTTTCGGAACACAGGCACTCTCTTTGTCCTCCTCCCCCTGCCCTGGAATTCCTCCTCCGTCGCCGCCGCGCATTTTCTCCTCACTTCGCCACTTCCGACGGCGGAGGGAAACTTTCACTTTGCCCGCGCGCCGGGAAAATCAGCTCAGAGCGTCTTCAAATTGCTTCAGTGGGCTTCCAGCAATTATCTTCTCTCACTCTCGCGGGGTCTATAAAGTATTTTCGGTAAATTACTCATGCCTCACGAAGAAATTTATCCTCAAATTATGTACAGAGAGACAAGGGGGAGATAATGTGCCACAAATATGTACACCACTTCCTCACACTTCCACAGATTCTGTGCTGAATTTCAAACACTTCGGACACTTATGAACGTCTTTAGAGTCATTTTCAACTGTTTTTCACACTCAATTCTGACTGAAAATGCTTTGAAAACTTCTGAACAAATTGTGAGGTTATGAAATTGGTCTTAAAACCCTTTTTTGACTAATTTTATTTCTTTCAGACTTAAAAATGAATAAATATAATGAATATCTCAATGTTTTTGCAAGATAATTCAGTTTAGTTTCCCACTTTAAGGCACAAACCGCGGAAATAACTAAGAAAATAGACATTCTTCTAGACTGAAATATGTATTTTTGAGGTTATGATTGATTTTAGGGATTTTTCTCAACCAATATAAAGTTTTTTTTGAGCAAAAATGCCAAATTCTGTCGAGAAAAACAGAAATAATCTCAGATATTATTCCCAGAGCAATGTTTAATCACTAAAATCTGTCTTAAATCAATCACATAACCTAAAAAAGCAATAAATTCTATTTTTTTAGCAAAATAACTTTGGGAAATACCTAAATTTGCTGAAAAAAAGCTTAGACAGTGCGAATACTTAAAATATTTTAACGATTTTAACACTTCTAATCCGTAACACTTTCGTGAAATTGTACACCACTTCCGACCACAATAGCTGCCCCTTGCAGAGAGACGAAGAAGCATCTCAATTCTCACTCAGGGCATATTTGCATACTAAATTGTGGAGAAATCGTGCTCAAAGTGGTGCTTATTAATTGTGTTTTGTGTGTGTTTATGAATTAGGAATTGGTAAAAAGTCACTCTAGAGGCTCCAAGATAAACATTTTATCTCTGGATAATTTTCCCACCTCATAAAAGGGTGTCTTAATAATTCCTCGGCATCTGAATGTGCCGGAGCGCCGAGGAAAATATCTTGATTATCTGGTGGAAAAACCTCCACAGTTTCCAATTAGTGCTGGTGAAAAGGACGCAGAGAAAATATATAGCATGAAATGATCCAATTAGCGATTTTCATTACGTTGTGAAAATGGTGAAAATAGAGGAGAAAAAGCATCCATTCGCCCTAAAGAGTCTCACATATATTCGTCCAATATTGCGCCACGCGTGAAAGAGAGAGAAAGGGAAGAAAAGATGTTGGAGAGGGAAAATCACCTCGTCAAGGTATACAAATGCGTTGGCATTTAATAAAAGCGCCAAAAAGCGAATGAGAAAAGCCCGTCCAAAAGATAACCAAACACACAACAAAATGAAGACATACACTTTTTTGGATAAACATATAAATTGCATTGAATTTCGGGCAAAAGTGGGTGTGCTTATCTGTTGGCTTCTGATACGTATCAGATAATAAACAGTTTGAAATTGTACATAAGCAGCATAATTGTCGATTATAAAGCTCATAAATGTCCTAATCAAATATCCTCCGCTTCTTCTTCTCTCTCTCTCTCGTGCCATCAACGGCAAAACTTTGCCAACAATAATAAATTGTCAGAAAATTGCTCTGGGTTGGCTTGTGAAGGAAGGTGCGAGGGATAAACTCGGTGAATATATAACAATTATATATGGAGCAATTACGGTACGTTGCATATATATGCCTGTGTAGATGGAATTTTCCGCCCTGGCGCTGGGGCAGAGCTTTCGGGGGTTGTGGGGGGGAGAGAATAAAAGCTCATAAAATGTTCTTAATGCATCCTTTCCTCCCCGTCCCAGACTCGCTCAATATCCTCATTCCTCTCGTCCTGCTGCGCGTCTCTCCGACGGGAAAGGCGCTGCCGCTTATAAAATCCTCAATGATTAATAACTGAGCGGCGGGGGTGCGGAGGCCAGGCCGGGTATTTCCGCCCCACCAACCCTCGTTGGAGTTGGAATAAAGCTCCCCGTATAATATGGTACATTTCGCCTCATTTAAAACATTATTTCAGATTATATGCTAACTCCCCACTATGTTGCTGAATATAAAATGGATAAAATATTTATCGAATCCACCAGAGTCGCTTATCAATTCATCTCGGGCGCACTTCTGCCCCATTCACTCGTCCGCCATTGGCTGGCGTCTCATCTCGAGGCTCCGCCCCTCAGTCAGACTCATCCCTGCCTGCCCAACGCCGACTTCACTGCGCTCAGCCAGCCGAACACTCCACGCCAGTGACCAGTTCTTGTCGGTCGAACGCGAGCGATCGTCTGTTCACTCTCCCTTCGCCTATCATCGAGTTTTCGTACATTTTCCAGAGTGATCCTCCCAACCCTCAGACACTATAATATCCTTCAGCGAGAACCTGTGGACGTTTTCTAGCCAGTGTGTTTGTTCTGTGGACATTCTTTTGAGCCTCCTTTTCGCGCCACAGTGAAGAGGTGGACAGAGAAAAATGCAAGGATTCCATGCATATTCCCTCAACACACCCAAGAGAGATCAGCAGCAAATTATCATTGATTTGATGCCTTCGCAATACACAAAGTCTTCCACTCCGCCACCCACGCCGCCACTAAACGGTAAGCATCACCCCAAAAACGCTCACCCAAAACCGTAAGAAACCACGTGCGACAAGTAACTCTTTATTGCACTGGCTAAAATCCCTCCTAATATGTCGTAATAGGATTAAGTTTACAATCATTAAAGGCTTAAGGGAAATTTTTACACAGGTAAGAAATGTCCTTATAATGATGTACGAAAACTCTACAACACATCGCCAAGAATCTTCAATTACTGCCCATAAGATTTGCAGAAGCGTTTTGAGGCTTTTTTTTCTCGGAAAAATTAACAGATCGTTCATCACTAATTATTTTAAGAATTCATTCCGAGAAACCAAGTGTAAATTATCTCTGAAATACCCTTGCCAAAAGCAAACCTGCAGCAATTCATCTTAAGCCTAGTAATTGCACTTGATCATCAACTTTCATCGCCCGGCATTCGATAATAATTAAGAAGAATTTTAAAGATTAAAGCCCAACTCGTGAAAGTGTGAGAAATCTGTGCAAAGAACAGAAATAGCATTTATATTGCTGGCCAAAAACTAAATAAAATTCTCGTGACTCTAGATCAAGATGAGCACATTCCATCTTTTCATATTTTACGACCCTTGCGCGGCATATGAAAATGCCGAATATTAATTGTTTCTCTCTTTCGGCAAGAAAGCCCACAAACATTAGTTAATAAGAGTGCGCTAATATTGCTAAATGAATTTTTAAAGTCTCTCAAGCTTTCGTATAAACGAGAATTATTAGTTTATAAATGGTCTTAATTTACACGAAAGACCAGAAACAGCAAACACTAATTTTACGCGATTAAAGAATTCAAAATACTGCGACGTTTGAAACACGCGCAGCCTCTTTTAACACGTTTTTTTTTTCCTTGCTTCGGCCGTCCAGATCACCTCGGGGGCCAAATAACCGATAATAATTTGTGGTAATTGATGAAGGGTTCACCGCGACGCGGCAAAAGCGGAAATGGTGAAGGCTTCCAAGTTTGATTTACCATTTAGAGACAGTCATCCAGACTGGGAAATGATGCTCAGGATAAGAGATGTTAATTTAAGAACGGCTGATTTCACTCCTGCACACGAGAGAATAAAGGCGGTGATGAATCAAAAGATTTGCACTCTTCAGACTCTGTCAATTTAATACGCGTAACAAAATCGTGCGATAACGCCGTAAGAATCTTAGCGCATTATCTCATTTGCGCTGAAGTTATCGATACCAAGGGGCAGATATTAAAGTCAGAAGTGGTGTACAGCTTTGTGGAAGTGTTTGGGAATTGGAAGTGATCAAATATTTGGAATATTTGCATAGCAAAAGCTTCAGTTTCAACAAATTTAGGCATTTTCTAAAAAATATTACTTAGATAAACAAATTTTTGCTTTTCTAGGTTATGTGATTGATTTAATACAGATTCTGTCGCTTTGAAAACCCTCAAAGTCATTAAATTTGTGCTTAAAATGGGATTATTACACTTTTTCTCCACAGAATTGAGCATTTTTTATAGAAAAAAAATTTGATATTGATTGAGAGAAAGTTTTAAGGTCAATCATAACCTTAAAAAAAATGTTATTTCAGTCTAGAAGAATTATTCTTTTATTCAACCTCAATATCTTGTAGGAGCATTCAGAGATTCACTATATTCACTAATTTTCTAGTTTATTAAGTTCTAAATTAGTCCAGAAAGGAATTTTTAAGTTTAATTCATAACCTAAAAAGTTGTTCTGAATTCTTTAAAGCATTTTCTGAAGGCAAAACTCTAAAAAGCACTGAAAAATGCCTTTTTTAGGCGTTCTGAAGTGTCTGAAGTGCTGAAGATCCTGCAGAGAAATTGTGAAAGTGTTCGGAAGTAGGGTACAAATTTCAGGCATATTATCTCCCTCTTGATCGATACAGTTTGCATGCCATTTCCTTTTCTAGCACAATTTTATGGGAAAAAATAGTTAAAACTGACATTTAAAGGACTAATTAGTAACTTTCCAATGAGTGTCGATAAGTGTCGATAACTTCTTTCAGTCCAATAATCTCAGGATTTTATCAGACAGCTTATTTCTAGCCAAAATCGAAAAGTTTATTTGCGAAGCTTGAGAGGAAAAACTGGTAAAGATTCCAGTGTCTCAAATATTCTACCGTAAATAAGTGTATTAGGAACACGTGCTCAGCTAATTCAGCAACACATTGAACAAAGAAATCCACTTTGGGCTCATAAGACGGCAAATCAGAAGGCATTTTTGCATGTTTCCACTTCAGATCGACTAGACAACGAGACTCTTTCTGTCTTTTTGGCTTCCTTCCTCAACTCGAGTGGCGCACGGAAATTGGTCGCCAACACTTTTAATCGCTCTTCCTTTTTCCCACCGGATCATCTCTCTCGCCACGAAAATTGTCGGAAGATGGTCGAAATCCGGAAATGATTTAATAGGCGCGCATTCATGGCGTGAATTGGTTTCAGCGAAATTTCACTGTCAAAAGGGAGGGAAAAAAATGTGGGCAGAATGCGTCGAAAATGCCAAATTAGTAATACATAATTGTCAATATAGTGATAAAAGATAAAAAAAATCCCCATGGTGTACCTAATGATGGTGTAATAAAATAATTTACAAGTCATAAATGGTCGGTAAAAATCAAAGTTGCTGCGATGCCTTGAAAAACTTTTTCTCCCTCGGCGCGGCCAACATTGGCCTGTTTCGGGGCTCCTTTCTCAGTATCTCTGGTCTGTCTTTTGGGTGACTTTGGGGGTTTGAGGCTCTTTTTCAAGAACAATAAATTTCTCCTTAGACTGACCGAGTCCCGTTAGATGCAATAAATTCTATCCTTCGCACAAAAATATGACTGCCGAACAACATGCAATCAGCATAAAGCTAATCCTTTTAGTTCATTGCTCAGCCCGTTTTTCTCCAATTACCACTCGAGCACCTTTTAAGGAGATTAGGACGAAAATTCGATTACGACACATTATTGCCAGTGTGTGTGTGTTTTTTCACCGACTCAAACATGAGTCACACGCAGAGTTTCCACCTGCTGATTTTCATCTTTCACCCTCTCCCCGGTCGCCCTTTATTATTTTCTCTCCGGCTCAGATAATCCCTTCGCTTCCAGCTTATGGCTTCTCATTTTCCCCAAATGCTTGACTGAAATCCCGGGAGGAAAATGTATATTTTTTTTCCACCCTCCCTTTTGGGCACATTATTATTTGAATTTTGCGCGCCGACGAAAAACGGTCTCCCTCTTTGGCCATTTTCCACAACCCCGCCGCCGACGTGCTTGCTTGGGTTGGGAAAAATCCACCGTGTAGCCATTCTTTCACCATTTTCGGGAGGCGTAGCATAGAAGATTTTCACGTTTGAGACAAAATCCCATTTTCACCACTCTCTGGCGCCGCCCTCAATGGCTCCTTCCCGCTTCGCGCGCAACCTCCGGAACCGGGGAAAAGACGTGCGAGCGGAGCTGGAAGAGACGCTTTTCCCTCCGTCGAGGGCGACACAATTGCTGTCTCTTCGCTTCTCGTGGCATCAAATATTAACACTGGTCAATCGCCCGACTTCAAATTGCTCAGCACTCTCACACAGTCCGATAGCCTGATTTCCCTTCTGGCTGACGAGGAACTCCTTTTCTGCCTGATGCATAAAGTATCGGAAATTTCTGGCTTCGTGTCGGAGAAGATTTGGTCATATATTAAGGAGAATGTATGCTGATCAGCGATGAAGAAAGTTATTGTTTATCTTGTTCAATCCAATCAAACATACAACAAAGAAGTTTCAATAAAAATTCACTTTGATTTTCCCTTAAATTTTGCTGTTGTATTCAAAGAACGATATTATTGAACATAAATTACAACAAATCACGGGGAAGATAATATGCCTTAAATCTGTACACCACAATTTCCTGACACTTTCTAGAACTTCAGACTTCATGGATTGTTGAAAACAAGACTAAAATCAATTAATAACTGGGATTTAACTCAAAAATGACTGAAATCTAACCGAAAACTAACTGAAATCTTACTCACAATTTTAAAATTCACGTTTTCATACAATATTTAAGGAGTTTCGTCCCCTAAGAATGCTTAAATTATCTTCTTTTTTATTTCTAACTCAAAATCGAAACAGTTTATTAACAAAAATTGAGGTTATGTTTCACTTTAGCATTATTTCTTAAAATCACAATTTTCATTGAATAAAAAGACACAATATTTTCAATTAAAGCACTAGAATTTCTACTTTAACATGTTATTTAGTCTTAAATTTATCAAAAATCCAGAAATAAAACAATAGAAGTAAAATAATCAGCAGAAAATCAAAGCTGTGAACCAAATATTGCATAAATTGAAACACTTTCACTTGCTTAAACTTGCAAATCTGCTGTAAATAAGATTGTCCAACTGTCTCTCTTTGCAGATGGCTCAAATTCCAGCACGGACAATCAAAATGCTCCCGCAGATCCGTCGGTGCGAAGGTACAGAACGGCATTCACGAGGGATCAACTCTCGAGATTAGAGAAGGAATTTTTTAAGGAAAACTACGTCTCACGACCAAGAAGATGCGAATTGGCGGCTCAACTCAATTTACCCGAATCCACAATAAAGGTTGGTTTTCCATACTCTCTATTTATTCAACTGTGTGGGGATGTTTTGCAAAAGAAGTTTGCCAAAACCCGTAAAATATCACAATTTATGCACACTTGAGCAAAAATCACACTCGCAATCTGACCAAATTGATTTCTATCGCAGTTGAGAATCAAAGTTATTTCCCCATGCTTTTTGGCCAATTTAAGGGATGTTTGAGCATAAAATTGCAATGAGTATCTTTGTTGGGCATCGCCAGAGTTGGCATTTTAAAGTCGTCCTTGTGTAGGATAATTGGGTGAGGATTAATTGCAATCCGAGGCATTATCAATGACATGTGCCTAATGGGCTCATTGAGATAAAAGTTTTCTTCTCTGGCGTCAATTAATACTCCATTAAAAGAAGTAAACACTTCCGGCACTCTCAAAAAACCCTTCCCTTCGACAGTCTGTCGACCAATGAGACTCTTGAGAACTCCTTCACAGGCTCTCATATAAAATTCTCACGATATTTTTGACAACTTGAAGGAGAAGAGAATGATTTTGGAGCGTTTGCGGGTGGACAAAAATAGAATTCATTAGGAGTAAATGTTGAGTGAAAAGATGATCAATTCGACAGTTGGTATGAATAAAAAAAGCCACAGTGACATTTTTCGAGGTTTGGAGGTGTGAAATGTGGTAAAAAAAATCCATAAAACTAATTTTTCCATGCCGTCTCAAACACACTGGATAATTGTTTCTCAGGCATATTGAGTGCCACTTTAATACCAACATGATTTAACTGCTAAGGAATATAAACAGTCATTCATTTTACATAAGTGAGAGGCAATTTTTCCGACGAATTTCCTCTTTTAGGAGGTCTCTAAAAATCTTCGCTCTTTGCCTCTTGTGGGCGTCAAAGCGTCGTGAGAGAGAGAAGAAAAGAAAAAAAAGACAAAATGGGGGGAATAAATTGAAGAGACAATTTTACAGTGAGGCGCAAAATTGTGGCTGAAGAAATTGAAGACGATTGATCGAATCCTTTACACGATGTTTAATAAGTGGGAGCAATTTCACGGTTTCCTTTTTTCCGCTTCGTGAGGAATAAACTCTCCTAATTGAAACAATGGTAAGATTATGATGCTTCACACAATGGTTGTGCCTTTGATCTCACACCGGCCAAAGACGGTACAATATGATATGCTGAGGCCACTTCGGGGCATTTATTGGGCATCCAAGAAGCAGAGACAGAAAGAGAGAAGACATACAGATATTCAATGTATGTGATAATGAGTTTAACTTTTCGGTTACAATGTATTATATTTTTCAAGAGGTATAACTCGAAATTCTAAATAAGCTGTTAGCAGTTAATAAAATATGTATAATTGGCAAGTGATGGCTAAAGCGCGGCTACCGAAATAAAGACATTTTATAATAACACTTTGCCACATGGGTGCTAAGTGACCAAACCTCGATATTCCTCTGTGTTCTTCATCAATTTCCATAGTCAAAAAGTGCCTTTGTTTTCAACCACCACGATTCATTTTTATCACACCATCAATGGCCGGATGAAGAAAAAGGCACGACTGTAATTTTAAAGTCATCATTTTGTGTCATGCTTTGATGGCATGCGGAGTCTGGGAAGAAGAGTGTGTGTGCAATATTGCTAAGAAATCTCTCAAATTAATAATCATGTGACAAGGCTGTCCAGTATTCCACACACACACGGCATAATAAAAAAGACGCACCATGACGAGTTGCGGCAGAGCTTATTAGTCTACCGACTGCAAACATCCTTCCCAGAAGCAATCGTGACTTCTTCCCACCGCCCAAGGACGCTTTCTAAACGACCCTCTCTCTCTCTGTCGCTCTCTAGGTGTGGTTCCAGAATCGACGGATGAAGGACAAGCGGCAGAGGATCGCCGTGGCCTGGCCGTACGCCGCCGTGTACTCAGATCCCGCGTTCGCCGCCTCCATCCTCCAGGCGGCCGCCAACTCCGTGGGCCTGCCGTACGGCTACCCGCCAGGACACCACCTGCTGCCGCAGCTGCCCGTCATCTCGCCGCAGCTCTCCTCCAACCACTTCTCCTACGGCTACCGCTACGCCCCGTACCCCATTCCGCAGCGCTCCGGGCCGCCCATGCCGCCCTACCCGGGCTCCATGCTGCCCAGCCACCAGGACTACACGCCGCCCATGACACACCCGCCGCACACGCCGCCGCCGCACGACATGCAGAGCCCCGCGTCGCCACACTCCGACGGCGTCTCCCTCAGCCCCGACATGAGCAAGCTGGAGCCGCTCAAGTGCATAGCCGAGCAGCCGCCGACGGACCTGGGCGGCTGCCAGACCAGCCTGCCGAAGCTACCTGAGAAACCAAAGCTATTTAAGCCCTACAAGTCAGAGATGTAAATACAGTTCCCAAGTGTTTAGCCGATATTGGAAGTATTTGAGTGTAGTCTGTATGTGCTAATTGTAAAGATAAAAAAAAGAAAAATAGGTGATCCAAATTAGGGTACGAGCGAGATTGAGGAGGCAATTTTACCATTTTAGTGTAAAATACTGGAATAAACATGAAAATCGCATTGTTCGAAGATGTCACATTATTTACTCGACGGTCAAAAGGAGCTCCTCTGTGCGTCTCTCTTTCATCTTCTCACCCTGTTGACACTACACGGATCGCCACTTGAGACATCTAATTAGTCTCAGGACTACTGGAGTCCATTCAGCCTCTCAGGCTCATGCCATTCTTCCTTCTTCCGCACTTCTCAAGTTTCCAGAAGGCGCTCACTTCCATGTAAAGCATGCGAGAAGAAAGAACTGCTAAAAACCATGAAGAGATTTTGCTGTTTAGTGTTAAACACACAAGTTAGGCGAATAATCATCATCCTGAAGATATTGGAAAGGTGAGGATTGAGTGCAGAAGTCGCAAGTGCTCAAAAACTTACAATATTCTTTGGATTTCCTTTGATTTTCACGCAGAAACAATCGTAATATTACTTTTTCTAGGTTATGCAATGAATCAAGAGCAGATTTAATGAATTATTTGTATTGTTTCACATCAATTCTTATGCTCAAGTGGAAGAAATCGTTAATCATAGACAAAATTAAGCATTTGCATGCATTATTCATTAATAATTAGAGTCTTTAATGCCAAGAAACACTTTAAATTGTGCTAAAGTCGAACATAATCTCTAAAATAATCATTTAGACTCGGAAAATGTTAATTTTGAAACCTTTCTGGACGATTTTACTCTGAATCAGCAATTTTAAGTTCATTGGCAAATTTAAAGAGTCGATTTTGTGATTTAGAAAGCTTCCAAACGGAGTCTTTAAGGATTTATTAGTAATATTTTAGGGTTATGGACGAAAAATACATCCAAATTAGCGGTTTCAAGTAGATTTTTACAGAAATATCGAAGGTTTGTACAAATTAAGAGCATATTATCTACCTCTTGGTGAAATGTTCTGTTCAATCCTCACGTTTTCCTTGAGTTTCCACTGAAAATTCTCCAAGAAGATGTAAAATCGTCTCTTTAATCGTGTTGAAATATCATTTTAGACGGTTTAAAGGTGAGAGAGAGCTTCAGCGTGCTTTGCAAAAGCAACCCCTTGAGTTGATGGGTTAAATTGTACCTAAGATTTCCCCGGCCGGAGCGGTTCTGCCGGCCAGAAGTGCCCACGAGGTGTCGGAGGGTCTTGCTGAGGATGCAAATCGACGGACTGAGCTGCCACATGTGGACGGATGAAGAGCATCCCATCAATATCAAGCGCGAGAGTGTCTTCCTCTGCAGACAAATGGCCACACAATGAATAATCGGAATCTCTTTTTATCGCCCGCCCAGCATCCGAAAATGAGATAAACAAGGACACGGAGCGGCAGAATGGGGGAGAATAAATGTCTATTATGTGTAACTAGATAAACGGCGGAGCAATTAAATGGCATGTGCAACCAAATAACGTGTCTAATTGCTAAATTGCCTGCCTATCGCCCAAGTATTTATTGGATATTGCGAGGGTGGAATATTGTCACATTGATTGCGCTCCTCCTGTGCGAGGGAAAATTAAATCACTCACCCTGTATTATCCTGATCGCACAATTAAATGCCTTTCGCTCGACGTCAATTTGTGGTCAAAATAATTAAAATGCCGCACCGTTTGTCCAGATCATTGTTGTCCATCTCGCTTCCCAGGTGGTCAGCCTATTATCGGGATCGCAGGGATGCATTTACGCAGGCAATAAAGAGTCTTTAGCGTGGTGAACAAAGCGCACACAGGAAATCTCTAGGCTAGATAAATCGATTTGTTGGCCAAGAAATCGATAGAGAAAAAGTGATTTTGCGCGAAAAGCGGCAATAAGATAAACGATCAGAAAAAACTGATTTATCTCAAATTAATAAAGCGCTTCGGTTCATTCAACCCTCCATCAAATACTGGGGGATGTTGTGTTAACAACAGATTTCGCCCAGTTAACTCTTCGTCCCCTTGACAAAAATCAACCCTCTGTCGCCCCGAGAAAATGCAGAGATAATATCAAATTATCCAATTGTAATTCTCTCTCCGTGTCATCTATCGGTGTATCAAAATAATAAAAACAGTATCAAGTTGATAAATATTTAATAGGGCTGTATTTTTCTGCCATCCCTTTCGCATAACACAATTATAATTGACCCGATCTCCTCCTCCCTTTCTGTCCCGCCGCGCACAGAAGGAGGAATTATGGAAATAGCTGAGAAAAGGGATCTCAGAGATACAAAACTCTCATCTCTCTCTCTCTCACCCTCACTATGGCCATCATACGCATATTTTCATAAAGATTCAACATCATTTCACATCAATTTCATACTCATTTTTATATTCATGCGCGCGCGACGAGAGAAAAACATTTCTCATTTCGGGGGTTGCGATGTTATGAGACGCGCAGAGCAATTTCACCCCGAGGGTTTTGGGCAAAAATGGAAAACATATTTTCCACTTGTGATTATTCAACAATAAAAAGGGGTGCGTGTTTTTTATGTCATCCTCCAATTATTGTTCACTTGATAATTTGTTTATTTTGACAAAGAAGAGCCCAACACAGATGGGAGAAAGTCAGATTCACACCCTCAAAAAACGTGCAGGGATTTCAATGAAAGGGGCTTTATTTAATTTTCTGGGGTATTAGCATTTAAATCCCAAATGATAGCACCAGCAGAAGCTTCCTCCTGGCCACTCTCTGTCTCTCCCTCTCTTCTGGCTGTGCGCCTGATTGGCTTCATGAATTTTTATTGGTGCACAAAATTGGCGCAATAAAAGTCTTTTCAAAATCTCTAAAACACAATTGTTTTTACTATTTGTAGTTATTATTTAGGAAAATTATTTCACTAGAGAAATGAACAAAATTACGTGTTTATTACAGAATTTATATTTACCTTCTGAGATCTTTTTTTTTAAATATTAATGCAAAATACATGCGAAGAATTATTCAAGGGGGAAATAATGTGGTCTACAGCTCAACGGAAGTTATTGGGAAGTAGAAGTGCTCAAAAACTTACAATATTCATTTTCTGAGTGCTTCTTTTATTAATAAATCATCCCAATTCTGTGGATTTCTTTTATTTCTCACTTAGAATCAATCATAATATTCCTTTTCGAGGTTATGTGACGAATCTAAGACAGATTTAGTGAATAATTCACATTTTATCACATCAATTCTTGCGCTGAAGTCGGAAAGATCGGCAGTCAGTGGCAGAATTAAGCATTTTCATACAATAAACATTAGTTTTCTGGACATTTGATGCCAAGAAACACTGAAAATTGTACTGAAACTCGAACATAACCTCAAAAATAGTCATGTGAACTTGGAAAAATGCTTATTTAGAACACTTTCTGGATAATTTTGAGTTGATTTTCACTCTGAATGAGCAATTTTCTGTTGATTGGTAAATGATAACAAATGATTTTAAAGTTTTTAAAGATGTTTCGGTAATATTTTTAGGTTATGGTTAGAGAGATACTTCAAAAGTGCTTTTATATGGATTTTTCCAGAAATATTGGATAGAAACTTAGCAGATTCATTATAATTTGATATTTGAAAATGTTAAGAAAATATGTACAGAATTTAAGCATATTATTTTCCCCTTTACATGTGTATAATTGACGCTACATTTTGCCATTAATCCGCTTTATTCGCAAAAGTCATGAGAAAATGTTCAGCATTGCAATCAAATTATTCATTGATTCACTTTTTGTCTTCATATTTTGTCTCGAGATTTTTCAGCGGATAATTTTCAACTCTTTTTCACACCATGGAATCTGAGGAGTGTCAAATTTACCAATACGAAATTTCTCAAAATGTCTTTTTGCAGTCGAAGTAAGTGAAAGAAGTGTTGAAAAAAGCTGTTAAATCCACTTTTCAATGCTGATAATTTCTTCTCTTCAGCCTGCAAAATCACTCGAAATTCTTCCTATTCCTCAACGATGCCCTAAATCCGTCGATCTTCTTCAACTTTCTCCTGCCAATCGTCTCCGGGATGGACAAGGATGTGTTCCTGAGGATGACTCTTGGCGGTTTGGTGGCGGATTACTGCAGTTTGCTGATGAAGTGGTTTCTGTCTGAGCCTCGGCCGCATTGGTGGATTCATGAGAACGATGGGAAGCGCCTGAGGCTGCAGCAATTCGACGGGACGTGCGAATGCACTCCCGGATCGCCGTCCAGCGAAATTATGATCACCGCTGCGCTGTTCTTCATCCTCATCAGCTCACTCGAGAAGCGATGCAGCTTGACAAAGTGCTGCAATCGTCTTCTTTGGACATCCTTCGTGGCTCTGATGATCCTCCAGACGATCGGCCAGATGTTCCTGGGGCTGCACTTCCTTCATCAATGCATCCTGGGAGCAATTGCAGGAACCATCATTGGATGCATCTTTTCCTCCCCAAAGTTCATCGACAGTGTCTTCAACTTGTCCAGATACAAATCTTCTCTCCTCGTCATCGGGATGTTTGCCACTGACTGTGTGACATATTCACTGTTGGAATTCTTTGGAGTCGATCCGAATTGGTCAACGAGAATGGTAAGATGTTTTATTGTCCTTCTATTTCGTCAAATTAACTCACAAAAATCCTTCTCTAGTCTTTCATGTATTGTGAAAATTCTGACGCAATTTTGCCAGAGTCGCTCATAATTTATTCTCTGATGAGGAATTTGGGAATCTTTATCGGACTAACAGCATTTGTGCCGCTCAGCAATTGCAGGTGAGTGAAAAGAGGGAAAGAATCCACAGCAAAATTGCTGATTCTGCCTTTCTTTCAGGCCATGCGTTGTCGATTGCTGCGTGTCTTCCTTGTACACCATCGCGAAAATCACTGTTGGACTGCTCATTTTCCACTATATGCCTCGACATCAGGGAGTCTACATCTACTACATAACCACAGTGACTTTCTACGCTATGTACTACTTCCTTTTGTACGGCATTTTCAAGCTGAAATTACCGACAAAACTCAAATTATTCGCGGGAAAGGCGGGAAGTGAATAATGGCGGGTACGAAGCCACCTGGCGTGAAAAATTGTAATCTTGACATACAGTGACATTAGAAGAAGAGCAAACAATAATCGTGTTTTGACTAGGATTTCTGCAAATAATACCACATTTACAAATGAAATAAGCACAAAAATGCCCACAGTAATCGCCCTAGATGTGTCTCTATCGATGTCGAGGTGTGTTTCGACGCAGGGCAGTGAAAATACGACATATCATCAATTGGCGATAGCGGCAGTCAATCAATTCTTGGATCATCTCTTGGCCAATAATTCCAAGTTGGAATTTGTATCTCTGGTAAGTTTGCGCATGTGAAATAGCCAAGTGGTTGATTTGTGTGTGGAAATGTGAGAAAATTCGTCATTTGGTGCTGAATTTGAGGGTTTCTGGAAAGGTAAACAAGATAACCTCACATTCGCATTGCGGTGTTATACGGCGCATTGGCCATTTTCGTGCAGTTTATACCACTTTCTCTGCATCGACCGAATCGCGAGAAGCTGGGAAACGCGAGAAAAATCTCGCTTTTGCGCCTCAATTTCGCGATATAGCGCACAAAAGGGCTGGTGCTTGTGATAGTGAAGGTGATAGTGTTGCGAAAATTGATCAATCACGCAGAGATTAGGCGTAAAAGGTGGGGAAAAGGTGTTCTCCACGTGTTTGAGGTTAGAGACTGCTGTCATATTTGGAGGCGCATTTGGGGCGCAGCACGCGTACAATGGAGCCGGAAAATACCGTAACGACAGTCGCACTGATATCACCGTACACTCGAATCCGACTGGTGTGCACAGAATCGCCCTTTCTCAAGCCCTACGACGACGACTTGAGAGTCCGGGAGCAGCGTGAGTCTGGGCTTTCCCACTCAAACTCCGACTCGGACATCTCTGAGAATGACGACAAGTTTTGCGTGGATGTGGACTTTCTGCGGAGTCTGGATCCGAAGGAGTGGAAGGATCAGGATCACTATGCTGTGCTGGGATTGAAGAGTCTCAGGTGAGTTGGATTTGGAGGCTTTCTCAGGAGGATTCTGGCTAATTTCGGGGTGTTTTTTCTCGGCAGATTCAACGCCACTGAGGAGGACATTAGGCGAGCTTATAGGAAAATTGTATTAATTCACCATCCGGACAAGAGAAAAGCTAAAGGCGAGGATGTGAGGCAGGATGACGACTATTTCACGTGCATCACGCGCGCTTATGAGACTCTTGGCACGCCACTTAAGCGCCGCTCCTACGATTCTGTCGATCCGGAGTTCGATGACAATCTGCCAACGGAGGCGGAGGTGAAGAAGGACTTCTTCCGCGCGATGGGAAAGTCCTTTGCGCTGAATGCACGCTGGAGTGAGCGCAAGAATGTGCCGAGCGTGGGCACAATGGAGTCCAGCCGGGAGCATGTGGATCTCTTCTACAATTTCTGGTATAATTTCGAATCGTGGCGCGAGTACAGTTACTTGGATGAGGAGGACAAGGAGCGCGGCCAGGATAGGGATGAGCGACGGTGGATTGAGAAGCAGAACAAGGCGATCCGGGCGAAGAGGAAGAAGGAGGAGATGTCCAGAATACGTGCTCTGGTGGATTTGGCGTACAATCACGATCCGCGCATACAGAAGTTCAAGCAGGAGGAGAAGGAGCGCCGGATGGCGGCCAAGAGGGCGAAGCAGGACGCCATCCAGGCGCAGAAGGCGGAGGAGGAGCGACTGGTGCGCGAGGCGGCGATGGCGCGCGTGCGGGCGGAGGAGGAGGAGCAGAAGCGCATCGAGGGGATTCGGCTGGAGCGTGAGCAGCAGAAGAAGGCGCTGAAGAAGGAGCGCAAGATCCTGCGCGATCTGGCGAAGAGCAACAACTACTTTGCCGGCGACGACGACAGGACGCGCGTGAAGAACATGGAGGGCGTGGAGAAGATCTGCGAGATGATGAAGGCGCTGGAGCTGCAGGAGTTCAATCGGGAGCTGCAGTCGGGTGGGCAGGAGGTGTTCCTGCGGGTGCTGCGCGAGACGGAGGAGAAGCTGGAGGAGGAACGCCGTGCCATGCTGACGAAGAACACTTCGTCCACGTCTCTCAACACAGCCCTCCGGATGGTGGACAAGAACCAGATGTGGGGCCCGGAGAACATGCAGATCCTCATCAAGGCGGTGAATCTCTTCCCGGCCGGCACGGCACAGCGCTGGGATGTGATTGCCAACTTCATGAACATGCACTCGCCCACGGCGGCGGAGCAGAAGTACACGTCGCGCGATGTGCTGAACAAGGCGAAGGTGCTGCAGAGTGGAGACTTCTCCAAGAGCGTGCTGAAGGCGCAGGCCAATGAGAATGCCTTTGAGAGCTTCGAGAAGACGAAGAAGGATCTCAAGGTGGTGGACAATGCGGAGATTAGTGTGAAGGACGAGGCGGCGGCGGAGCCCAAGAAGGCGGAGAGGGCTGAGATGAATGGGGCGGACAAGGAGGCGCGCACGTGGACCAAAGAGGAGCAAGCGCTGCTGGAGCAGGCCATAAAGACGTATCCCATCTCCACCCCAGAGCGCTGGGACAGGATTGCCGAGTGCATCCCCAATAGGACGAAGAAGGAGTGCCTGAAGCGCGTGAAGGAGCTCGTGGATCGCGTGAATGCCAAGAAGGAAGCCCAGCAGAGTGTCAAGTGACGAGAAGCTAATCAATAAACTGTTGTTTTCCACCAGGAGAAGAAATTTTGCGTCTTTTATCTTCTGCTTTACGCCCTGATTTTGTCGCTTTCTCACTGGTTTCTTCCTGCTTCCTCTTGCAGGTCATCTACTCTTCCCTGTACGAAGTTGTGGTGGACTTCACCAGGGACTATGACGCCATCCGGAAGGCTCTGGGCAAGGTGGATCACTATGACAAGACGTGCCTGGAGAATGTCCTGCACGCGCTCAACAGCATCTTGCTGACGAATTGGGGCACGCAGAATCACTGCCAAATCCTGGTCTTCACAGATTGTGGCCTGGGCTTCGGCTCCACGTCCATTGACAATGTCATCCAGCGGATTGTGACCACGAAGCAACCGCTGCCCTTCGCCTCGCCCAGCAAATTGAACTTCATCTGCCTGGGAAACACGTTGGACACGCAATTCCTGGACGCGACGAAAGTGTACCAGAAAATGCTGGACATCAGTGGCCAGAAGGGTCAATTGTTCATCCCGAAGGCGATAGAGAATGTGGAGTTTGTGAAGATCAAGAAGGAGGACAAGTACGGCTCGTCCTCCTCGAAGGAGGACGACGTGGTGAAGGTGGAAATCCCAATTGCGCCCGGATTGACGCGCCAGAGCGTCCGCGAGATGACGGAGCGCGTGTGCGAGATGAACTACAGGCAGTTCGATGCCATCCTCAACTGTGGCAGCTACTTCAAGCTGGAGTGTCCGGTGCTGATCTGGCCGCCGCCGCTGCCCTACACCACCACCGATCTGCTGGGCATGGAGAGCACGAGGCACATCTCCCGGAAGATCGAGGTGTGCGGCTTCATCAACATCTCGGACATCGGCTCGCCCATGTCCGTGAGTCGACACTTGCTGATGCCCAAGACGGAGGAGAAGCCGGTGAAGAACGAGAAGATCCTGCGCACGGGACGCCAGGGCGGGGATCTGCTGTCCATGGACTATGAGCGTCTGGAGGCGGAGATCAAGAACTTCTATGCGAAGGGCGAGACGAATTCCGACGACGAGGGCTCCGGCAATGCCACGTCCAATGAGTCCACGCGCGAGTCCATCTGCGTGCTGCTCCACGGAGCGCTGAAGATTGAGAATATGGCCGCTCTGGTGCTCCTGGGCGACAACTGGTACGGCTTCATCTACTCCTATGCCGACAGCAAGAAGAAGTCCAACATGATGCTGACGATTCTGCCGCCGGGAGCGGATGTGGTGCCGTGGCTGGGCGATCTGCGGCTCCTGGGCACGCTGGAGGATCTGATGCACGGCGAGGCGATGCCGAGCTTCCCCGTGAAGCCGGACAAGAGGAGCTACTCGCAGAACTGCGTGGTGTGGATCAAGCAATCCGGCCTGCAGTCGGACATCCAGAAGGTGTTGCGCCACGCCAAGAAGCTGCCCGAGAAGACGCAGCACTTCTACAAGGAGCTCAACCGCATCCGGCGCGCCGCCCTCTCCCTGGGCTTCGTGGAGCTCCTCGAGGGCCTGGCGTGCATCTTCGAGCGCGAAATACCCACGCTGCCGCCCAATGCCAGCCCGGATTGCGCCATGCAACTCAAGCACGCCGCGATGGAGCTGAAGAAGTTCAACCTGAGTCGCGACATGAAGCACTCGATCGTGCCGTATCCCACCAAGTACAATCAATAGAGGACGAAGTGGGTGACTCTTTAAATTAGTATACATTTTCTCACAATTATCAATAATAAATAAAAATTCAATAGGAAAATAAGTTGTTAAGAAAGATGCGCATAATTTCGAAGATCTCTCAGCCAGTCTTTTCCGTTCTGCGAACAAAAAGAGATTCACTCATACTGCTTACGGTGCCTTCCGCTTGCTGCCCGCCCGCGGGGGGCGCGCCAGGGAGCCGGGATCGCTGGAGCGCGTCTCGTCGATCAGTGTCTCGAAGTCCACCACGTCCTTCGTCTCGCCAGCGGGCGCTTCCTCCTCGTCCAGGCGATGGAGTCTCATGTGCGTGGTGAGGGCCTGTCGCACGTTGAACGTCCGACTGCACATCTCACACTTGAAGGGTCTCTCCGCCTTATTGTCGTGGCCATTGATGCTGCAAAGGAAGCGCGAGGAGAGCCTCCTGAATCTGACCATCGCCAGAAAGGGCAGTGACAGCAGCGCTTACCTCTCACTCTTGGTCGTCTCCTTGGGCGCCTGCTGCCCCCTGGCAGTGCTCACCTTGCTCTTGCGCTTCTTCGCACCACTGCTACATTCAGCAGCCTTATTTTTCATTATTTTTCCAAGTGAAAATCCCGAAAAACGGGAGTGATGCACTTTTTCCTCGCCTCCTCCTCAGCAACTGTCAGCCCGTACAAAAAACCCTGCGAGGTCAACTCCCCACTGGCATGCCAGCACGCCGGGAAGACGTCGCGCGACGACGCGCCGAATTCCGCTGGACTTGTCCGACATCGCAATGTTCATTTCACGAATTTGCTGCCTTTTTGGCTCTTTTTTCAGGTCAATGGAACTCAAACTTCTAATTAGCAATCTAGTTTGCTAATTAATCATTCTCTGTATATGCATGAGCGCTGCAGTAAGCAAAATCCGCAAAATCTATTTTTATTCTGTGTTATCACAGCAAACGCCGCCATATTGCATTGAATTAATTTCGCATCCTGAGAAGAAATCAATTAGGATTATGATTTAACCCATTCAGTCCCTTTTGTTGATCCTCTGATAGCGAAGAGGCCACAGTAGCGCTTCTGCAAGCATTTCAAGGAAATGAATCACTCTTTTCGTATCTCAAGATAAGCTACGGATCAAGTTCAATGGCAACAACAAATCACTTCCTTTACAATACACAACATATTATATATTCTCCTCTTTATGTATTCACAATTTGGAAGACCTTCAACGCGGTCCGGAATATCCTTTTTACATTAGAACGAAATTATAATAGAAATTGTACAAACACTGCCGCAGAGACAGATAACCAGGGTAATACAGGTGGATTCACAGGACGCCCAGCTGCTGAAGATGCTCCTTCAGTGTGTGGTAGAAGTCCAGCTGCTGGTCGGGCTTCAGCGTGAAGACCTGCGTCAGCAGCTTGGCCGGCGACGCCGTCCGGATGAAGCTGTAGATGTACACGTTGACGAAGGTGGCCATGAGGAATTGGCAATCGAAGCGATCCATGATGCCGCCATGGCCGGGAATCACGTCGCCAAAGTCCTTGATCTTGAATGCGCGCTTGAAGCCGGACGCGAAGAAGCCCCCGAACGGTCCGATCACGGCGCTGAACAGGCTGAGCCACAGCGAGTGGATCATGAAGGGGAAGACGGAGAAGTGCCAGCCGAAGACCTCCGTCGGCAGCGGCCGGAACATGTAGCTGCGCTTGCAGCTGCTCACCACGATCCTGCCCAGCGCCTCGTCGAACTCCACTGGGCAGGTGAAGTAGCTGGAGTGGCAGAGGCACCACGAGAGCAACGCTCCGAAGGCCACAGTCGCCACTCCGCCGCCAATGAAGCCCTCCCAGGTCTTCTTGGGGCTCAGCTTGATGAGCGGCGTGCGCCCGAACAGCAGCCCGAAGAAGTACGCCATGAGATCATTGCAGATGATCATGGAGACGGGCGCCAGGAACCAGATGATGCCCTGGAAGACATTCTGGATGATGAGATAGCTCTGCGTGACGACAATGAGCAGAGCCACGTGCGTCCAGGCGAACAGGGAGAACTGCTTCAGATAGTACTTCTTCACCAGCGACAGCACGAACCAGATGAAGCCCACGCAGTAGAGGCTGAAGGACAGGAATCTGTGGTACTTGACCAGGAAGTGCAGCGACTCCACCTTGTCCACCAGCACGCCGAAGAAGTCAATCACGTTCTCGCCGTAGAAGAAGTAATTCGTCGTGAGCAGGAAATACCACGACAGACTGCGGAACCAGGGCAGGCCGTGGATTCTGTACACCGAGTGGCCGATGGAGATGATCTCCTGGAAGCACTTCACCTGAATCGCCAGGATCTGCAATGGCACAAAAGGCGACGATTCGACATCAATTTGCCTTGAATCGAGCGTGTGTGTAAATAAGGCTTTCCCATAAATATTCAATAAACTTCTTTGTGGCGCTTGAAATACAAGAAATTTCACGGTTTATCGCCAAAGACATGGCGAAAGAATAAATTATGGTGTCTTTCCTCGCGGAATTACCAATAAATCACTCGCCCAGAGCTCAACAGAGTCCCTCAAAGCCCTTCGCGAAGCGATCTTGCATCATCAATATTGCTTTAGTGAGATTGTAAAAGAAATAATTCCGCTCATTAATCAGATTTGGTCGATTTGGTCAATGAAATGCGGTTTTTTTGCCTCGAGAACTGATAAGAACAGAAATGAGGAATCAAAAACTACTGCTGAATTTGCTGACTTTGGCTTTTTCTGCGATGTTTTTGTACGCGAATATTTACAACACTGCGAGAGAAGCGAAAGTTTGACTTCAAGCACAAATAAAATCTGCAATTAACGCTGTGAAGCTTTAATATCATTAACTTTGACATAGACGTTAATTCTAATTTCTTTTTGTTTCTTCAACCTTATCACAAAAACGCGCTTTATTCATTATTTTTTTTCTGCGGTTGCTTTAATCCTAAGAATTGTTTGCTAATTAAGAAGTGTAAATTTCACATTTTCGCCTTGAATCAATAATATTATACGATTTATAGACCAAATCCATTACGGATTTCTGGATTGAATTACTGCCAAGGGGCAGAAATTGTGGTCGGAAGTGGTGTACAGCTTTCTGCGGAAGTGCTAGAAATTAAAAGTGGTGAAATATTTAGAATATTCGCATTGTTTTAACAAATTGAGGCATTTTGTAAATTATTTTAATTAGTAAAATTGCTTTTATTGCTTTTCTAGGTTATGTGATGATCAAATAACCCTCAAAATCGCTAAATTTACTTTTATGCTGAGAAAATTTCTTGTATTCTTGGTAAAGTTAAGTATTTTTGTTGAAAAACTTCAGATTGATGGGATTTCAAGAGTAGAAAATAGCTTTTAAGTCAATCATAACCTCAAAAATGTCATTTTGATTCATTATTTCTGCAGTTTGTGATTAAAATTGGGAAATTTAGGGTTAATATCTCGCAAAAGCATTGTAATATGTTTGAAAGGAATAACAATTAGTCCAAGATAGCGTTTTTAAGCCGGATTCATAACCTCACAATTGGATCAGAAGTTTTTTAAGCATTTTCCGAAGACAAAACTAAGAAATTAAGACATAAAGTGTTCATGAACACATCCTGGGACAAAAAATTCCAGTTCTTACAATCTTAAATCCAAGCATTTAAGTCGTTTAATGGATTTAAATCTCTTCAGACGAAAAATCTAGAAACTACACCAATGGAAAATGCGGAAAATGTCTTTTAAAAGCCTTCAGAAGTGTCTCGGAAGCGTCAGGAAATTGTGTACAGCTATCAGACATATTATCTCCCCCTTGATTATTATATTAATTATTATCAATGGAAATAAATTATACAGAAATGAACGGCAAACTAATCTTTTGTATGACTGTTCTTATCGTGACGACGCCAGACAGATTATAATATACCATTTTCTGCAGAGTCACCTAAAATATATCTCAGTGTTTTCAAAGACGACGAATTTCTCAATTTAATTCTTAAGTGCGTTTGTCAACATTTTGCCACCCACTGTGAATTAGTCACGCTGCAAGTTTGCGGGTGAAATTCCGACGGATTTTCGGGTGACACAAAAGTGGAAATAAAACAATGAAATTGCGCGGCAGTGAAATTTCTGCGGCGCGCATTTCTTACCAGAACAATGAGTCCAATCGGTCCTAGATAGATGATGAGGGAGAAGAATGAGATCATGACGAAGCCGAAGATCGATCGCACGAGAGCATTTCGCCATCTGGAAGGCACAGGATAACAGGAGAGATTTTAGGGTCGCGCCGAGACGCCAGAAGCGATTTCGACTCACTTGTGTGGGAGTCTGATGAGCAAATGCCTTAATATCTCGGGCACTTTGTCCGTGCCTTGGGGGACTTCTTTGGTCAGAGCGGCTGTGCTGGACACGCCGGGCAGATCCTCCTCCTCCTCCTCCTCATTTGTGCTGGAGTTCGTCTCGCGGATGTCCTGAAAAGAGCGCGCGCACGGTGATCTTTGAGTTATTGGGCTGTTGTTGGGCGATAAGGCGCGAGAGAAGCCGTGGAACTAATCTGGGCCGCTGATTGATTCGACCTCTCCCGATAGCGCACAGAAACGCCGATGTTAGTTGGAAAAGCTCAACTTTGCGCCTTATCAATTTGGCTGTGCATCGAACCACTTTTCGACGCTGCGCGACCTTTGCTTTTCGGTGGACTTACGTGACGAAACTTATGGTCATTCTTCTTGGGTGACTCCGCGGCCGCTCTGCGCCGCCGCGCACTCTTCGCGTCCATTTCTTGTGTGTTTACTTCACTCACACTTCGCACTCACACTCCGCGCACTCCCATCAATGGCGCCCCACCTCGTGAATATAGTTCTCCAGGAGGAAAATTCCCACACGCCACACAGCAATTTCACCAGCAGACTCGCAGTTGTCTGCTATTCAGGCGACACGCGATGATGACAATGCCCGGGCCAGCCTCTTCCGCGGACGCTTCCATCGGGTGCTGGCGAACGACTGCGCCAAGTGGGCTCGCGGGCGATCGTCTCAGGTGGGAGAGGTCAGGTGGTCGCGCTCGGAGCCCGTTATCAATGCCACACACCAGCGCCGTGGAATCACCTCCGCGCACTGATCGCGCGCCGCACACACCGAAACTCCAGTTTGGCGCGCGGTTCTTCGCGCTGGTGTGCCGCCGAGAATGAAAGCGGAATGCGGAGAGACTCGAATTGCCCAAGAGCTTTATTCTACGCGTATTAGAGACCGTCTGGCTAGAAAAAATGCCTTTTGCTTTTACTTGGGCACTCGGGAGGAGTGAAAAATATGAGAAATGATTCACAGACTGTTTCATAAACAACTGCCAGCGATTGCACAGCGCCTCCTTGGATAAGTCCAGTGTGGATTTCGAGCATTTTGAGGTATTAACACTATCGCGTATCGTGATTTATTGATGCACTGCGCGAAAAGAAAATCACCAAAATCACCGAGATTTTCGGGAAAAGAACCCCATTTTTGTGATGGATTATTACTTTGTGGGCTTGAAGCGTAAATTACACTTTTGCTGCAGAATATCGAACGATCTTCCAGTTTGATATACATCAAGGGGGAGATAATGTGCTCTCAATGTGTATCACTTCAAATTTTCAGACAGTTTTTACAATAGTTTGTAAATTTTATTAAATATCTAAAGGTTTTATGCGATATTTCTGTAAAAATCCACTTCAAACCGCTTTTTTGAGCGTCTTTTCTGACCATAACCTCAAAAATATCACTAGGAGATCTTAAAAGACTCCGTTTGAAAGCTTAAGAGAGTCAAAATAGTCCAGAAAGTTTTCTAAATAAGCATTCTTCAAGTTCAAATGACTATTTTTGAGGTTATGTTCGAGTTTCAGTACAATTTTCAGTATTTCTTGGCATAAAAGGTTTAGAAAAGTAATGACTAGCAATCTTTGTGACTTTAGCACAAGAATTGATGTGTTAGAATGCGAAATAATCACTAAATTCGATCGTGATTCGTGACATAACCTAGAAAATGATTGTTTCTTCCTACAATTCAAAAGAAATCGAAAAAATTGGGATGATGATTGTGAGTTTTTGAACACTTCCACTTCTTAAGTATTTCTGACTATATTATCTCCCCCTTGCTAGACACTTAGAATGTCTTGAATGAATTATGAAAATGTCACAGTCTTGCTCTAAGCCAAATTGAATTGGCAGAAATTGCATGAGTTTCACAGTTGCTCAACACGCTCATTAAGTGAACGATGAGCTCACTTTTCATAAGCCAATTTAGATCGAAATCTTAGCTCATTTTCATATTTGTGTCTGTCTAACAACTGAACATTTTTTACTGTTTAGAATGCGTCCTCATTTTGCGAATGAATCTGTTGAATTATCGCCAGGAAGTGAACAATATGCTTTTTCACCAGTGCCTTAAAAATATATTACGAGCAAGATCATCGATCGCATGCACGACTTTGCATGCAAACTGATCAATTAAAACCAATATTGATTTCAAGGTTTTCGATACACACAAATGTTTTTCGCTCTCAAAACCACCAATTGTCTGCCATTTCCGACGCGTCTTAAAACCAGCCACTCTTGGGCCACAGTCAATTGAACAACACTCTCGTTCTTGTTGATTTACTTATTGGGCAACGCTTGGAATACGAGCTCGCGCGCGACATTCACAAGTCGCGCAGAGCAACATTTTACACTGGCGAGAGATTTGAGAAGCAGTTGTACTTGAAATACGATGAACTTCCGACTCGATTGCACTTTGTCCCATGAGAAGATTATGTTCTCGGGCAGAATCACGGCGCGCACTGTGAGCGAAGTCATCTCACGAGACGTTGCGATGAATTGTTTGTTTTGCGTCTATACAATTAAACTTGGCTCTCCCACAGATGAAGATAAGAAAGATGCTAATTAAATGCACTCTGACGCAGAGTTGTTTTGGTGTCACACCAGCGGAATACACTGTGGTTTTTCCTCTCTTAAACACTTGGAGATTTTCTCTTTATTCGGACATACATAAGAAGGCCTTTTTCTCCTCATTTTTTTCTCTTTCCATATATAAAAAATTGCGTGTATAAAAGTTTATCCATATAAAATATATCCACTAGGTCAATTAGCAACACATACCGAATAAGTACGACTTCTTTTTCTCTCTCTCTCTCTCCCTCTTTCCTCTTCTTTTGATTTCATGTGATCCCTTCCAATTGCGAGTATTTTTCTTCACTACTGTCTGGTGGACAATTTCAGAGCTGCTTTCGGCAAATCCCACTCGTTCTCCTGCAGGACATCCATGCAAGTTCCCAGCGTCGTCACATTGCACATATTGGACAATTTCATGATTTTTATGGCCTTGTGAACATCCCAATCCACCAGTTCCAGCGTTTCCAGGCACATTTCCGGCGGAATCTGCAAGAAATTGCAAGGTTTCAGCATTCATCGCGACTACAAGGACGCTTTTCTTCACTTCATGGCTCTCAAATTCCATTGGAGGTCGAAATTTGTCATAAAATACAAATTAATCACAGCAAACACTGAGAGAAATCAAGGAGGAGATATTATGGTCAGAAGTGGAAATATTTGGAAGTAGCAGTGCTTGACTATTTCCAATATGGTCTGTTTTAGTTGTTTTCAATAGAAACTAATGCAATATTGGGATAAAAAGAATTTTTCTAGGTTATGTTATGAATTTAAGACATACTTTGGCATTAAATAACCTTCAAAATCATTCATTTCTTTCACTGACAACATAATAAAAACCATCTGATGAAGATTACAATCTTTCAATATAGAAAACTGATTTTAATTACGCTTAAATTGATCATAACCTCTGAAATATTGTTTCAGAATAGCTGTCTGATTGATTTTCTACTCTAAAATAGCACATTTTCCCCAGTGTTGCCTTTAAAACGTTCCGAATAAGTTTCTTTCAAAGATTATTTTCAATAACTTAAACTTATTTTTAGGTTATGTGTTTAAGTGCATCAAAAAAGCGATTTAAAATTTAATCACAACAAAAAAACCCTGGAACTTTAAAGAAAAAATTAAAATGCTTTTTCTCTGTAAATTTTCAAGGTTATACAAGTAAAAATTGTGTCTTTTCAAGCTAAAAACTCTGAATTTTAGGTTATAATACTTTAAGTGTCTGAGAATCTTTGCATAAATAAGCCATATTATCTCCCCCTTGAGAGAAATAAATCAGTCTGACTGCTCAATATACTGAAGAACTCAATTTTATCAATAGAACATGATCAATTAATTGCACTGCTTTGCAATTTTTGCGAAACACCTTGTGGCTGGTAAATAATAGGCTCTAATTTCCATGCTAGATTTTCAAGTTTCAACTTTTGAGAGCAACAAACTCGCCATATTTTCAGCACAAAAGTGTGTGTGATAGAAAGAACGGTAAAAAAAAAACCATCAAAGCCTCACCTTTTTCCCCAACACTTTAATCATGATGCGCACTTCGTCAGATTCGGCGCCCCTTTCGCGTCCTCTGGGCTTCTTCTCTGAGAACTCCAGCAAATCCTCACAGCTGACAGAGTTGGACGCCTCCTGGAGACGCTGAGGCTCCGCCATGATCATCTGCTCCTCATCGGACGTCGTGTAGCTCTCACTGCTCTCCGGCACGGCCTTTGGCGCCACCCGTGAAGCGCCCGTGGCGGCATTCACGGACTCCCGAACGCGATTGAAGAGCGCATTGTCGGCAAGTTCATTGCGCTGGGCGAATCTCTTCTTGCGCTCCGTATCGAGATTCCTTAGCTCAGAATCACTGCCCACGCCACCCTCGAAGCTGGAGCAGTACTTGTCGTACGTGTCCTTCTGGATCTCGAAGCACGAGAAGCCATCCACCACATCTGGCGACGACATTTCGCCCACCTTGTTGATCTCACTCTCCAGAATGGACTCGAAGTGGAGACTGGCAGTGTCGGCATTGGGGCTGTCGCAGGCAAACATGTTGATGCTCTCACTGATGCCCGGCGTGTCCGGCAAGTCGTGCCCATTCGAAGCCCTGGACAGTCCGCGGAGAACAGCGTCCGTCTGATCAATCTCTGGCAGCTTCGACACTTGCATGCTTCGCTTGATCAGCGAATGCGTGTTGTAGTTGTTGTCCGTGACGTTGTTCACCTTCAATTCCGATCCCTGCGACACTTTGTTAAGCGTCCTCTGGAGTCCCGACGCCGGAATGATCAGCGCGTGCTTCCTCACGTGTCGCTTGGCATTCGTCGTGATGATCTTGTTGCGATCACGCGGCGGCAGTGGAATGGGATTCGATGCTGCATCGCTGACATCCCTTTCCGGATACGTGTACTCCATGTTGACCAAGTAACTCGGACTCTCGCACAGTCCAGCATCATCTCCAGCCTCCACCGGCGGCTGACTGTCGCCCTGGACGCTCGGCAAGTGCTTCAGTCGCGGCCGCACAATTGGGAAGTTCTTGTTCCGCAGAATCCTCAGCGGATTGGCGTCTGTGACTTCAGGACGAGGCGCCTGATGACTGGGCACTGTCAATTCCACCTCCTTCGTCCTGCCCAGACTGCCGCCGGTGCGTCGATTGGCCAGAGTGGTTCTGATGAGATTCCTCGGCAGCGTCGTCGAGTGCTTCGCGTCATCTCTGTCCTCATCAGCGCCACCGTCAAAGCACGTCTTCATGAAGTCCAACTTGGACAGTGTGGACGAGGGCTTCTCCACCAGACTGTTGTACGCCTGCCTGTGCTCCTCCGTGATGGAGCTCTGCAACGGAAAGACCACAAGTCGGGACGGAGGAGGCAGAAATAAAGACCAGAGGAGCGGATTTGGAGGATCAGGAGTGATAGAAAACGAGGGACAATGCATTTGCCAATGAGGGTGGAGGTGATTTGACCGTGATGGTGAAGGAAGAGGAAGTTAAATGAGAGAGAGAGAGAGAGAGGCGACAGTGAGGCAGAGGAGGATGATAACGAAATTGTAATATTAAATCATAAAAAAAATCAACAAAAAATCACTCAAATTGGCATTTTTTTTGTTCCTCAAATTATTCAATAAAGAGAAACCATTTCGTAAGTTGAGTAAAGAAGAAGAAATAAAAGAGAGAAATCAGACTCGCAGAAGCATTAAAAAAAACATGTTGAATTGTTAGTCCTTCGCCGAAAAAGAAAAATTTGTACAGTGGAAAATATGCGTGGAAAAGAAGTATTCAAAAAGTAAATGTGAGAGAGAAATACTGTTTGGGGAGCGCAAAGGAACGATTCCACCCCCTTTTCTCGCCACCCCACACACACATATGTACGTGTTTGGTTAAATACACACACCCATTTTGCCATGTTTTCCCTTTTCTCATGATTATGTTTAATATGTTTTTAATGGTATCTTGTGATTTATGTACAACTTCTCAAGTCACTTTCTTACAATTCTCTTCTCCGTGTTATCAGTGTTTTTATATACTTTTCACCACACACACAATAAACCACCACTCCTTCTCAAGAGTTTTTACTCTTTGATAAATTTTCACCTTTTCCCGCGCCTTTCCTTCAAATTCCCTTGTGCATAAAATACCATCACAAATCTTCCATTTTCTCACTGGATTTCTCGCTCCACTTTTCACACTATTAAAATACCCAAAAGGGAATTCAAGACATGCTCTTTTCTCTAATGTGCATTCTTTCTTTGCCTTCTGAATTGGACGTCTGTCTCAATGGAAAAATATTCAACATTTCATGGTGGGTCAATGATTACATTATTTTATTGATTATCCAGTGGCGCAGAAGCTTCCTTAACAAACTGATTAACACAAAAAGAGTATTTTTCCAGTACAGCAAGTAAATTGAGGTTTTTTTTAAATGCATTTTTGTGTGATAACATTTATTCAAATTGCTGCTTTCTACGCCACTGTTGATTGATATATGAATTATGGAGTCACTTAAGGTGCAATATGGTTGTGTTTTATTGTTGGATGGATATTAAGAGGTCGTTGCAACTTTACTTTCAAACCATTTTAAATAAGCTGTCAAAGTTATTAATTTGTATTTTTGCGTTGTAAGATTGTGATTCATAATATTTACGAAACTGATCAAATTTTGGCGACTGAAATTATTTAACATATTTCGTCGAGTTAAGACAGGAAAAGTCGGAAAATTCGCGTGAAAATTTAAAAACCTTGTTTTAATCCTATTTATTGTTCACACGTTTCGTTCCGAACATTCTGATCAACAGAATTCTTTAAGAATCCCATTGAAAACACACCAAATGTCCAGGATTTTCGCAGTTCAAGATATCTTGTCACTAGAATTCAAAATATCCCTTGAACATCGCGGAAAACTACTGGAAGTTCTTTGAGATTTGTCAGAAAATTGCGTATCATTTACAGTGAAGAACATTTTCTAACTTTCACTTGGAGAAAAATGGCCAGAAACTGGAGTGGAACTTGGAAAATTCTGCCTTCAAAAAGATAATTAATCGCTAAGACGGCGGGCGATGGCCGCAAATAGGCTGTAACTTATAATAAATCTAAATTTAATCTAATCACAGAGCAAATTAGCCGCAATTCGTATTAAATAAGTTCCCAATTTCGCCTTGCGACGCCTTCTCGTTCGTATTTAATTCGTACTGCACACTAGCGCCACCGGACGGCCGCCACTATAAGCTATGATAATTGAAATACGAAATCTGTAATGTTGCAACGACTCCTAAGTTGCCACTTTATTCATAGCCAACTTAATATTCATTCGTGAATTCAGAGTGTGTCTGTACCTGAAGTCCAACCCTAAAACTCCTCATCCGCTCATTAATACTTGATACAAGCAAGAGATATTAAGTCAAGAGGCTTTTCTTTGCATTCTACATGATAGAAATATATAAGTTTAATCTTCTAAGAAGATTCTGAGGGATTGTTTGTTAGCTTTGGATATTTTGTGTGCTCTAATGATAATCAAATAGAGAGGGATTAGTGGGTATTAATTTGAGAGAGCATTTTTTAGATACTTTATCAATAAGAGAGAAGCTTTTTTGCATAGCGATTGTATTTTGAAATAATTACAAGTATTTCTTTTGTGGTGTATAAAAATCATCGACAGAATTGAAAGCTTTTGAGTGGTGTGTAAATTCTTTGAGTAACCATCAGAGGTAGATGAGTTAGTTTTCTGTATAAATATTCTCTCCTCTCGGCCATTAAGAAGAAGAAAGAAAATGAGTTAAATGCACAGCACAAATTCTGACGAGAGAATGATAAGAAAGAAAAAAACAGACAGAAAGGCATAGAAATTGTGCAGTAAACAATCATTCAATTAAATTCACACGCAAAGTGTTTTGCTAATTGCACTGTCTTCTCTAATGTTTTCTTTCATTCTTGTTTCTTATATGAAAATTTCTTACATCCAATTAGCATGATTTTGAATATGAGACCTCACATTTAATTGTTAACTCGTCAATTTATCTTTTTTTTATTTTTGGAAAACCTTCTTCTTGAGAAGCTTTGCTATTCAACGGCTTCCTTATTACTTTTAATTTTCTCACAAGATTCTTCTTCTTTTCTTTTTTAGCTCCATGAAAGGCGATCTGAGTTATTTCTCACTAAAGATACAATTAACTTTTTTAAATGTTACATTTTTTTTTTCTTGAAAATTTTCCATTACGTATCTCCATGATTTCTTTTCTCTTTCTCATTTTTTTTTTATAGAAGTATAGAAGAAGCTTAAATGCTATAGAAAAAAGTTTTGCTTTCACACACGCGACAAATCACAATTACAACGAAACCAAGACTACAGACTAAAATGATATTTCACACACTTTTCTACGGTGCCGGACTTGGTGGCATTCGTGTGCTTAGCGGAAACTCTCCCACGTGCTGAAAGTCCACGGAATCCGTCTCAGTGGATGACGAGCTGTCGCTGGAGAAGCTCTGTCCCATTCCCAACTCGTACGTGGGCATCTCCGATCGCCTCACGTTGTGATTCCTCTCCTGACGCTGTCGCCACAGCAGATCATTCCTCTTCACCGTGGACGCATGAATCTTCTCCGGCCACTGAAACACCGGCCGCGATGTTGTGGCCCCGGCGGCGCCATTCGTGGGCTGTCCAGGTGGGAAGAATCCCTGCGTAGTGGGACTCTTGCCCGTGAGCTTGCTCACATCGAACTCCGGCGGATAGAGAAACTCCCTGGGCTGAATGAACTTCTGATAGCCATTGCTGTAGTCATAGATATCCCGCCGCAGCGCCAGATCCTCCCCATAATCCCCGAATCGCTCATCCCCATACCTGCCCTGATTGCGATTGGGCTCTCTGCCGTTGGAGTAGTTGTATTGCGGCGCACTCTTGATGCTGGTGTTGGAGCCATACAGCTTGTCCGGATTGGAGTTGGCGACACTCTTCCTGTTCAAATACTGCCTCTTCCGGCGCGACGTCAGCATCTTCGTGCGAATGTCACACTCCGAATGCGCAATGGAGCGATCGAATTCACTCTCACTGCTCGACGACGAGCTGCTGTCCAGCACGATGGGATTGTAGCTCAGCCGGCGCAGCGTCCTGGCCTTGGCGCTCTTGGACTTATTGCCCACATGAACACGCACCGTGGCCTGACCACGCGCGAACGCCGGCTGCCCGGGCGCCGTGCCCAGCGGCTGCGGCGGCGACTTGAGCTCATAGTTCTCCGTGAAGGACATCGAGCGCTTCCTGTGCGGGAATGTGCCCTCATTCTCCATCTGCATCAGTCTCTGCTGCTGCATCGCCTGCGCCTGATTCGTCGTATACATTTGCATGAGTGTGTGGATGGAGTTATTGCTTGAGTAATTCGTGCGAACCGGCGGCGAGGCTGACATCACACTCTTCCCAGTCGCAAATCCCGCGCTCTCCCTGTTCAAATTCACATAGCCATGCGACGAGAACTTCATGTCGCGCGGACTGAAGGACTTCTCCTGCGGACTCGCACTGCTTCGCCTCACATTATTATATTGCTCCGACTTGGGGCTGAATGACAGTGCTTCCGGTGTCTGTGATCGCCTTCCGGACATCTTCTCCACCCCATAATTTCCCAAATCATACAACTTGGACAGCTTTATCGCCGAATTGCGTATCTTTGGGTTCTTATCCACACAATAATTCGCATCGCCAAAGAGAGTTTCCGCCGAATCTGTCTTCTCCAACTCATTGTACGTCTGCATAAAGTCCAAATTGAGCGCCTTCAGCGTATTCTCAATATCTATGAGATTTTCACCAATTAAATCTCTCGTCTTGCGATCCATTTCCTCCTTCCCACCCAGAGGCGTTGTGGGCAAATTGAAGGGCTTCGTGAGAATTTCACGGGATTTCTCAAAACAGAAATCCGCAGTCTCTTTATCAAACAATGGAATACGTATATTCGACTGTTTGTGGCACTTTTCAATTTCCGTCAGCGAGCGAAAACGCTTCAATTCACGACCAAATTTGCATTTCACATCAATGTTTTCGAGTGTGTGTGTTTTGTGTGTGTGTGAATTCGTCCAGACGCCCAACAGTTAAACGTACAAAATATCATCACAGCGAATGGAATAATAATAATAATAATAAAGTGTTTGATTAAACAGCGAGAGGAAAATAATAACGTAGTTTTTTTGAAGAAAACAAAGTCAAAAATTAAAGGAGTATTCAGTGGAGGATTCAGAAAAGAGGTGTACAAGTGATTTCCTTTTTTAGTAAATCAATCAGTATTGTTATGTTGAAGAACTGTTGAATAATGCAGACTTTCTCGGCATGAATGAAATATCACAAATGGCACAAAATCATAAATAAAAAATATATATATTCTTCACCGAAAAAAAAGATTTAACACAATTTTAGCATTTCGTTTGTTCATTTTTTTTTGCTTTTGGCCTTTTTGGCATGTGAGAGACAATTTTTTAGCACACAAATTTCACCAAATGCGGCTGTTATTGCGAAGCTCCGCCCACTCTAAAGCCCCGCCCACTTGAATTACAACACATTCAAATCATTTTTTACATTGCACGCCTCAAAATATCAACCGCATTTGATGGACAGAAATCATAATTATTAACAGCCAAAACATAAAATTCCTCTTGATGTTCCCTTTCTGGTTTTTTTTTTCTTTATCTGTACAAGAATTTACAAATCAATTGCCTTGTCAATGTACTCAACAAACTTAAGACAAAAGAATGGTAAGAAATGTTGTAGTCCAGAAAATGAAACACAGCAAATTGTCACACACACACGACGTGGAAAAAAATGTATGCATAAGAATCCGAAAAAAAACAATGAAAGAACCAATAAAAGAGATGGAGAAGCATTAAGAGGTGATGATATATCATAAAACACAATCAATAAAAATGATAATGAAAAAGGGGAAATTATAGGAAGTCAACGATAAAAATAACAAGTTATTTTTCTTTTTACTTCTGTTCTGAAAACCATATAAGACATATAATATAAATCACTCAATTTGCATTTTTTTCTTAGCTCTTTCTCTAAAATATATCTACACTTTCTCTCTCTTCCAACACATCCCAAACTTAAGTGAAACTAATACTTAAAAAAAAAAATACCATAAGAACGGATAAAACTACAGTGTTACGAGAGAAAAAAAAAACAGCGTGAAATGATTGGCAAGAAAATGCTTCTTGACTCACCTGCAAATCGGGAACATTCTTCAATTCCTCAGAGAAATTCTTTCGCTCCTTGTTCGTGAGAGTATTTGAGTTGGAATTGTTGCCACTTCCATTCACAGTGGCATCCTTTTCACCACCATGTGAGCCCGCAACTGAGAGATTTGGGAAGCGAAAGCTGAACTTCCTCTTGGGACTCTGCGTCACACCGTCAGACACCAAATCCGTCATGGATCTGGGCAAAAAGAACAGAGATTCATCTCTTTAGCATTCTGCAAAAACATCGATAAGGAAAGTTTCTCCTTCTCACCTGGCACTGATCTCATTGGCAAACTCAATGGCTTGATTGAGAATCTTGTCATCCTTCACTGAGAGTGGTTTCACCGTTCCTGCCTTCTTCTTCGCCTTGCTGTTGGACGAATTCCCGGAACTGCTCACACTGCTTCCCGCTCCGGAACTGTTCTTCCTCGCCAGCTTCGACGTCAACTCGGCAATTTCATTCTTCTTGTTCGTATGCTCAAAATCTGGGCCCTGGCCAAATGCCTGGGCATTATTGCCCGTGGTGGCTGTCATGGAGCGAAACATGAGATCCATCTCATCCAGGAGAGAAGGTCCCAGATCGAATTTCTCCGCCGGCATCTCATCATCCGAGATCTCATGGTACTCATGCGGCCCATCCACCGTCGTCTCAGGCCACTTGGCACTCCCCTTCGCCTCACTGTGGAACATATCGTGCAGCACATCGGAGCTGGAGAAGGGTCCATCGCGTCCGGAAGTGTGAGCAAAGTCCCTCTCATCCTTGGCCGCACTGGCGAAGGGATTGGAGTCACTGAATGTCGTCGTGGTTGGCACTTGAGCAGCAGAACCGCCGGCAAAATCGAAATAGGAGCCAAAATTGGTGGCCAGAGGATTGACAGCACCATTTGACTGCGTGAAGAGATGATTCGTCGACGCGTTGACATTCTCAGAGAAGTATCCACTGGCCGTCTGAATGGAGTCCGGACTGGTTGGCGTGGTTGGATGAAGCAGTGGCGTCTGCTCGATGTCCTCAGATGGTTTGTACGGCGTGACAATTTGCCTTGGCAGATGATTGTAGGGCTGAGATGAGGCCAAAAAAGCCACATCCCCAAAATATGCACCATCAAGTCCCACATGTCCTGTGTGCTTGAGATCATTCTGCGGTCGTGATATCATTTCTGTGCGCAATTTCCTCTTGCTCGACCGATCGGTGCTGCGCGTGAAGGCATCCCTGTTCGTGGATGACGGAAGACTGCCCAGATATGTGACCGTGTTGGCGGGATTAAACAGTCCCGTCTTGCCGGAATTGAGAACACCCTTCCAATAGGGTGAATTCGCCCCCTTGTCCAGCACCGTGACAATCTCCCCCTGTCGATACATCAAGTGATCCTTCTTCGCCTCACCACAATTCGTCACCGTCTTCAGCTGTTCCGGCTTCATGTCCGGCAATGTGCCGTAAATCTCAGAGAATTTAGGCCTCTTGTTCGGATCGTGTTGCCAACACTTAAGCATGAGGGCGTAATACTCACGCGGACAGCACTCCGGCGGCTCCAGACGCTGATAGTTCGGCTCATCAATCGCCTCGAGAATCTGATGACCCGTGAGAGCGGCCCAGGGTTGAAATCCATACGAGAACATCTCCCACAGACACACCCCATACGCCCACACATCAGAGGCATTCGTGAATCTGAGGAAATTGATGCACTCCGGAGCACACCAGGCGATTGGCAGTTTCAGATTCACATTGAAATTCGTCTGATAGTAATCCTTGCCCACACCAAGCGCACGCGATAGGCCAAAATCCGATATCTTCACCTTATTCTTGCTGAACACCAAGATATTCCTGGCCGCCAAGTCCCGATGGATGAGTCTCTTGTTCTCCAAATACATCATTCCATTGCAAATTTGCTGAGCAAATTCACACAGAGTCGGCACTGTGAGGAAACTCACGCGCAATCCGGAATCCTTGAGGCACTCAAGGAGGGAACGCAAGTGAGCCAATTCGGTGACCAGCATGAGTGAGTCCGTGTCCAGCACCACACCGTACAGCCTCACGATGTTCTCGTGCTCAATTGAATGCATAATGGCGGCCTCCTTGAGGAATTCCATCGGATTAGACTGCATTCTCTCTCGACACAGACACTTTATGGCCACTTGAATCTGGAATTAGTAGAAAAGACAAGAGAGACAACCATGTGGATATTGCTTTATGACAAACAAATGAGACCTAATTGTTGCGTCAAAGGTATGTGGGAATTTAATTACGCCCCGAACAACGTATATTCGGAAGCACTGAAATGCCACCCACGCTCTTCCAGGACACTCAATGCGGATAAATGTCGACTTGTAATTACTCCATTTCAATTCTTCTCCCTGTAAAAAATTCACTGCAACTGGATTTTATCCACTTCAATTCACGACAGGTGAATTGAAAACTATGAAAAGTCAAAAGCAACATTCTTTAGCAGAGCGAATTGAGAATTTTAGTGTTAAAGTCGGTGCGAAATTTAACAAATTTATCTCAAAACATCTTTTAATCGATAATTAGAATGCTAAAAATTGAATTTTTTACTAAAATATTGCAAAGATTATAGAAAAATTGAAAATATTACTTTCCAAAGACGATTTTAAATAAATCTTCAAATACATTTTATCCAAAAGAGATTTTAAAAATCAATTTTTCATGCTTTTCATGTACTTTTTCAGAGTTTCAAGTAAAAATTTTTATAAACATGATAAATATTGTTATTATTCAAAGTTTATGGGAATTTTAGAACAAGTCTTGAGTATCTAAAAAGTGTTTTTATACGTTTTTAATACAGTTTCGGACCTTGGAAAAAGTACAGCGTAATGAGAAATTTTATTATTCCAATAAAAAGAACACAATGAAAGGAATTGAAAACTATGAAATGCGATTTTTATAATTTTCGTCATAAATATTTTTGAAAAGTTTATTTTTCGAAGTTCAATTGACTTTTCTTAACTCGATTTTCCATCTTCTACGCCGCAACAGATGAAAATTTTTTACATTCATGTTTTTTTTTGATAAAATAAGACGAAAACTATGAAAAATCGCTTTTTCATAGTTTTCAATTTCTTTCATTGTGTCTCTTTATTGAAATGAATCTTCATAATAAAATTTATGCATCTCATTAAATGAAAGACTTTTTCGGAAAAGAATTCTCACTACATATTTTTCTTTTTCCTTCACTTTCTTCACCGCCTTTTCATATTCATGTGAAAACTGAGAAAATATATAATAATGAAATTGAGTGCACAAGAGAGTCTCAATGTCTGTGGCACTTTTCACAAACTGTTCACTTTAATTTGCCTTCATGCATGAAAATGAAGATAAATTTGACAGAGAACTTCTTTTAAACTCTCCCATCCACACTTCCAACCCACCCACAAAAACGCCGCCCCCCTTTGAGGGAAAGTAAGGCGAGTTTCTCAAAAGTTATCCTGTCAGTTTTCTGCTATGTTTAAATCCATCTGAATTGCAATCCAACAGAAACTTGTAGCAATTAAAAAGCAGGTAAATTCCACTTTCAGCCACCTTTTTGTTTTTGACAATCAACCCCCAAAATATCGTGTTGGGCTTTTCTTTGCATTTCACCCGCGGAAGGGCGCGCACACATTTCACCCTCATTCCGCCCATTCTCGCTGGTACACAATTTGTGGCGAGACAGGGGAGAAAATATTGCTTTATAATGGAAATTTTATAGTGGCATTGCATGAAATTAAGTCGAGAAATAAGAGTATTTTGGTGCCTTGTTGGAATTTGCTCAATTGTTATTCTGCAGATAAATAGTATTATCAGCAATTTTTTGCACTCTAAGCTTTCGCTCTCTCTCTCTCTGTCTTCCACCCGCGATGTATTTAATGCTAAATAATAATGTACACAGATAATAAATCCACGATATTAATATAAATGTGAGGAAGGAATTTATAAAAATTCTTACTCCCAGAGATGATAAGAAGTTGGAATATGCAAGCGAGATAATATATTGACTCTGTTACTCATGATTTTGCTGAGCATTTCACATTCGCGTGGTTCGACGGGTGAATCGAAAACGATTAAAAGTCAAAATCATCATTTTTCAAGAGAACGAGTTGAGAATTTAGCGTTAATATCGCTGATAAATTTGCCAAATTGACTTCAAAATCCTCAAAACACTTTCTAATCACTCTGTAATTCTAATTTTGTGAATATTTCAGTTGATTTTATTGGTATTTACTGGAATTTTTGACTAAAATATAGCAAAGATGATGGAAAAACTGAAAATATCAGTTTACAAAGTCGATATTTAATTGTTTTCGCGTACATTTTATCAAGAAACTTCTAAGAAATTGTCTTTTCACACTTCACATGATCTTTTCTTAACAATTTTCAAGTGAAAAATTTAAAAATATGACAAAATTAATAGAAAAACTGAAAATATAAGTTCACAAAGTCGATTTAAAATTGTCTTCGATTCGATTTTATCCAAACAACTTCTAAAAAATCAAGTTTTCTCACTTTACATGATTTTTTTGTAAGTTTTCAAGTGAAGAATTCAAAAGATGTGACAAATAATCAAATAATTCAAAGTCTAAGAATATTTTAGGGAAATCCAGAATTAATATGTTTATTAAAGAGGCGTTTTACGCGTAAAACTGCAATTTGAGACGATTTTTTGGATAAATAAGATTTTTACTACTTTGTTGTAGAACAAATAAACAGTTTTATTAAAAATACATTAAACGTAATCTGTGAAAAATTGACTTTTCACAGTTTTCGATTCACCCTCCGGATTTAGCTTGGACAGAGTGAGGAAAAGGAGTAGCCAGCGATAATGAGGAATTGAAGTGTGGCTGGGAAATAGATCAACACTCACTCTCTCAGTGCCATTGGTCCAGACGCCCTGCTGAACAATCCCGAACTCCCCAATCCCGAGCTGCTTGTTGACACAGATGGCATCGGGCGGAATGATGTGCTTGTTGCTTGGCACTTTGCTGGGAGAACTTGTGGTCTTCATCACATCCGATGTGGCTCCAGGTGTTGTGGCCTGCCGGAATATTTGCCCAGAATCAACCAAACCAATTCAATATCCACCCAATCGATTCCACACACACTCACATTGCCATCGAAGGCCTTGGGATTCTGCAGGAGTCGCTTGATCTTGCTGAGATACCCGTGTGGGTAGTATTTGTCGTAGAACTTCCTTAGGCGCCGAATCTCCGGACGCGACAGTCCGATCTGCTTCAGGTCCTCGTCATTCGCGTACTTCAGATGCACAACCGTGGTTATTTTTAGCTCATTTCTGGGCAAAACGACGGAAAGGGAGAGAAAAACAGGAAAATTCATAGATAATATGCATGACACGTGTGTGTGTGTGTGTGTGTTGGTGGGAGAAAAGTAGGACACTATTTCATCTCCTCTCTTGTATCATCGCTTCCGAATGATTACACCCGCGAACACAATTATCGATCCAATTTCCCACAATTGCCTGCCATTTCACATGGTCCATTTTCCCTTCTGTGTGTGGGCGAATGAGTAAACAATCAAATATGCTCCCAAAACTCTCTCTTGTACATAATATAAAGTGCATTATCAAATTATTTAGAAATAACAATAAAAAAAAGCCAAATCCATCATTTTATACGTACATTTGGTCGAATTTACATAGGACACGCGAAGAGAGGAAAAGTATAGATTAGCGGGAGACTTTCTGTACATTGTATGGGACGCTATATAAAATATCCTTTGTGCTTTCCTAATACAGCATGACAACGCTTTACATAAGACTGATATCTGTCTTATTAATCTTCGGAAGAATTAAGCTATGTTGTATTGATTATGCTCAAAGATAGAAGACAATACAGTGACTCTGCAACAAGTTTGGAACGCTGAAATTTTCACAACTTCCACTCAGGATAAGAATTCTTGTATTATTCACAAGATTTAACGATTTTCCCAAGGGAAAATGTATTTTATCAACTGTCGATGCATTTTCGAACTTTCTAAAGATAGTTTTCACAGCATTTTGTACAAATTTGCCCAATTTTGGGGCATTTTCGGACAATTTTGGGGCATAATTAGACAATTCTTCTCTTATTTTTACAGTGCAATCCTTAAGAAATGATTAAGGAAATCTTTATCATTATTTCCTGGTCGATAGACTTATCTAATGGAGAGAAAACTGAAGGTTTTTCATTGAATTCTGTAACTTAGAGACCAAGATTCACTTTTTCTTCAATTCTTACAAGCAAATCATGAATAAAATGAATAACATTAAACTTTATCAACGCTAAATAATTGAAAATAGTAAAAATACGTACTTAATTTGAATTTTTCTGTGCGAAAAAGACGCTGTTCAAAGCTGCCCCACTGAAAATCCATCGATTTTTTTCAACAAATTTGTCTAATTACTGAAATATACTCCCAAACCATTCTGTAATAGCAGATTTATTCCTTGGTCTTTCATAGCCTGGATAAGAAACACGTTGACCGAAAAAAACCCTTCCAATTCTGCCCCGCTCTCCCATATTTACTTTAATTATTTTATTTGTGCGAAGAAAACATTTGGCTGCAAAATGTCTGTAAAAGTGCTTTAATGATTGCAACACTTCTTCACAGTAATCTTATTCTTAACTTATCTTTGATAAGGAATTCAGCAGAATTGGCATAAATCTACGATTTGATAAGCTTTTCTGCTGGAAATTTTCACAGAGACTGCAAATCCAGCAAAAGTGCGTTGATGGTGTTTTGGGAATTGTGTTCGTCAGTGTTTCACTTCCGACTCTTGAGGGGCACTTTGGACTGAGAGGCACAAAATGGGACTCACTTGATGGAATTGTAGTACTGCTGCAGCTCCGACTCGGCCAGGAACTCGCACAGATCGATGCACTTGGGCTCTGCTGGAGGAGAGAGAAGGGCTCGTGAGATGCTGCGTGGAATTCCACGGAACCAGACGGCGTTTGTGTGTGTATTTATAGATGCTGGACCCGCATTCCGGGCGTTCCGCCGCGTCTCTCTTGCGCCGGCCGCCGTCTCGCGACTGCGGTGCGAGCAAACAGGAAGAGAAAACTGCGATTCACACATTTGCTGGGCGTTTTTTCCCCCGCAAAACCATCAATTTTCTTCTCGCAAGCACAAAAGAGAGAACGGCGTCTGGGAATGCGAGTCCGCACGAGTGGCGCCCCGCGTGGCTCCGGGACGGTTTTTTACCCATCATCCTGCCGGGAGGGCGTCCAGGAAGTGAGCTCGAGCAGCGCGATGGAGCCTTTTTCCGCGTCGGAAGACACAGACGACGTCGCTTCCGCCCAAGTTTTTGCACAGAGTCGCTCGAGGGGCGTCGCACCAAAATCCACTGGCCCTATCACATCCGCCAGGCACTGCACCGTCCCAATTTCATCGCACACCCACGCTCTGGCCACCTGACTACACACTGAGCACCTTTTCCACCGCCGCGCTGGACATTGAGTGGGAAATAAAAGGGAAAAAGAAATCAATTGCTCCCCGAGAAAAACACAACATTGACAACTCTGCGACGGGACTGGTGTTGCCAGATCGCGCGGTCAGATGGCAATATTTTACGCTTGGCGGCGTAGAGAAATTCAGAGATGACGAACGGGTTCAACTGGAGTTAAACCTCCTAATTCACAGCCAGAAAACTCATCTTAAAACAATAATATATAGATCTTGAGGATCTGAAATTGATGGAACGACAAATTTATGCGCTGTGAATTGAATGGATTTCCATGTTGAATATATTTTTACAAGAAGCTTAAAATTCCATGGTTTATCATTCTTTTCTTTTTTTTTCAGTCAGTGACTGTATTTTTTTCTTACTTTGGCTTGCAATTTGTCAGGTTATTGACCTTTTTCTTACTGCAAAAGTAAAGATTTTAAAAGAGTTCGTAGGAATTTTCTTTGATTTTCCTTTCCTGAATCTTACGGGGGTTATTTTTATAGCACAAGTCCCGCCTTTGAGTGTCAGTCAGTGTATTTTTGCGCTATCAATTCTCCCATCCAAGAAGTGCCTAATATTCGTGAAATCATGGTTCAAGCATGGTTTATGGACACCGAGACGACTGATCAGCGTCTGGAGCATCACCGCAATCCGCCGGAATATGTTTCCCTCGATGATTTGTATGCCAAAACCGGAGTGGAGTATTTCAAGGTGAACTTGTTGCCTCTCTTATCTATACTTGCATTGTTTTTCTACTATCTCCATTGCTCTGCTGTAGATTAATGTTGACGGACCGCAGGCGGATGAGGCCCTGGAGAAGATTCGGAAGGAGCGTGGATATAGCTATGAAGATCAAATAACCTGCTCTAAAGAATGCCTTCCGGATTACGAGACGAAGCTGAAGAACTTCTTCACGGAACATCTGCACACGGATGAAGAGATTCGGCTGGTGATGGATGGTTCTGGGTATTTCGATGTCAGAGAGTGAGTTTCTTAGGTAATAGATATTTTTTCGACAGTTTAGAAACTTAAAAACTAATTTCAGTGGCGAAGAACAGTGGATCCGAATTTCTGTTGTGCGCGGAGACATGATTATCATTCCCAGTGGAATCTATCACAGATTCACGCTGGATTCAAAGGTGAAAATGCCCCGAAAAGCAATCTACAGAGAGTGTTTGATTAATGAATTTATTGTGATTTGCAGAACTTCATCACGGCTAAGCGATACTTTATCGGAGAGCCAGTGTGGCTTCCGTACAATCGCCCCGCTGACGACATGGAATGCCGACAGCAGTACGTGAAGAGGCTGTCTGAGGGCTTCAAGTGATTTTCCACGGTTATTGGGTGATTATTTGGGATTTGGGAGATTTTATCAGCAATAAAATTTCCATTTCAGCATGTTTGCCATAAAAATGGTGTGTTTGTATGGCATGGGGAAATGCTGTCGGTCTCCCGGCTGTAAATCTCTGCCCATAATCACTATGCGCATCGCTTCGTACGCTTGCTAATCTCGAATTCCTTCCAACAATTTTGTCGTGAATCTTTCACCCTTTTTCTGTTGATTGTGTTTCTCGCGTGAACGGTGGTGGGACAGAATTATGCGCAGATTGCAGTGAATTGTGGGTGCAATTGCGGGTCTGCAGCCGGCATGCGAAGGCGGTGCGTCAGTCGGGCGATGCTGTGAGTGGGAAATTTCGTACCTCCAGCAAATTTCCCCACGACACGAGACGACCATAAAGCGCATCTGGCAACCCTCGTGAGCGATTTCCATTGAATGACAGCTTCACGTCGAGACGCGCGGTGTTGTGGGAAAATAATCGCAAAAATTACCACCTACAGTGGCCGAGTGCGGGCGCAAAAGGACACCAATCGTGTAGTGCACGCGCTGGTGTGTCGATTGAGCGTACTTCCGGGGTGCTCACCTGTGGCGAGAGCTGGGAAAAATGTGTGATAAAGTGGTGAACTTCGACGGCTGATAATCGATCTCAATTTCATCGCTGGCTCCGGTTGACAAAAAAACACATCGGCATTCGGGGCTCGAGAGTGGCGAAAAGGCAGGCGGCGCTTCTGTTTTCCACCACCGTTTTCATCTCGTGCGATCGCGGAAGCCGCGCGGCGCCCCCGCGAGACAGCGTCGGCCGCGGAGCCCCCCGGTTTTTCGGCAAGAGTTTTGTGCGGCGACAGGGGGAGCGCGCGCCCCCCGCCCCACACACACGCTCCCGAGAGGAAAATCTCCGTGGGCGAGAGAGCGAGCGAGGAGCTGGAATTTATTGACCCCGCCGCAAACGCAGGTAATTGGAAGCAACACAGAGAGCAACTTCTCAGTCCAGCGATTGTAATTATTTGGTGTCTCTTTCGTGGTGGTTGAGACAATCGCACGCACACAGCGCGCGCGAGTGGGAAAAATTCCCTCCCAGCCAATTGTCCCAGTGGAGAAGACGAGGCCACGAATTGCCTTCCCTCCGCGGCGTGGCTCTTTTTCGGCGGCCCTGGATGACCCGCTTGGGAAGTTGCACTCGCGGTGCGCCTCCTCTCCTTCATGGATAATAATAGATCGCGACATAAGGCAATATAATTAGATTTGTGGGCCTCTTTCCTTATCATCATCTCCGCTGGCTGGCTTGGTTTGTGAAAAACCACTCTCTGTGGGACACACGAGTCTCTTCGGGACTCATTCGCAAATCACCACCAAAAATTCCACACTCGAAATGACACACAATCGCTGGGAAAATCAATTGAGCTTTCGCGCCGCCAGGATTCCCACGACAGCCACCCACAAATGCTCCCGCGGAATCCAATCCTCCCGCGCTGGGGTCAAAGGTGAAGAGGATTATCCTCTAGATTCACGCCAATGCCGCACAATTGTCCTCGTGCTGATCAATGAAAATGAGGTGAAGGTCGTTCGCCTTCGGACATTCACGCAAGGATCAAATCCAATTGTCGCGTTTACTCCCTTTAGTCCACATTCCAATCAAGCGCCTGGCGAAGACAAAGAATGGTGTTCAATAATAATAAGGTGACTAAAGCCAGAATCTAAGCTCAAGTCATGCTAAATTTCGCGGTTATCTAATCAATTTTATGTTCTCTGATTAGAGAGAGAGAGAGAAAAAGGGCTGTTAATGATCTCCAAATCGGACGGAATCTTCCATTTAGAGGCGAGTGAATGTCTGAAGGATTTTGATTATCAATTAAATGCTTAATCATTTGGCTTTATCATTTTTCCGGGAAAAGCGATTTATTATGCCCAGATTTTTTGCAAAAATTCACTTGAATAACTTCTCTGGAGACGTATTTATAATGCAATGATGATAATGTGTGAAAAGCTTGAGCTGAAGACACTGAAGAGAGTCTCGCAGTTCATCTTGCGAGAGAGCCGAAGAGTCACCAAAATGGTTTATTGCAAGTGTGTGTTGAGCTTGGAAGTACCCGCCAATGATCTCTTTCTTCGTGGTGGCAATTCAGAAAAATCCACGGCGATTCTACCTTTCAAAATGCGTTCAAATGCTGACGGTTTCGGGTCCCCTCCGCCCTCCCTTCCTTCGGCCAGGCGGCTGAAGAGAGAGAGACGGAGAAAGATGTGGAGAAGAAGAGAGGAGAGAAAGAAGAGTTACCCATCATCTGGCACTCTATTTTGTTCCGCTTCGTGTCTCTGTATTTCCAACAAAATCGTGTATATATACATATCGGTTTTTTTTCTTCTTCTTCGACATCTTCTGCCGCTTCCTCCCAAAATGTACAAGAAGAAGAAGAAGAAGAAGTGTCGAGGCAGAAATTTTCTTTCGATATAAGCAATTTCTGTATTTACACACTCGCCAATTCAGGGGAGAGAAAAAAAGAAAAGAAATTACATGCGAGACTCGCGAGCGCGCGAGAGAGAAGAAAAGTGAAGAAGTCTCGTCCCCATTTTCATTGTTAACTTCTTTCACAATAAACCACACTTTTAAATACCAAGCTCATGCACAATTTTTTCCGACCTGCAACATATTCACCGCTTCTTTCCCACTCTTGCGGAGAGTCTTCTAATAATTGCTGAATTCTTGATTCAGCGCAAGATGAAGAGAATGCTTTTCTGACCATTTTCCAACTGCAATTTGTGGATTTGAGAGATGAAATTGAAAGTACGAAATTCCATTAAAAGTGTTTAATTTTTCACATTGAAGATTGCATCGCAAAATTGCTGACAATTCTCCAAATTCTCGATAAATCAACTGTGGCTTTTTTTGGGTGATATGCAAATATTATTAAATATTTTATGCTCGTCATTATGAATTTAGTTGTAATTCAAATGAGGAAGGAAGTTAGAGAGAGAGAAAAAGTTGTGGTATAAATTTGGATAGTAAAGCATTGTTTTAGCAAGAATTGCACCGTTATTTGAGAACATAAAATAGAGCTCAATGATTGATGTGTTACAGAGAAGGAGAAAAAAATGAAATTTCATGTAAGACTAACGTTGATGATCGTCTTTATAAATATTCAAAAAAAAAATCTTGCGTTATGAGATGCGTTTTGTGGGGGGGAAATTTTGGGCAGTAATAAAAATATCGCTGTCTTTATTTTATTGTTAGTATGATTTGAAACTTGCACAGAATTCAGCGAGCCAAAAAAGCAGCTAATTTAGCTGAAAATTGTTAAGGTGACTGAGTAAAAAAGGAGGAAAAACAAAAGCGTTACAAACACAGCAATTTTAAGCAAAATATTGAGCCGATTTTTTGTTTAATTAGCTAAATTTTCATCAATTTTCTAAATATCGTGTATTTTCCTGTTGTTTTTGATGAATATTTTGCTAAATTTATGGCTTCTTTCTGATCAAAACTTAGCAAGAAAACAGGAAATCTAATTTCTATGAAGGAAAAGCCCTGAAGCATGCAAATCTCTCAAATTTGAGGTGATTTTAAAAGCGCTATTTATAAAATTCACTTGAGTGTTGTTATCACGAAGTATATTATTGAAATGGCATGCTGCGACATCTATGCACTTTAATGCGCATCAGTACTTTGACTGGTCGCTGCTACGTTCGCTAGTGTATCAACCGAATTTCCAAGTTTTTAGCGAAAGAAAGCCAAACAATTAGCTTTTTAATGCTTAACGTTGAGATCTTGGCATTTTGTGCTCGCTGAGTATTTTCTTCAGAACATTGAAAATAGAATACTTGAATAATGACTCCGGAAAACACTGTTAATATGTTCAAATTTGGGAGTATTTCTGCTTTCTTGTGCAATAAATTTGCCGGACTTTGATTTATCTGGTCGATGGCAATGTTCTCATTGGTATTTCTCTGAACGTGATTAGAAGAGGTGATGAAATTTGGTCTAAGAATTTCATTAAGCCATAAAAGCGGAAGTGGCGAAGAGAGTTGAAAAAGATTTCTTACCAATAATTCAGTTGAAGCACTTTTGCCAATGATTGCAATCGTTCACCTTTTCGGACGACTCAAGAGGTCTCTTGAGGGGCTTTTTTTATCATTGCTATCAAAGTGGACACTTTGTTGTAATATCTTATGGCGAATCGAGTTCATTTGTGCGCGTTTGTCTTTGTTTGGGGAACTTAATTTATGTGAAATTTTGTGGTTTTTGCAATCAAAGGCGAGTCTCTTCCTGGGCGGTGGTTTGGATGCACGCGAAAGTGCATCTCTGGCTCTGCGTGTGATATGACGGGAATGTTATGTGATTCTGGACCTTTGTTGGGGCTGTGCTGGTGGATTCACGCTAAACTCAAACCGCCTGTGTTGGGGGTTGCTTTTTTGGGGGGTGAAGTGGGGAGAGGAAGAGAGAGGTTATAATATATGTATGTACATCTCTCCGTTGAATTACATAGCGAGGATGTATCGCGAAAACATTGGTGCTGGTGGCATTTTTCTGTTTCGAGCTCCACCAGCGCCGCCACCCCTTTTCCGAGGGTGGATTTCTCATGTATTTGCTTGCTCCGGGGGTGGCGGTGTTGTGTTGCTGCCTGATGCTGCTGTTGCCATGGGTTTGGGTTGTCCGGAGTGTGGAGTGTGTATCGACAACCGTGGGTGGCGGTGGGCTTTTCGGCTGGGCTGGGCTGGGTCGGGTTGGTGAGGGGGTGGCGGAGGTGTGAGTGGGTGAAAGACAGAGTGAGAGAGAGTGAATTCAGAAACATTCAAACGAAGAGGACGCGAAGAGACAGAGAAACGAGTTTTCTGCTATACAGATTGGGTGGGTTTGAGGGTGGGAAACCAGCAATTTCCTCATTCTCTCTCTCACCCACCCCACCCCCCGAAAGGCCCACCCACCGTGGCGGTTTCGTTGTCTCACTCACTCGGGGTTGTGCTGGTTTGGGCGCTCAATCGCCACAAATTTCACTTGATGCTCTGTGAGTGAGTGAATGAGTGTGTGTGCTGGAATAAATCAAGCCGCTCACACCCGCTCTGGCCCACGCACAAAATTCAAAAACCCCACCGGGACGCTGAGCCCACACACCCTCTCCCACACACACCCAGAGTCGTGAGCCTGTCCCAAGTGAAGCCGCTTGAAAATGTTCTCAATAACATATTCAGCGATGCATCGCATTTCGACGACTGCGTACAACATCCGTTTTATAATAAAGCCCTCCCCACCCCTCCCAGGCCACCCCACGCCACACATCTCCTCATCTCTCTGCCCACTCTGTCTCTCTGTCGCTCTCTCGAACATCACCATCCCTCCGACTGCCGCCCAGATGCCACCCGCCGGCCCCAAAGCGCCCGGTCGCCCGCGCGCGCTGTACGTGTGTTTTTGGCGCTGTGTATGTGCCTTCTATCTGCTTCACCGGGGTATCATCTCCACGGCGAGAGAGCGAGAAGGGACTCGTGGGTGGCGGGCTGAGTCTGGCCGTGGGGGTTGGGGTGGGTGATCGCCTCCATCACACGTACAAACAGAGAGAAATTGCGAAATACACAGTCATACTGGATGCGATGCCGCCAAAAATACACAAGGCTCAGGAAGGTTTCGGGGAATGTGCACTCACGAAACAGTGGCCAGAAGGATGGGGATGTTTCACCCCCACCCCATCAGCCAAACTGGGTGAGTCTGTGGCCCACTGCTGCCCACAGAGCAAGCACAGATGACGAGAGAGAGCGGAGAAAAAGTTAGATCATGATAGAAACTGGCGCATTGTGCATTGAAACTTCCGTGGGAAAGGTGAAATGTTTCGCTAAAAGTTTCATGGTGAAGTGAAATTTCAGATTAATGGTGTAGAATTAGTTCTAATTAGTGGATAACAATTAGATTTGTCGATGTATAATCGAAGTGAGTAAGCGAAAGGCGTTCTAAATCTTTTTAACACCAGAATCTTTCATTTCTTGACACAAAATGTGAAGTAAGAGAAGCTTGAACAGAAGCTTTTCTTGATTTTCCTCTGGAACACGGCCTGTTTAGAAATTTTCGAAAGGAATTTTAGGCATTTCAAGTCTTTAAGACAATTTCTTACATTCAATAGGAATTGAAAGTCTAATTTTACAAATTGTTGTAAAGAATTTTAAGGCATATTTGTTAATATTTATGCAGAAAATTCTTTAAAAAAATTTAAACATCCATAAAAGCGCTATTTATTGAATGTCTGATAAATTATTAGACAAACCGTGATAAACTTTAACAAATCCTTATCTTTGAAATCTAAAATTTCACTGGGTGAAATTTCATGAAAAGTTGAAACTTATCTTCTATATGGCAAATATTGGTTAGAAATTTCCTCACAGAATTTTTTATTTAATTTTTTTGTAGGGTGTAAAAAATACAGTCCAGCGCGAAACTTCTGACAACGTAACGTGTGTGACTGTGTTTGTGTGTGTGTGTGGAAATGGGGAAAATGCACTTTAATTTTGCGGACGAGATGGAGGGAAAAAAGTGTGGGTGGGCTAAAAAATAAATACACAACGTTGGTCAGGAAAAATGGGGAAAACTTTCCACCATTCGGGGGAGTGTGTTTTGGAAAGGGAAGCTCGCAATTTTTATTCTGTATTGCGAGGAGAAGGCTTAACAGACAAATTGTAATGGACGTGTAAAAAAATCTCTGAGACAGAAATAATAATAATAATAGTTGAAAGAATAATCTTTATCTATCAGATAAGCTGAGTGAGGAGAGAGATGTTGAAAGAGCGCGCATTATTAGTTTATTTCAAATGAAAATGTTGTCTTGTAATTTATTCATCGTGATTGGAAATATGTTGAAAATGGTTTATTGACATTTTTGGTCAAAGTGATTATCAATTGTGGGGAATTACATGTAAAATTGAATTTAATAAAAAGGTAATTGATGTTAATTTGCCAGAGAGAGAGAGGAATATGTGGAGTTGTGAAAAGTGTTGGGAAATGTCGGGAAGGCGCATTAAAATGCAATTTATTGTGATGTTAAACGCAATCCCAAATTCTCAATATATAATAAAATATACGTTGAAAGGTATGAAGAAATGGTTTTTCTCTGTGTGTTTGCCACAAAAGTGGGGGGGAGAAAAAGGGAAAATATTTCGTATTACATAAACACTATTATGGAAATTCAATGGAATTGGAAAAGGGTATTTGGATGGCCCTTGATATTGGATGACTTTTAGGTGTAACTCTGAGCACGCAAATCCGATCAAAATTGCACAATTTTCATCGTAATTAGAAAGCGAGTGATTTTCCTTTTAGAACAATTCAACATTTTGTGTGTTTGGCGCGCAATGTGAGCGTCATTTGCGAATGAGGGTTTTGGATTATCACAAAAGTGCAAATAATTAAATTAATGGCGAAGGAATTGCTGATGACGTGAAATTTGAATGTTTGATGGTGCTAAATTGGCATTTAGGTGCTAATTTTTCTGCTGATTTGGGGAGAAATATGAGAAATACACCAGTAATAATATCAGTGAGAGAAGAAGAGGTTAAATGGATATTGTTTCTTAAATACTAGCGGGATTTTCTTACCATTTCAATGGAGATCTGTTTGTTGGTCTTTTGACCATGAGAAGAAGAAGAGGTACAGAGGAGGAAGAAGATGAAGAGCAGTAGTTCTAATGAGTAGTATTTATGAAAGATAGCTTGTGTGAGTGATACAATTAATTCGCCATTAATTGCTGATGTTTATTTTTCTCTTTCAGATGACACACTGCGGTTAATGCGAGAGGAGTAAGAGATTATTAAGGAGTGAAGAGACAAAGACAGTGAAGTGGACAAAAAGAACAAGACGATAATCGCGTTGAGGAGGGAAAATTGAATAATCCAATTAATAATTGAGTTTGATAGTGAATGTGAACAGGGGGAAAAGCGATCGAAGAGTGGTTTGTTTGGGGCGCTTTTTGGACAACTTGCAATACGCGGTGTTTGTTTTTTTTCCTTGGCGTTTTCGGTAGTGATTCTCTCTCTCGCTCTCTGTGGTTGTTGTTGTTGGATTGTGCCAGAGCCAGAGAGAGGCGCAGTGTTTTGTGTGTTTAGATGGAGAAAATGGAGGTCGACGACGTGGTCGATTTGAGCATTGCATCGGGCCGTGACGCGTCGCTGACGATAACTCAGTCCACGGCACGTGATTTGCGCGCTTTGACACAGAATTCGGGATTGACTATAACACCAGCACCGCCGCCGCCGCCAGTCATCCCTGGCATTTCGGTGGGTGTCAGTTCTGGTGGTGGCGCTCCTGGGAACAATAGCAGTGGAACAGCATTCGCCACCTCGGCTTCGTCCTCCGTGGCTCCGGATAATGGTGAAGCTTCTCTCTCTCTATTTGTTATCTCACTGTGCAGAGAGACACATAATATATGTGTGCTGCTCGATAGTGTCATGTGGGTGATTGCGAGGGGTTTCAAATGCACCTAATTGCTGCTCCTCTCTTCTTGTTTTGAAGTGTGTCGCCGTTGAGGATCGATCGCATTGGTTGGATTATTCTATATGAGTTTGTGTATTGATCACACAAATTCTATCATATTCTAAACAAGGCAACAATAATAATCATTATCTCTCCCTGTTAAATGTAAAAGATTACAGCAATAATTGACTATTGATCCTCTTCAATTGCTCACTAAATTATATTCACAATTGATGAAAAATAACTCATAAAAAGACTCTTAAACATTCTTTTTATTTGCCATATCAACACGCCAAAGTAAGTCATAAAAATGCTTATGCAAAAATTGAGGAGTAATAAATCAAATGTTTGTATTCTAAGCAATGATTTTATGATGATTTTTTCTTTCTTAAATGTTAATATAATCAACAGTGGAATGAGAGGAATTGTTGAACGGGGGGCCAAAAGAGTGCATATAATGGCTAATGATGGAGTAAAAATGGGTGTAAATTTCGGTTGTATTACAGCAATAAAAAAAGAAGAGAATAAGTCGGTATTTTATTGGTGCTCGCGGTGTAAAGTAGGCCAATACATGAAACTCTAATGATCTTCTTTTGCAACCGAATGCGAGCTGATAGGTGAGCAAGGGAGGGAGAATGAGTTGTGGAGATCGCACGCAAATAGCTTTTTTCCTCCACTTGAATGCCTATTGATGAGAGCGACACGGAGTGGAGTTGCTGCTGTTGGGTGCATTTGACCCCCCGTTGTGGTTGAATTTTGTGTGAATTGACAAGAAAGGATGTGGGGCAGATGGGCTTGAGGGGTTGGCAGGGGGTGTGAGAGAATGGAAGAGCTTATAGAATGACAATATGTGAATATGTATGGAGTGCACTAATAAAGCCTCTTCCTCTTTTCCATGCCCACCCACACGCCACGTTCAAAACTGCACCATTCCATCCACCCATCGACTCTGCTCTCACCCTGGGAAAATGGGGGTGGGTGTGCAGCAGCAGCAGCAGCAGTGGTTGGGCACGATGCAAATCGAACGAGACGTGTTCTGCGTCCCCGCACGGAGCCCCGCTCATATGCCGAGAGTCCGGACATCGTGCTGCTGCCGGCTAAAATAAATGGTCGTCAACAGAATGGGAATATCGATTCGGAGACAGATGACGATGATGATGATGAGGAAATGCCACCCATTTATCCGATAAAGGAGCTCACGGCGGCCGAACTGTGGGAGAGAGAGCGCGGCCTGAGGAAGCTGAGGGAGGAGTTGCGTAATGAGGAGACAAAGCTGGTGCTCCTCAAGAAGTTGAAACAATCACAGCAGATGATGAAGGAGAATTTGATTGTGACACCGACAAATCTACCAAATGCAAACAATCCACTTGCAGCCATTCCGGCGGCACTCACAAAGGGCACACTCAGCGTCACAACCACCACGGCCATCCCATTGCCGGCGCACAACAAGAATCGCTCAGCTATTCTCAGGTGAGTTTTTGCGGTGCCATTGATGACCACAGACGCTGACCAGCACGTGTGTGTTTGCTTCCTTTTCCTTTTGCAGAGGACAACCGACTCCAGGGAGAACCACTTCGGTTCTGCCACCGCCGCGGACTGCGGCGCTCCCGGGCGGAGCCACCCTGACGCCCGGACCGCCGCACCGCTCGTCGCTGGGACACGCGAGAACCAATTCGAATCTCACGATAACTCCATCGGTGACAATTACACCCACGAGTGCACCGCCGGCAGGATCAAAGCCACGCAATGTGAGTTGTAATGTATTCTCCGATTCACTATATGTATGCATACTTTCAGATAAATTCTCCTGGTTTCTCTCTCGCACAAGAGAGGCTAAAAAGCCCGTATTATTATCCATGGTTTTTACGCGCACGAATAGACTGAATTTTGGATGTGGTTTTGCATTTTTCGAAGACACACACACACAAAATTAATTTTCACGTGTAATTTTACTTGTTGGGTAACAAAACATGCACACTTTATTTACCAAATGAGAGTTTTTGGTGATTAATATCAATAAGAAAACTGCAGCTTTAGAAGGGATCAATTGAAGATAACAAAGTGTTGTGATAATTTTTGGAGGCTTTCCATATTTGCACATGAGATTAAGTGAAGAAGACTATTGTTTGCTTTTCCATTGATATATTTATTGACATGTTTTCAGCACAATTAAAGTAAACTAATATCTCAGGGTGGTTGTGAAATATTCGCGAATTTTTCACATAACTTTCACACCATTTAGTGGTTTTTCTTTGCTTTTTTCCTAAGACAAAACAGCTTGAATTGATTCCTAAATCATCTCGAGTTCTGAATCGATTCCCAGTCAAACAAGGGAGTGTTAAACTTTAAATATGTAAAAGAATAACATTTGAAATGAAGAAGGAAATATATTTAAATATTTATTTTTCTTTTTAAATTATATAACTTGAATAAAAAATCAAGAATTATTATTTTCTAAGTAAATTTGCAAAATAATAACAAAGAAATTGAATATTTTTGACAAAATTTTTAAATAAATCTAGTAATATTTTAATATTTTTAGAAAATTTAATAAATATTTAAATTTGAATAAGTCACAAGCCGGATTTGAAGACCTAAAATCAAGAGGAAATATAATCGGAAATTCAACATGCCTTTAAAGTTAATTTGCTGCCCTCTGGCGGCAATATGTGGAGAAAATAATCAAGTATATAAATATTTCATGGTATAATTCATATAAATATTAAATAATCACAAAGTTTTTGGTCTGAAATCGTCAGGGTTTTAAGAGATTCCACAATGTGTAAGAGAAGAAAATCGTAAACTTTTCCAAAAAATTAAAATTCAAGTTTATAATTGGTAAATTCGTGACAAAAAAGGAATTTACTGCAAAAATTATTCGTAATCATGCTTGAAAATTAAAGCCACAATTGCAGATTGATCCATTTTTGCAAGATGTTCCGCAGTTTCCGATCTGTTGCTCTGTTTTTTCTACACATTCAAGTGATACAAAGCAAAGGCGTGTGTTAAACAAATATAACACATTTTTAACATTTCTCGTGTGACTGAGAATTGCTCCATTTATTGAATATTCTCTGCAACAAATCACCTTTTATTCATGTGTGTTTGTGTGTGCGCAAAAGAATTACTGAGTATAAATAGAAAGTGTGTTAAATTTGATATTGATCGGTACGCAAAAATATTGAATTCTGTAACATTAGGCGTGATGCAATATGTTGAGAAGTAGTCAGAAAAGTTAACCCGTAAATTTAGATGTAATGTTAATGAAAACTAACAAAAATGCGCAAGCAGCTCACTGTTTCGGATAATTCGAAGGTGCCAACGGGCAGTATCAGCAGTTCAGTGTCCATTACACCTGCACCGTCTTTACCTTCTAATTCAGGAGACCAGGTAGCAAAGGTTTCGGTTCGTTTTTATTATTACTTCTTCTTCTACGCTTTTTTTCCCACCTTCTGTCTCACTTTATATTTTGGTGAATTTTATGTTCTCTAAATTGATAATATTTTATTTCCCCTTCAATCAAAAAAAAAATTGATGATTTTCTGCGCAATATTTTGGTTTTTATCCTAACAGCTTTGAAAAAAAAAGAAAGAGATTTGGTTTTTACTACAAACATTTTATTTGACACTTTGGACGCCTGAGGAATGCAATGGCTTAAGATGTGTTTCTCTTCTCACTCGTGTGCATTTCAGAGTGATCGATCGACGCCGCGCGATGACGGACAGACGCCAGCACAGAGGCAAGCAGCGGCCAAATTGGCACTGCGGAAACAACTGGAGAAAACACTCCTTCAGGTGAGTGTTTAACATCCAGAGAAAACGTGCTTCAATGCTCTGTGGTGTGCTTGTGTGACGACGAAACACATTGATTAACAAATTGCATTTGGCGTTTTGCAGATTCCACCGCCAAAACCGCCGCCGCCAGAAATGCACTTCATCCCAAATCCGAGCAATACTGAGTTCGTGTACTTGCTCGGACTGGAGCATGTTGTGGACTATCTGACCAAGGACAAGAAGGGTCCGATGACATCGCAACCCTTTCGCTGTGCACAGTGCAAAATCGATTTCACACCTGTTTGGAAATGGGAGAAACAGGGTAAAAGAGGAAATGATGCTACTTTTGTCAAAGACATTTCAGGTTTATTCATTTTCATTAAGAAACATTTTTATATGGTATTTGATAGAAATTTGTTGCCTTTGCTTTCCTTTTATTTCCTTCCATTCCCCGTTGAAATATTGCTTATTTCGCTCCTTATTTTTTTGCTTTTGTAGATTTTATTAGGTTTTTGAAGGCAAGTTTTGAGTGAAGCTCAAAAATTGCACATTTTGCACTTTTGTTCGCTAATCACCGTCCTTAAATCATTTTTATCATTAATTGCGAGATGTGAATTGGACAGATAAACAGAAAGAGGGTGAATATCGAGGGGTGAAAAGTCGATTTTTTCATAGTTTACGTCTTATGCAGTTTTGAAAAGCTTTTTATTTGTTCTTCTTTTGCAAAAATTTGGGGAAAAATAGTAAAAAATGTATGAAATTTTCATGTTTTGCGACGAAATCTATGAAAAAACACCGTCTTAAATAATTTAGGATTTTCAAAATTTATCTTAAAATCATCTTAGATCTTGAATAAATATTTCTCATATCTTTTAATTCTTTGTAATGTTTGAAAAGGAGATTTTTTGATACTTTTTAGATAAAATCGACTCGAAGACTAATAAAAATCAACTTTGGAAAGTAATATTGTCAATTTTTCCAGTAAAATCAACTGAAATATTCACAAAATAATTCTTACAGAGCAATATTAGCACTTTAACGAACGATTAGAAGGTGTTTTGAGGGGTTTTGAAGTGAATTAGGCAAACTTCGCTGCGATATTAAGGCTCGTTTTCAATTTGTCCAGCTCACTTCTCATTAGATTTTCTATCAATTGCTTTGGAACTCTAATTGACGGCACAAAGTGGTTCTAATGTCCCCAAAATTCGATCTTCTTGGCTTCACTCTTGCAGCTGGAAAGGATCCAAAAGTCATCTGTGAGCAGTGTGTCACGACAAATGTGAAGAAGGCGCTGAAGGCGGAGCACACGAATCGCCTGAAGACGGCGTTCGTGAAGGCGCTGCAGCAGGAGCAGGAGATTGAGCAGCGTCTCTCCACGCAGAGCAGTCCGTCACCTGTTGAGACGCACGCGGCCAGTGTTGTGAATTCTGTGGCGCCGCCGCCACCACCACCGCCGGGTCCGGTGCCGAGCAAATCGCAGACTCCGACGCCGTCAGCGACGCCCACGCCTCGACCCACTCCGACACCCCCAAGTCAGCCGACGCCGCCGCCGGCAAGTTCAAGGTATGCCGAAAGCCACCCGCTTTTCAGGCCTCTCAACAAGTTTCGAGAGAGTGGCTCAATTAATTAGTTGAGCGCGAGAGTGATTTTCACGATGGGAAAGTGTTGCCAAGAGTCGCTTTTCTTCTTTTTCTTTGCAGTCGATCCTCCAGACATGACTCTCAATCGTCGAGTGCATCGCAATTCGACAAATTTCCAGCCGCCCAGCTTGGTGCTTTCAGTAATCTTGCCAATTTGAGTAGTTTAGGAAATCTGGGTAATCTGGGAAATTTGGGCAATCTCGGAAATCTGGGCAACCTTGGAAATCTCGCAAATCTTGGCAATTTGGCCAACACACCAACGGCGGCAGCGATGCAAGCTCTTCAGCAGCAGATCTTCAGAAGTGAGTGTTTTTTTTTCTGCATCATCGATGAGAGATGGCGAGTTGTTAATGTGTATTTTGTATTCTCCTGTGTAGGTTTGCAACAAGGACTCGCGGCGGGAAATATTCCAAGCCACATGATGCAGTTTACACCCTTCCTGTACTCCTATCAATTCTTAATGGCACAAGCGGCTCAAGCAGCAGGTAAGAGATTGTGCATCACAAGTACAAACACTGTGTTGCAAGCAGTGTGTGAAGAAGTGGTGGAATTTATTGTGAAATTCTTGAGAAAGATGAATCACTTTGAGCATAGAAAGATATATCAAGATGGTTTTAATCTGATTACACGGTTGAAATTATGGGAAATTTTACAGTTTGTCATTCACTGAAAGCAAAAAGGGATTGAAGAGTTGATATTATTTTTAATAGCATCCGAAGAAATAGCAAAAGAGTCGTTGCAATTTTATTTTCTCGTCATTTTAAATAAGCTGTCAAAGTTAAGGATTTGTAAAATTGCGAAAATTCAAGTGAATCCGAGGAAATAGGCAGTAATTTATGTTTTAAAGTTGATTTGTACAAATTGATTGGGTTTTTCGAGTCATTTCTGCACATTTCAATGCACGAGATTGAGGTTATGTGTTCCTGAACGTTCTTTGACATTTTCCAGGGAAATTGATTGCTTTGCCAAAGGATTTAGAAGCAACTATTTGATTTTATGCATTCTTTCTGTCTTAACATACAATGTCATAGCAAATATACATCCTTCCCGGACATTCCGGTCAGCAGAATCCTTCAAATATCCCGTTTTAAATAAATTAAATGTCAGAAACAGTCGCAGATTAAAGTGTTTTGTCACTGGGATTCACTATTTTGTCCTGTTGAACTCATTATTCGCGTTGGAAAAGTTGAAAATTGTGATTTACTTGCACTGAAGAATATTTTCTTACTTCAAATTGGTGGAAAATGGCTAAAAACCGGGTGAAATTGAAATATTCTGCCTCAAAAACAGTCTCAAATGGCAAATTTTACACAAAGGACTTTTTGACAGCTGAAATTCGTATTAAATAAACTCCCAACTTTTCCTTGTAACGCATTCTTGTTCGTATTTCATTCGTGCTTTACATTGATAGTTGCTGAAGAGTCATCAATAAAAGCTATGAATAGTTTAAGGCATTTAAAGTTGCAACGACTCGTCAATTGCTTGCGCATTGGGAGGAAGATTGATTTCTAACGGCGCTCTTTTCGCGTTTGCTTTGCAGCTGCTGGCAAGAACGCCAGTTTGGCGGACATCCAGAGAGCTGCCGACTTGAGGCAATTCTTCATGGACATGAACTCACCTCAGCCGCCTGGCCCGAGCAACAATCGCCAGAACAACTGGAAGACATAAGCAAGTGAGCGCGCTGTGTTGATATGTTGATCAAGTGAGAGAAGATTTGTCTTAGGATTCTTTCTTTCCTATTAATTAGTTCTCGATTTTTAAGTAATGGTTTCGTTAGACACTTTCCCTTCTTCGTTTTGTTTAAATTAAAGAAAGAGAGAGAAGAAAACTGTGCGCCAGAGAAGAGATTCTCTTGGTGTTTTGCTCGGAAGAATGAAAGCAAAGTGCTTTTTTTTGGACTTTTTACATGTTCTCGTGCGCAAAAATTTTTGTTATTGGAGAAGTTTTGAGAAGAAAAGCTCATTTCTTTGAAATCCTTTTTTGTAAAATATTGTCGTAATGAGAGAAGTGAAAGAATATATTGAGAAATGAGAGAATCATGTGAAAATATGAGTATTTATATGCCCAATTCTTTTGGGAGGAGAGAAAAAGGAAAAGGAGGTGAAAATGAAGATATAAAATACAATGGAAGATGGGAACACAAAATTACATTTTTGCACAGTAGATTTTTCCTATAATTTCCCCCTTTTTTTAAAATTAGTTTGTCATAATTTATGGTATTATTTTTGTTTAAGGATTACAACAAAAAAAATGTGTTGCGAATGCGAAACGATTGAGAGACATTGAAGAAAAAAGAAAACTTTCAAGTTCTGTTTTAGTTGCTCTTTGTTTTTGTGTTAAAACCTTTCTTTCGCGTGAAACCGGATGATAAAATATTTGTAGATGAAAAACTTGTGATAACGATGAAACAAATGCAGCAAATTTTGATTTTTTTTTTAAATGGTTGTTCCAAGAAATTCCTTTCAAATAACGCTAAACTTTGTACACATTTTTGGGGTTGAAGCCAGAAAGAGAGAGAGAAAGACGGAGAAAGTGAAGTAGATTTAATAGAGGAAACCTAAAGAGAAGCTACAAGAAAAATGGGTGAGAAAAATAGATAAAAGAAAATTGTGTATGATAGGAAAATAAACTGATAAAGAGTAAAATAGACATTTTGTAGACATAGTCACGTCAATTATATTGAAAATTCGATGATAGAAAACACAGAGAGAAATAATTTCAGTGCATTTTTATTTGGAACTGCATTCTTTTGTCGTTTTCGTTTATTATTTTTCTTTAATTGGAATTTTGCAGATTAAAATTGATTTTGAAGACAACAAGAACAAAAAAAAAAGGGTAAAGAAAATTATTAGCAAAAAAAAGTTCACGTGAAAAAAAAATTTAACCGAAAACACCGATAAAACTAAATTTAACATGGAATTGAGTGTCTTTGTTAACAAATTTATAAAGAAAAAAAAAACAAGTGAAAATTAAGAGAGAGGGTAAAAAAAGGCGAAAAAAATACACTTAATATATTAGATAAAAATGACACCTTTTTTTTGGCAACAAAAAAGAGTAAGAGAATTAGAGATAAATCCGCGTAAGTGAACATGAACCACTGTAAATATTGATGGTTAGTTTTTAAGGCAATTTTATCGGTATAAATGAGTGAAAGAAAGAGAGGAAAAAGTGAAAAATCTCCATCGAAAAGTTTTTTAAAGCTGTAAATACTACAATCTTTTTTGTATTTTGACTGAAAAGAATATTTAGAAGCATTCAAAGCAATTTCAATAAGGCAAGAAAAATAGAAAGAAAGAAAGAGAAATTATAGCAAATCACGAAAAGAAGAGAAGAGAAGAGAGAAAAGAAAGGAGTTGAAGAAGAAATCTATAATGAAAAATTATCACCGCTCTTTTGTCATAAAGATGGATTTTAAGGTATAAAAGTAAGGACAGTATAAAATAATCAATTAAAAAGGAAAATTAATATTTAAGGCTAGAGTGAATTGAATGCGTGCGTGATCTTTTCTTTTTTGTAATGAGAGATAAAAAAAAATCACTGAGATGAAAAATCACACTGAAAATTCCTACTATGTAAATTTCAGCATGAAAATGAACTTAACATTTTCACAGACTTTGTCTTCTTGCAAGAGACAGAAACTAATATAATAAAATGTGGAGAGAAAATAGTTTAAGAAGTGAACTAAAACACAGACACACAAAAATTTATAGGTGTATGTTTCCGGTTTTCCTTCCACTTTTGTGTGCTATTTTCATTCATCAAAGAAAGAAATAATAAATTTGTAGTTGATTGAAATCGTCTGGTATTTTTTTGCTGGGTTTTTGGCTCACTTTAAGTTCTCAAGTGAAATTCTGCCACCTGAGAAATGCCATTTGTTCACCCCGAGGGGGAGATAATGTGCCTTAAATCCACCCTAAAAAAAGAACTTGAAGTTTTTAGACTGTTTCCACATTGATTTCCCAATTATAATGAATTTTTAAAGTCTCCATTCAATATTTCTACAAGAATCCATTTTAAAACCCTTTTTGGACATCTTTTTCGACCATAACCTATAAATAAAACCAAGAAATTTAAAATAAACCCAATTTGGAAGTTTTCTAGTTCACAAAATCATGTATTATAATTTACTAATGAACTGAAAAATGTTGAAATATTTCTAAATTAACATTTTCCAAGTGCAAATGACTGTATTTGAGGTTATGTTCGAGTTTCAAAGGACAATTGTCCAGAAAAGCAATGTATATTGCATGAAAATGCCTTATTTTGCCAATGACTAGCAGTTTTGGCGATTTTTGCTTAAGAATTAATGTGCTTGAATTCAAAATATTCACTAAATCCGTCCTTGATTCATTACATAACCTAGAAAAGATTTTTTTGATTGATTCTGCGTAATAATCGAAGGAAATCCAAAGAATTTGGATAATTTGTCAACATAAGAAGCTTTTAGGAAAGGATTCGCTTCTCAAAACTCCCGCTGAGCTGTGAACCACTTCTGATTGTATTATCTCCCCCTTGGTTCGCCCCTCATCAGAGGCTTTTGAAGTTGCGTAAAACCAGCGTGTTTCACGCAACTTAACTTGGGAATGGAACTGAAAAAACCCTCTGAAAGCTCTTATCGCCTTCGGAGAATCTCTCGGGACTTCAGAGACAATCAAAGACGCGCAGTTGTTGACGAGATTCGCGAGCAAAACAATGTCTAGAGTTGCTGTGATTCTGTTTGTTCTCTGTGCTCTGCTGCCTCTGTTCAGCGGCCTTCCGCTGGAGAATCCCACGGACAGCTCAGAACCTCTGGGGAAATCCCACCTCAATCCGGAACACAGACGTCCGCAGGCGCTGCATCTGAACGGAATCTCAGACCACGAGAAGAATCAACACGTTGAGTATCACAAGAATCGCTTCCGGGACGAGCGGAAGCGATTGCGCGAGAAGAGGCAGTTTGACTTCATGCTCTCGGCCGACCATGAGGAGAACGTGGGCACGGATTTGTCAGCGGAAGTGGCCACGAATCTGTGGAAGAATGACGACGCCTCGACGCGCCTGGACGGCTCGGCGTCGTACAATCGACACTTTGGCGTCCACGGAAATCCCACGGGTAATGCTCGCTATGGGGCGAAGATCACATTCCACCACAATTTCTAGTTCCTCTTCTCGCTTCTCCGCAGATCAGGATTTCTCGCTCAAACTCAAACTGTGGTTCTTGTAGTTGAATAAAGATGCCTTCGGAATAATTCTCACCCTGTGTGATGATCTCTCGACCTCCGGATCGTGATAAGAGTAAATTTCGCGCCAAATATCTATCAATATATATTCTCCCAAGGATCCATCTACACGTCACACGTGATCTACTGGCCCTGCTTGATCTGCGCCGGCGGCCAATCCCACTGATTGGCAGGTGCTTTGGTGGCCAGCGTCTCCCAGGGCTTCCAGCCGAGCATCTTGCGCGCCAGAATCAACTCATTCTCCGCCTGCACGATCAACTCCTCCACCTGACCGCACCCAATCCGGGACTCTATAGCCTTCACGTCGGCTGTCTGCAGGTGGGAAAAGGAAATTAGCGAACCACAGACAGGAAAGCGCGTCCGGAAGGGAAACTCACAGTTGACACGATTGTCGCTCTCTCCTGCACGACTTTCTCCGTGTATTTCCTGTACGCCGCATCCTGGGGCATCTTCTGCAGCGCCCTGAGGATCTTGCTGTACAGCACACCGAGGGTGTGATGAGGATTCGCAGAGACAGCCAATCCAGTCAATCCTGTCGTCTACAATTACATAATATTGAGGTTAACTCTGCGGATTTTCCCATTTCACGCACAAAACTCACCAATTTCAGTGCCCCTGACATCTTCACACACCCCCAAAGGATTCACACTTGAGATAATATACTGAAATAGCAAGAAAACACTGATTTTCTAGGGTGAAAACACAATTTTTCCTGTGAATTTACCCAAAAGAAACAACAATCCTCCCGACGGCTGCGTATATCTGCGCGCAGCCTTTTTCCAATTTGACAACTGGAAGAGCAGCTGATTGGCCGGTGGAAAAAATTACCGATTGAAGATTTGCATTGTACACTGTGTGAAAAATGCTGAAATTTTGGGTTTTTCCGCGCATTTGCAGAACTATTTTCACTGAAGGTCAGTACAGAAATCATCTTTGCTCTCTGCCGAAGGCAAATGTGTCGGGAAACTGGAGAATCATTCAGCACAGGAGCTTTTCCAGTGTGCGAACCAGATATATAACTCCTTGGCAATGGTTCTTATTGGTGAGTATTTTGGCGAAATACTCTTGAAAATGAGTGAAATAATTACTCTCTGTATTCCAAAGGTCATCCCTGCTTCCACCTTCAGCCTGGGTTGCTGGCAAGTGCAGCGGAAGAAGTGGAAAGAAGGTCTGATAGCGGAATTGGGTGAGAAAACTCAACTGCCGGCAATTGAGCTGCCTGAAAAGTAGGTTTTCAAGCAGGATTTTCAAGAGATTGAGATTGTTATTATCCTGTTTCCTTCGCTTGCTTGTAGTCTGGATGAACTGGAGAATCTGGAGTATCGTTCGGTGATTGTCCGAGGGCATTTTCTGCACGACAGGGAAATCTTCATGGGTCCGCGGAGTCTTATTCAGCACGGCGACGGAACCACCAAGTCGAGCGTGTTCTCCAAGCAGGGAAACACCAGTGGTTATCTCGTGGTGACTCCGCTGAAGCTCGAGGGGAGAGAGTAAGCAGACAAATTGCTTGATTTGAGATCATTTCTGAGCGTTTTTTGCCTTCTTTCAGGGAAATCATCCTCGTGAATCGCGGCTGGGTGCCGAAGAATCGCATGAAAGCCTCATCCAGAGCCGAAGGACAAGTCTCAGAAGCAGTGGAATTGGTGGGAATTGTGAGATTAGGCGAAGCACGGCCACAATTCACGCCGGAGAGCAAAGGAAAGCACTTCTTGTACCGTGATTTGGCCAAAATGTGCGCAATCACGGGCGCAAGTCCGTATTTTCTGGACGCTGTGGAATCCTCATCCCTCCCTGGAGGTCCAATCGGTGGCCAGACGCGTGTCACCATGAGAAATGAGCATCTCTCGTACATTATCACGTGGTTTGGCCTGTCAGGCGGCACGGCATTTATGTGGTATCGACAGATCTTCAGGAGAAAGGCTTTCTAGAGTCTCTCTTTTCCGCATTTATGGCCTTTATTGGATGCACGTAAGTTACAATATTTGAGAAAATATATGTAGTCTCTCGCTTAAATGCAAATTATTACTAAATATCCACTTTATGCTGAGAATTATAGACTATTCAGCTTAAAATTATACATTGTAAAATATTGTGTAATTGGGAAAAACCTAAAATCAACCCGATATTCGATGAGAAGGCGCGCGCGTCCTGCGCCTCACTCGGGGAGTCAAGGATGTTGGAAGAAGTAGAAGAGAAGTGAAGGAAAATTGTGCTAAAATTCACTTTTCATTGTCCTCACTCGCCTCACTTTCGTGGCCATTAATGCCATTTACGCCATTCATTTCCACACTCTTCACTGCCTTATTAATCCCACTGACGACGATCGGTTGACTTCTTCTCGGCAACTCAATCACATCATCTGCAAAGAGAGAATGTTCGTTAGGCACGATTTTCTCACACACAAAACCGACATTTAGGCTCCACCTTCGCCACTATCGTCGCTGTGTCGTTGATTCAGAGGACATCCTTGGTTGATAAACTTCTCCAGACGTCCTGTCGCGGCCAGGATGAGTCCGAGGAAAGGCGGAGAAGGCTTGAGAGGCCGCGAGAGATATTCAGGATGAAACTGTGTGGCCACATAGTAGGGATGATTGGGATATTCTAGAATCTCCATGCGTTTCTTATCAGCATCGTAGCCCACAAAGTGCAGTCCTTTCGCCTCCAATTTCTCCACATAGTCCGGATTCACTTCATACCTGTGTCGATGTCTCTCACTCACGCTCTTGGGATTCCCATACAGTTTCTCTGGAAGATTCAGGAACAACTTGATGAGGAAATCCTCTCCTGACATGCTGAAAATACTCACTAATTGTGCTGTCGCAGTCCTTGAACAGAGTCGTCCTCTTGCCCAGTCTCATTGTGCCACCCATGTCGCCCGGATGATACTCTGGCATGTCGATCACGAGGGGATTGAGCGTCTCTGGCGCCACTTCCGTCGAGTTGGCATCCTTCAAGCCCATCACATTGCGCGCAAACTCAATCACCATCGCCTGCAGGCCAAGACAGATGCCCAGAAGGGGTTTGTTGTTCTCTCTGCACCACTGGCAAGCCTTGATCTTCCCCTCAATGCCACGCGACCCGAAGCCACCCGGCACGATGACACCTTTGCTCACGCTGAGCTCTCGCCACGCCTCGTAATACTTGGGCGGATCCTCAGATCTCATCTGTTCCTCCAAGTGACACGCCTCAATGAACTTCACATTCACCTGATAGCCACTGGCGATGCCCGCGTGCTGCAGCGCCTTCGTCACGGACGCATACGCATCCTCCAGCTTCGTGTACTTCCCCACCAGCGTGATCTGCACGTGGCGATTGATGGTGTTCACGCGATGCGCCAAATTCCGCCAGCGCTCAATGAAGCGACTCTCGCGCTGAATCTTCAGCTGCAGTCGCTCGGCCAGGAAGTCCACGACGCCATCCTGCTCCATCAGCAGCGGCACGTGATAGATTGAGGGCAGATCGTGGATGCAGATCACTTGCTCAGTCGCCACGTGGCAGAAATTGCTGATCTTCTCCTTCACCTCCTTGCCAATCGGCTCCTCAGAGCGACAGACAATCAAGTCAGGACTCAGTCCGAGACCGCGCAATTCCCGCACGCTCGCCTGCGTGGGCTTCGTCTTGTGCTCTCCAGTCGCTTTGGGCTTTGGCACGAGTGACACGTGAGCGCAGCAGAAGTTTTCGCGCTGCAAAGACAAAAAATGGCGGGATTGTGTTATCTAAACTCCTTGTCTTTCCGCAGACAGATGAAGTGTCGATGCGCGCAGTGTCTGCCAAACGGTGTGGAAAACAGCAGTGGAACTTCTCTAGTGTTTTTTTCTTAAATTATGTGATAATTTAGGCGGAAAATCACGTGAATAATAGTGAGAAATGTGCGTAATGAGTGTGTTTCAATTGTGATGTGACATTTTGCAGTTAAAAAAGAGGTAAAAGCCGGTGAAAACGCCCTTCGACGCCTTTTCAGGATGAGATCATCTTGATCACGCCATTTATGATGAAATAAAACATGTTTCTTAGACAGAAATTGGTGAATCCCCGAAGAGATAAAATACAATTCCTGCGTTTCAATGTTCCAGAAAATTCTTCCTCTTCTCAATGATTAATTTCTTATTTTAAACAACCATCAAAATATATAGTTTATCTTATCTTTTATATAAAAGAACAGATGATAGAAAAAAAGTCACTGTTCGGGAAGAGCGTTCATCATTAACTTATCATTTGGACTTCTTATAATTCAGACGTTGTTGTTGCATTTTCACACCCAGAAATAATTATTTTTCTAAGCAGTTTACTTTTGCAGATCCAAGAATCTGCATTCGCAATATTTCCTATTTGATTAGTCATTTAACACTGCAACTACCAAAGTCTCGATTCTGCGAATTAATGGGTCGTTGCAACATTACGGATTTTGTATTTAAGTTCGTAAAAGCTACCAATTTGATGTTGCAACTTAACGTTTTTATAGCTTATATTTGTGGCCGAATTTGATACGAACGAAAAGGCGATGAAAAGCGAAGTTGGGAATTTATTTAATACGAATTTCAGGTGTCATAAAACCATTTTCATGTTTCAACTTTTGAGTAGCGGTTTTAAGAGATTTTCAGGGCAAAATATTTCAAATTTCGCTCAATTTCTGTCCATTTTCTCTACGTTGACGTAAGGAAATGTTTGTCAGTGTTAATTGAGCGTATTTATCCGTATTTGAAGCGTATTTTTCCGTTTTACCGAGAGATCTTTTCAACGTAAAGAGTTGCAAATTCTTTGGAAAACCAATCAGTTTCCTTGGCAAGACTCGAAAGATGTCCGAAAAATCACATAAATAGCCAGATAAATGCCAACAATCTCGCAGAAAATAAATTCAACACTTTCGTAAATGATATTAATCGTAATCTTGCAACACAGTTTTATGAATTCATAACTTTGACAGCTTATTTAAAATGTTATGAAAGTAAAGTTGCAACGACGCTTAAATATCATTTTAAACCTGTTTAAATTCTGTTTTCCTGCTTTTTGGCGCTTTTACATACACGGATTTCCTCATGGCTCAGATTTTTGCTCTTAATTGGTTTGTCTTTAACCTTGAAGACATTTACAGGCATTTACGTCTTTACGAGATTTTCAGTAATTTCAATACAATTAATTTATAAGAGATTGTGAGCTATTTTCTCCCTATGAATTCATGATTGAAATACAGTGTGTTGAAATTGCTTTCTGTGGCATTAAATTGAATTAGAAAATAGGTAATAATGAGATGAAGATTTTGATCCAAAATTACCCCAAATTTTGGTTGTGATTTGACAATGAATTTATTGGCAATATTCAGTCCAAATATATACACTTTAACAGGTGTTTTGTGTGTTTTCTCTCGTTCGCTTTTGGGCATTTGCCAATTAAAGGAAGAATAATAAATTTGCACAACAGTGAAAGTTTCTCATTAGCCTCACTTGAACTGTTTCGCTCTTCATCGACATTTTCTGCAAATATTAATACTTAAGCAGAGTGACAAAGAATCGCATTGGATTGAGATAAAGAATCCAATCAGCGCCAATTGAGAAGTCTTGAAATTCAATCTGGAGCGCGATTGCGGGGCTCGGAAGCTGTCGTGCTGTCGAAAATTGCTTGCCAGAAAAGTGCGGCGCGAGTGCGAAAAGTAGGGCAAGACCTCGCTCTCGGCCTCTCGTCGCGTCTCACCTTGACTTTGAACTGAAACTGTCGGAAGCTCTCGACGAAGGCCATTCCCTCGATGTCGCCAATCGTGCCGCCCAGCTCCACGATGCACACTTGGGGCTGAGCTGTGCCCTTCACGGGCCGGTGCGCCACTTTCTCCACCCACTCCTGGATGGCGTCCGTGACGTGCGGCACCACTGCAAGGCAGGGGAAGTTAGTCAGTGGACTCAGGAGAGGATTTGGGATGCTGATTACCTTGCACAGTCTTGCCCAGATAGTCTCCTCTGCGCTCCTTCTCGATCACATGCTTGTAGACTTTCCCTGTCGTGATGTTGTTGTCACGATGCAGCGTGACGTCGAGGAATCTCTCGTAGTTGCCAAGATCCAGATCCACCTCGCCGCCATCATCCAGGACGTACACTTCACCTGAAATGACCACAAAACGCCGCACAATTAGGCTTCTTCTGCCTCCCCAGCATAACCTAATCCGCGCCGATGGGTTTGTGACGCGCCAAACCACGTGCTTCTCCGCCACTATTGAGCCCCAATCACTCATGCGCCGTGAATATGTCTGCAACGCAAATTCCCGTGACACGGAGCCCGAGGTCACTGAGGCTCCCTGGCGCCCACGTTGCCCCCCCAAACCTCAGACAGATGGTGTAATTTTCCACTAACCATGCTCGTAGGGAGAAAATGTGCCAGCGTCTATGTTGATGTACGGATCAATCTTGATGGAAGTCACGTCGATGCCGCAGGAATTCAGGAGTGTGCCGAAGGAGCTGGCAATGACGCCTTTTCCCACGCCACTTATAACACCGCCAGTCACTAAAATGTACTTCATTTTCGCCACTCTTTGCACAGTCTGAACGATTTTGCTCATTTGTGTACGCACAAATCTGTCACGCTACCAAACACTCGCTGTCGTCCTTTTCGGCTCACACTCAAATCCCAACCGATTCCAGTGAATCGGGCTGCGTATCATGCGCGAATCGGTCGACATAACCTCAATGGCGTCAACGCGCCAAGATTTGTAATGCCCACAAATGCCAAGGCGAGTGCTCTTTATTTCCCACAAAAGTGACAAAAACTGTGATTTTGGATCCTGAAGCTTCTCCGCACGGCTTAGGAGTTCTTCTGGAGCATCACGTCGAAGGCCACCAAGTAGTCGGTCAGGTCGAATTGCAGCAACACGATAAGGTAACTCGTGGCAGCGCTAACGGCTGAGAAGATAAAGGTGTAATCGAGCCGGAACAGCCCCAAGGCATTGAAGTGGAACGTATTCTTCCGGTGGAGGATCTGGAGAGTGAAACTCTTCATCTTGTTGTAGTAGATCTCGTCGTTGAGCATGAAAGCCGGCTTGTTCTGCAGAATCTTGTGCACAACCAGAGCAGCAGCGTTGGCCTACAATTCGGAGATTGTATAAAATGATTGTAAAAATGATTATTTTCCAAGTAAAATTGCAAAATAAGTCCCAAAGCTTGCGACAAGCTGTATTTGAACGTCACAGGGCCAAATTTGCGTTTGGGAAATACAATCGGAACTTCTACATGTCTTTGAAGTTTAAATTTCTGCCCTCTGGCGGTAAAATATGGAGAAAATGATCAAATATTGGAATATATGATGATAAATGATTGAATTTTGTATGAAATAATAAGAATTTTAATAAAAATCTCAAAGTTAATGGTCTCAACTGAACACTCACCGTTTCCTTAGCATTGGTCGTGCAGGAAAGCATGACGTAGATGGAGAGACAGTTGATGGCTCCCCAGATGACATAGGACGTAGCGATGAGGATGAGAGTCACATTCTGTCCCCAGGCCCAGAAGGCCACCTTTGTCTCGATGAAGAAGCCGAAGATGATGATAATGAAGCCCGCCGTGATGCTGGACACGATCTGGAGGGAGAAGATGTCGTTGATGCTTTCAGAAGCGTCACAGAGTTTGTCGTGGAGGATGAAAATCTCATTGAGACGCATGTGAGCGTTTGCCGGGAGTGAAGAGTTGCTGACGAAGGCTTGCTTCGTGTCAGGATTTGTCTTCTCGGGCTTCTCTGTCTGCGCACTCTTGAGTTTCATTTGCAGAGCGGCATTGGATGTGGGAACATTGATGTCGGCGATGTGTTGGAGGAAGCTAGAAGAGAGTGGAAAACCAATTAATTTACTCCTGATATCCTTGATAATGAATGGAAAAGAAGTAATAGGAATTACTCACGTATTGATTGCCTTGAAGCGCTGGTAGATTGAGTGAACAATGGCGATGAATTGCAGATGAATTACTCCGGAACAGACGTAAGGATAAACGTAGGCGAAGCAGATGATTATCATGTAGTTTCCGTACATGCTGCAAGGAGAGGAATCGAGTGAACTCTTCGGGAGTTCAAGGGTAAGCAAGGGCAAGGAAGTCTCACTCCATGAAGACGAAGTAGTCGAACAGGAAGGCCGTGGCGACGAGGAGAGCGCCGCCGACGATGAAGAAGTACTGAAAGATGACTGTTGTGCGATAATCGACGGACTTTCCGCAAATACTGGTGAGCTCAGAGTCCAGGAAGTCCATGCGGATCGACATGACGTTGTAGCGGTAGATCTTGCGTGGGGTGAAAATGTAGCTGGTGATAAAGATGCAAATGCCCAAGTAGATGTGCATCAAGTGACCTTGCGGCGAGAGGAGAGAAAGTGGGTCAGCGGGTCAGGAGGATTTCCTGCTGGGGGATTATCTCGCTCACCCACGACGCTGATGATTGGGTAGTTGCGACTGGAGGGAATGGCCAGGACGCTCTCATTGGCCAGGACGTACGAGATGACGTAGGATATTGCCCAGAGGATTGTGATCAAGGACAGGGCGAAGGAGAAGCTGAACACCGTCTTTTCGGGGATCTTCTTGCCAGACTTGTCCTCAATGCTATTCCGAGAGTACGGCAGGAGTCCGAGAATCTTCGACACGACATAAGTGGGAGCGTAGGACTCGTGAAAGGGAAGACCCTCCAGACGATTGGCGAAGAAGGACAACATCGTCAAAGGTGATCCACACTTGATAACTGACCAGGACAAACTGACTTCCGAAGCTCCCAGTCTGGGGCAGATAATGGAAATCACCTGGCTGAATAATTGATGGCGGATAATTAATTGCTCAAGCACAGACTATTAGCTAATGGGCTCCTTTTTATCCTGCCAATCGCCCTCTTTAATCCCATTAGCGGACAATTTTATCGATTTCGCGATCCCACGCGACTCTGGGTGGAATTGACCTCCAAAAAACCGTTCTCCCGTCGTCTATTTATAACAAACCATTGTCAGACATTCATCTCGGGAATGTCGCTCCGCGATATGGCGCCGGAGGGGAAAAAATGTCTGGCCAGGATACGCTGTTTCTGATAATTTCTCTGAGGCCACAAAAAAATGTGCCAATTCGATAAGCGCGCCACTATAAAAGGGCCAGAGGAGCGCCGAGATTTTCAGTCTCTCTCCGGATTTACTGGTGGTTTTAAGAAGTGCAAATAAGTGGTGAAGTGAAGTTCTGAACAAGTTGGAATTGAGTGCTTGTGGAGTGATGAATTCCCAGAGATTTGTGGGAATTCTGCTCTTGGCAGTTTTTGGATGTATCAGTGTTGTTGCAGATCAGGATCCCGAAGCTCCTCCTCAGGATGCACAGCCAGTGTAATTCCCTTTCCTTGCCTTTTGTAGTGTTTGTGAAAATCTTGATCTGAGCTTGAGAGTTGCTTAAAATCATTGAAAAGGCTGTAAAAATTGGAGCAAATGTCCTTTATTCATTCAATTTATTCTGTTCGTTCTGTTCCCTTCGGCGGAACATTTTCAAATGAACGCCTTCTTCCATTTTCAAGGCTGTTCGGATCTCCAAATCCGCTTTAAGCGCTGATATCTTAAGGAAATGCATGATAAAAAATTTGCAAATTTTGGCTGTGTTTATCGCTTTGTAATTCTTCCACATTTCGCGTCCTCAACCTCGATCAACATTTATCGCACTTGTTCTTCCTCTCACACCCACTGAGAGTGCAAAGTCAGTGACGACGGGAATTCCCTCATCACGAGACGCGACTCAGTCAAGGCCTGGGAAAATTGCAATTCTCACATGCTTTCTTGGCTATCGCGAAGTGAAATTGCAGAAAGTCCTTCTTTTACCCACAGCGGTGATCCGGCAATGCGGTTTGGGCCGGAATTGGAGTTGATTAGAGACCAAATTCCCATCCAATTGGATCAGTTGGTGAAAGACACATTCACCGGAAGCACCGAGGAAGCGCCTCAGATTCAAAATGACGCCCATGCGGTGAAGAACTTGATGGAAAACATGATTGACATGAAGAAGTCCATGTTTTTGGGGCATGAGAAGCACGGAATGCATCCCGGATTGCATCACGGAATGCATCACGGCGGTGGATATAGTTATCAGGTGAAGGGAAAGTTTCCCTACGGACATCAGCATCATCATCAGTGGACGCACGAGGGCGCATCCTTTCCCACTGGACTGGTGAATCCGATGCAGGGATGCGCAGGACAACCCAATCAACCCCTGAACGCCGTGCTCAAGTGCACATCCAACAGCAACACTTGCAAAGCCACGTGCATGCCGGACTACAAGTTCCCCAATGGCGAGACGAGTCTCCTGATCTCCTGTGTGGAAGGAGAGTGGATTGTTCAGGGCGCTGAGTGGCCTCAAGTGCCTTCGTGCGAGCGTGAGTAGTTCAGTGAGTTTCTTACTTGTTCTTGCAATGATTCCGGCGATTTTGCAGCAATTTGCTCGCCTCAGTGTCTGAATAATGGCATTTGCGTGTCGCCTGGAATCTGCACGTGTCCTGACAACTTCCGTGGTCCTCAGTGTCAATATGAGAAGAAGATGTGCCTGCAGAAACCCAGTTTGCCCTCCAATTCCAGGCAAACGTGCACGTCAAGTCAATGCACGATATCCTGTGCGAAGGGATATCGCTTCCCGGACGGAACAACTGTGTCGAATGTGGTGTGTCGCGATGGGGAGTGGAAACCGACCAGAGGAGATTGGTCAACAGTGCCTGATTGCCAACGTGAGTAGATAATTGTTTTCAGAGACTTTTCAGCTATAAATCCTGATTTTTTCTTCAGCTGTCTGCATTCCGCGGTGCAGGAATGGCGGCAATTGCTTATCCTTCAACGTGTGCCAGTGTCCTCCGGAGTTTCGTGGTCCGCAGTGTCAGTACAGCGTGGAGAATTGTGCTCCGAAGAAGCTGAAGTTCAATGGTGGATACAATTGTTCAGGCACTGGCGACACAATCACTTGTACCCTTTATTGCCCTCAAGGAGTGGAGTTTGACCAGCAGCCAGCGCCTCAATACACTTGTAGCTACGCCAGTGGCGTCTTCTCACCTTCCTTTGTGCCCAAATGCATCTTCAGCAGTGATATGGATGTCGTGTCGATGGGCGGATACAGTCAGAGCACTCAAATTCGCACTGGTCAGACGCTCCACGGCGGCGGCTGGTCGTATTCCCACGGCGGCGGCGGTGGCGGAGGATATCAGGAGATTGAGATCACCAAGACCAGGAAGTACAAGGATGGCGACAAGTACTATGTTGATGGCGGTGGGGAGGAGTTCGAGGTGATTCAGCTGCCTGGAGTGTACAATCTCTACATCTCCAATGAGGTGGGAATAGTTTATCGCCAGCCGAAGCCTTCGATCTGCATGACCTGGAATGGGAACAAGGTGAAGACGTTCGATGGCCTCATTTACAGCTCACCGCTCTTCTGTGCCCACACACTGATCCACGATCAGGTTGATGGATCCTTCAGTGTCATTGTGAGATCCTGTCCGATGGGATCTCCTCAGCCATGCTCACACAGTCTGGTTGTCTTCCTCCTCAACATGATGTACACTTTTGAGAATGTCAACGGAAGTGTGCGCTTCTCCAGTCCAAAGTCCGTCTTGCCCATTCCTTCCCAGCTCACGGGAATGAAGGTGACGATGATTGGGCATCGGGTGAAGATTGTCCTGGAGTCTGTGCAGACTTCTATTCTCTGGGACACAGACAAGCTCGTCGTCGTGGAGGCTTCGCCTTCGCTGTGGAACAGAACAGGCGGATTGTGCGGAACCATGGACATGGATGTGAGGAATGACTTCATTTCTAAGACTGGCGCGCAGCAGAAACTGGCCAGGACATTCGTCGACTCCTGGCGCACACCGAATGTGGACATAGACAAGAGCAAGTGCATCATGGGATCAGTGGAGGATATGGACACGGCCAAGTGTGATGCTGAGAAGAAGGCGAAAGCCAAGATTATCTGTGAGAATCTCGTGAAGAGCTCAAAGTTCATCGAGTGTCTGGAGAAGTACAACAGTGAGATGCTCATTCAGTCCTGCATCTCTGACTACTGTTTCTGTCCGGACACTGAGCATCCCGAGAAGTGTTCCTGCGATGGGATTTCCGTGTTTGCTCAGGATTGTGCCTTTCAAGGAGTTGAACTCGAACACGGATGGAGAGATATGGAGTTGTGTCCTCTTCCCTGTCCTGACGGCAGGATCTACAGAGCCTGCGGACCCTCTTCCGAGCCATCCTGTGGAGTGGCCGTGACAAATGAGAAGGATTCTCACTGCAGAGAAGGATGCTTCTGTCCTGAGGGAACAATTCAACACGAAGGAAAGTGCATTGATCCCTTCCAGTGTCCTTGTCAATTGCGTGGCAAGTCCTTCAAGCCCGGATCGAAGGTGAAGAAGGACTGCAACACGTGTACTTGTGACAATGGATCGTGGAAGTGCACGGATGTGAGCTGTGGATCTCGCTGTGGAGCCATTGGTGATCCTCACTATGTGACCTTCGATGGCAGACGCTTTGACTTCATGGGAAAGTGTTCCTATCGCCTCCTCCTCACGGAGAACGTCACAGTCGATGCTGAGAATGTGGCTTGTCCAGGAAGTATCTCTGAAGCCATGGAACTCATCCCCACAAGTCTTGATTTGCCTTCCTGCACGAAATCTGTGACGATTTCGTATAAGATCGGAGATAAACTGCGAAGCATCAAGCTGAAGCAGGGAAGAACAGTGTTTGTGGATGATCAAGAGGTGATTAAGCTGCCCAAGACTCTCGTCCAAGGTCTACTGAAGATCCGTCAGGCCAGCTCGACATTCTTGTCTGTGGAATTTCAGGACGGTCTCAAGGTTTGGTGGGATGGAATCACGAGAGTGTACATCGACACGCCGGCTACGTATCGTGACAAGACCAAAGGACTCTGCGGCACCTTCAATTCCAATCAGCAGGACGATTTTCTCACTCCCGAAGGAGACATTGAGTCCGTTGTGGAGCCATTCGCTGACAAGTGGCGAACCAAAGAGACTTGTCCCTATGTGACAGACACAGTTCCAGTGCCTCATCCTTGCCAGGTGAATCTGGAGAACAAGAGCAAGGCGGAGAAGATGTGCGGGAAGTTGAAAGCAAAGGTGTTCGAGGATTGTCACTGGTATGTTGACTACATGCCCTTCTATGAGGATTGTCTCTACGATGTGTGCGCGTGCAAAGGAGACGACGTGAATGCCTGTCTCTGTCCGATTCTCTCCTCCTACGCAGCCGAGTGTGCTCGCCAAGGAGTCGTGATCAACTGGCGACTCTCCGTCACTGAATGCGGCGTCAAGTGTCCTCCGGGACAAGTGTTTGAGGAATGCGGCGATTCCTGCTCGCTCACGTGTGAGGATCTCCAGGGGGACTATCCCTGCAGGAAGCACTGTGTCGAGGGATGCCGCTGCCCGGACGGACAGGCTCTCAATGAGGACAATGAGTGCGTTCCGATCGGAATGTGTCCGTGTGCTTACAAGGGTCTCACTTTCCGGCCAGGCTACAAAGAAGTGCGTCCAGGAAGCAAATTCCTGGAGTTGTGCACGTGTTCCAGTGCAAAGTGGGATTGCGCGGAGGCGAATGATGAGGATGCGACGAAGTATCCACCAGCGGCTGATATACGCAGCAAATGCCTGGCCAGCAACAATGAGGAGTTCACAACGTGCGAACCACCGGAACCGGTGACTTGCAAGAATATGCACACAATCCAGGAATCATCGCCCATGGAGTGTGTTGCTGGGTGTGTTTGCAAGAAAGGCTTCGTGCTGGACATGGCCACGAAGAAGTGTGTCCGTCCGAAGGACTGCTCCTGCCACCACGGAGGCGTCAGCTACAAGGATGGCGATGAGATTACGGAGCTGTGCAACAAGTGCGAGTGCGAAGGAGGAACGTGGAAGTGCACAGATCATCAGTGTCCGGGAATTTGTACGTCTTGGGGAGATTCACACTTCACGACGTACGACGGAAAGGACTTTGACTTCCAGGGAGTGTGCAATTATGTCCTCTCTAAGGGAAGTTTAGGCGCCGATGGAGGATTTTCCGTGACTATTCAGAATGTTCTTTGTGGTTCTCTGGGCGAAACATGCTCTAAATCTGTTCACATCTCAATCTTGGGCAGCAATTCGGAATCTCTAACACTCTCAGCGGATTCTCCAATTCCTGGAATGAAGGACACCTCAGTGGCGCAGAAGGGGAAGCAGAGTCCTCCTCTGAAATCCCTTCTGGTCTACAGGGCAGGCATATTTATTGTCGTGGAGGCGCCTGAGATGGGATTACAAGTGAAATGGGACAGAGGAACACGAGTCTACATCACACTGAGCAATCAATGGCGTGGAAAAGTGCAAGGATTGTGTGGAAATTTCAACAATGATCTTCAGGATGACTTCAAAACACCCTCAGCCGGAGTTGAGACGAATCCCATCATCTTTGGCGATTCGTGGAAGCTTCAGGATTACTGTCCAAAGACAACGGAACAGGTGGATTCGTGCGCCAAGCATCCGCACAGAACCATGTGGGCTCAGAGGAAGTGCGGAATACTCAAGAGTGGCGTCTTCCAGGCCTGTCACGCTGAGGTTCCCGTGGAGAACTTCCTGAAACGCTGCACTCACGACACTTGCGCTTGCGATCAGGGAGGAGATTGTGAGTGTCTCTGCACTGCTCTGGCTGCTTATGCACACGCTTGCACTCTCAAAGGCGTCTCGATCCGCTGGAGAACTCCAGACTTGTGCCCAATGCAATGCGATCCGGAGTGTTCATCCTACAGTCCTTGCATTTCTTCGTGTCCTGTCGAAACGTGCGACAATGTCATCACCACGAGCAAGGACAAGTGGATGTGCAGCGAGGATTCGTGCGTGGAGGGATGCAAACTCAAGGGATGTCCAGCAGGACACATCTATTCGAACGAAACCTTCTCTGATTGTGTTCCCAAATCAATCTGCAAACCGTTGTGCATGGAAATCAATGGCGTTTCTTACTACGAAGGAGACATTTTGTCGTCTGATCTCTGCCAGACGTGCCGCTGTTCCAGGAACAAGAAGATATGCAGCGGCGCTCCGTGTGCTGAAGGTGTGACGACAGTGGATCATATGTTCGTCACACGGAAGCCTGATCAGGATGAGGACTTGAAGTGTGTCAGCGGATGGTCTGAGTGGATCAATCAAGATGTTTCCGCCACGCTTGGTGTGAAGACAGTCAAGAAGGGAAAGAAGATTGGCGAGAAGGAACCAATTCCTAACTATCTGCTCATGAAGAACGTCATTGGAGCCACTTGTTCGCCGGACAAGATCAGCAAAATTGAGTGCAGAACTGTGGGCGATCACAAATCGGTCAAGTCAACGGGAGAAAACTGCGAATGTTCCCTCGAGAGAGGACTCGTTTGCGAGGGATCCTGTTCAGACTACGAGATCCGCGTTCTGTGTGACTGCGATGGAACTTATGTGGAGCAAAAGACACTGGCTCCCATCGCTTCAGTGCCTGTGACAGTGTGTGATCCCAGTATTCCTCACGTTGAGTATCCCGGAGATTGCTTCAAGTTCCGCCACTGCATGCCAATGCCGGATGGATCGTGGCAATATGCGGAGAAGACTTGTGGTCCAACAATGATGTTCAATCCCAAGACGATGATCTGCGACTGGGTGTTTTCCGTGATGGAGATCAAGCCAGAGTGTGGAAAACCCGGAAAGCCCAAGGAAGACATTAAGATTAAGGTTGACAAGTGTCCTCCTGGCGAGGCGTGGACAGATTGTGTGATTCCCTGTGCGAACTCTTGCCACTATTACGTGTGGGTGCTGAAGAAGAATGGCTTCTGCAGCAACATGTGGGATGAATTGGTGGGATGTGCTGGTGGATGTGTTGACGCCAGTCAATTGGAGATCCCTTGCCCTGCTCCAGGACTCTGGAGGGACAAATCCTCATGCGTGCAGCGCAATCAGTGCACTTGCGCCAGCAAGAGTGGAACTCTGGTGAAGCCTGGAGAAGTGTTCAGGGAGTCAGATTGTGAGCTGTGTCAGTGCATAGACAATGCCTATGTCTGCGACACTTCAACGTGTACAAGACAGAAAGTCGAGTACACTGTTGCTGTTGAGGACAAAACTGAACATCCTCCGGTGATCTTCACACGACCAGTCACCACTGAGCGTCCGCTGATCATCCAAACTACAGTCTCTCCGCCGCCAGTGTGTGATCTGACCAAGTATCAGCTGATTCCCGTGCTCAGTGGCGAAGATACTCACATGCCAGATTCAGCCTTCTCGGCGTCCAGTGTCTTGGGATCATTCTTCGAGGCACACTTTGCCAGGATCAACTCCAAGCCCAGCGAAATCTGCAGCGGAAGCTGGTCTCCTGCCACCAATGACGATTCTCAGTATCTTCAGATCACATTCCCTCAGCAAATGCCACTCTATGGGGTGCAGATCAGCGGAAGTCCTCTCTACAATCACTATGTGAAGCTCTTCAAGATCCTCTACAGTCACGATGGGGTGGCTTTCAGCTGTCTCAAGGACGGAACAGCTGAAGATCAGCTCTTCTACGGCCCTGTAGAGTCCAGTGCGATGACTCAGTCTCTCTTCAGCATCCCCATTGAGGCGAAGGTGGTGAGAATTTATCCACTCAAGTGGCATGAAGCCATCGCCATCCGGATTGAATTGCTTGGCTGTGGAAAAGTCCTGCCCAAAGCGGCTCAGAAGCTGCCTCAGAAGAAGGTGCTGACGACAACCACTCCCAAGCCAACCACTGAAGCGACAACCAAGAAATCCACTCCGATTCCCATCAAACTCACCACGTCGATAACGGAGGAATTGGTTCAGCCCATCTGTGATGATCCGATGGGGGTGGAAAATGGAAAGATGAGTCCGCCACAGATCAAATTCAGCTCCTCAAAGGCTGATCATTTGGTGTTGAGGAAACCTCCGAGCGCCATAGAGCAGCTGAAGTTGTCCTCTCCTCAAGGATGGCTGCCCAATGTGGACACACCCAATGAATTTGTCATCTTCGACTTCCTGGAGAAGAGAAATCTCACCGGATTGAAGGTCAAGGGAGGTGATTACGGATGGGTGACGGCCTTCAGGGTCTACTACAGCCAGGATGAGGTGCTCTGGAATCTTATTCAGGGTCCTGATGGATCAGGAAAGCTCTTTGGCGGCTGTATTGATAGCCAGATTGTGAAGGTTAACATGTTTAAGTATCCAATCCAAGCGAGATACCTTAAAATCGTCCCTGAGAAGTGGCAGGAGAAGATTGAGATGAAGATCGAACCACTGGGATGCTTCCAGCCATATCGTGAGTATTTGAGATGTAATTCTGGGACAATGAAAGTTAGTTTCTGTCTTCTTTTGCAGCGCATGTTGAGCAGGAGAAGAAAATTGAGGAGGTCAAGTCTGTGCCTAAGATTAAGTGTGGCATTTGTGCAGGAGTTCTTCCACCTCTCACTGGTGTTGTGGGCGTTTGCAATTGCTATCCGCCTCAAGTGTGGAACGGTCAGGAGTGTGTTCAGCCCAGCCAATGTCCTTGCATGGTTGGACACATTCCCTATGAAGTTGGAGCGCACTTTGAACTCGAGGACTGTTCAGAGTGTGTTTGCGTGTTGGGAGGAAATTCCCAGTGTCAGCAGAAAGTGTGTCCTGCCTGTGAGAAAGGACTGCGACCGGTGAAGTCTCCCAATTGCCAATGTTCCTGCGAAACTTGTCCACAATCCACGATTCTCTGTCCCACAAGTGGAGAATGCATTGCTGAGCACTTGTGGTGCAACGGCGTGATGGATTGTCCTGATGATGAGATCAATTGCAAACCGAAAGGACCAACAATTGAGACTGTTCTGAATATCACAAAGACTTGTCCAGCTCCACATTGTCTGCCTGGTTATCGGGTGAAGGTGATTGAAAAGAAGCCCGTCGAATCGGCGATGTTTACGCATAAAACCAAAGGACGATGGCGGAAGAAACCATCGAAATACTCAAAGTTCAATTTCCACAAGAATCGCTACAATTCTCATCTCGCCACGCCATCAAGCTCACCATCAATTGTCGACGAGCCTGAGAAGTGCATTGAATTCATTTGCGTGCCGGAGAAAATGCTTGTGCCGAAGAATGACACGATTGTGGCTGTGAAGTGCGTGAAGCCTCAGTGTCCAGAAGGATACAATCTGGTGTCGGAGAAGCCAATTCCACCCAGCATTTGTCCTGTCTTCGACTGCGAACCGCAGCCACAGAGAGATGCAGTGTGCAATGTGACTGGGAGGAATTTCAACACGTTCGATGGAATGGAATTTAAATTTGATATTTGCAGTCACGTTCTGGCCAGAGAATTCTCAGGAGGGAATTGGACAATTACTCGTAAGTTCTTCATCTAAAATTCATCACTAATAAATGCTGTTCAATGTTTCTTCCTTTTTAGTGCTGAAAAATTGTTCTGCCGGCGATTTTCTCTGCACGAAGGAAGTCGAGATCACGGACACTGAGCTGGAGTGCATCGTGACTCTCTATCCTGATCTGACGGTGAAGTACAATGGCTACATTTACACTGTGGATCAGCTGCAGAAGGGCAAGGATAAGATGAACTTCGCTGTGTCAAAAGTTGGTGCGACGATCGTCTTTGTCTCACACAATCACGGTTTCTGGGTGACTCTGGATGAGTACGGAGACATCAAGATCGGAGTGAGTCAGAAGTATTCATCCCAAGTGGACGGACTCTGTGGATTCTTCAACGGTCAGATGAGAGACGACAAGAGACTGCCCAATGGCGATGATGCTCAGTCGACAGTGGAGTTTGGTGAGGCGTGGTATGTTGATCGGATGTCCAAGGAGAATTGTCAGCCTCATGCTTGTCCGCGGGATATTCAAGAGGAAGCCTGGAGGATCTGCAATGCAGTGTCGTAAGAATTTTATTTCTCAAACAATCTTAGATATATTCAAAATAATGATTTATTTTGCTTTCAGTGGCGAAACTTTCAGTGTTTGTGAGAAATCAATGGATATAGAAAAATTCACTTCCAAGTGCATTGAAACTGCTTGTGAATGTCTGAGATCTTCCAAGAGTTCTGAAACATCTGGAAAATCCCCGGCGCATCGGTGCAAATGCTCAATTCTTCAGGGATTCGTTAGGGAGTGCTTGGCGGCTGATGATAAAGTGCATCTGGACACTTGGAGGTCAACTTACGACTGTGAATTGCCTTGTCCGCCATCCTTGGTCCATCGCGATTGCTACAGACGACGTTGCGAGCTCTCCTGCGACACGCTGAAGAGCGAAGACTGTCCGTATTTGCCGGGAACGTGCTTCTCAGGCTGCTACTGTCCCGAGGGAACCGTGAGGAAGGGCGATAAGTGCGTGAATCCAACGCAGGAGTGTCTGGACTGCGTTTGTGATGGATTCGGACAGAGTCAATATGTGACTTACGACAGGAGCAATTTCACTTTCGACGGAAATTGCACGTATTTGCTCACGAGGGATCTGATCTTCCCAGGATTGCACACTTTTGAGGTGTTTGTGAATCTTGGTCGATGCAAAGGAGGCTCAACGTGCACAGAAGCTCTTCATGTCCTGCACAATGACAACATATTGCATCTGCAGAGGAAGAAGGGAACGGCGGAGATTGAGATTTTCGTGAATGGGGCTCAAGTGAGGCAACTTCCTTATGCCAAGGAGTGGGTGAAAGTCACTGAGGAGCCTGGGAAACTGATTAGAGTGCTTCTGCCGCTGTCTTTCCTCGAGCTGACGACGACTTTCGAGGATATGTCTTTCTCCCTTCGAGTGCCGAGTCTCAAGTATGGCGGGAAGTTGGAGGGATTGTGTGGAGACTGTGATGGCGAGGATGAGAATGATCTTGTGATGAACAAAGAGGTGGCAGTGGTGGAAAATCCCACTGTTCAGGACATTGTCATGAGTTGGCAGTCACGAAATCCCGCCCTCAATCTGCCTGACGATGAGTGCGTGAGTGAGGAGAGGAAGGAAGTTGAGTGTGCTCAGCATGACGCGGATCCTTGTATGAAGCTACTTGAGTTGGATGTCTTCGCGCAGTGCCACTTAGTTGTCGATCCTATCATGTACGTTTCCGCCTGTCAGAAGGATCTCTGTCGGAATGAGAAGGGCTCGTGTGAATCCCTTGCTGCCTACGCCAGAGAATGCGCTCAGAATGGGATCTGCATTGACTGGAGAAAGCCCGATTTCTGTCCGCACGACTGTCCGCAGCCGCTTGAGTATCAGGCGTGTGGATGTCGAGATTCTTGTGAGTCATTCCTGAAGAAGGAACAGCAGCATGTCCTCCTCGACGTTTGCACGGTGAATCGCGAGGAGGGATGCTTCTGCGGGGAGGGAAAACTCCTCCACAACGGCGTCTGCATCGTGCCGAAGATGTGCCAAGCTTGCGATGATGATCACTTTGCCGGAGATGTTTGGTTCAAAGACAAGTGCAACAGATGCGAATGCTTCGCCGATGGGAAGATCATCTGCACGAAGACAGAGTGCCCAGCTGATGATGTGGTGTGTCGCCGGGGATTCAGAGCCATTGAGATGCCCACTGTTGACTCATGTTGCAAGAAGTTCGTCTGCGGTGAGTTGTTGTCTCATAATGACTTCACAATGTGCGCCAATAAAGATAATGTTTTGCGTTTTATTAGGGTTTGGAGATCTAGTTCTGTGACCCAAACCCACTGACCTGATAAATCAAATGATGCAATTCTCTTCTCTTTCTGCAGTTCCCGAGGAAGTCCAGCCGAAGGAGGAGTGTCCTTTGACGGCCTTGCCGAAGTGTGGTCAGGATCAGGTGAAGAAGATCGAGTATGATAGCAATAATTGCACGAAAATCATCTGCGAATGCAAACCAGCTTCTGATTGTCCGCCACCTGAAGTATTCCCAGCACAACTTCTGCCGGGATTCAAGGTGTTCGAGGACACCTCAGGATGCTGTCCGACGGCTCGGCTGGAATGTGACAAATCCCTCTGTCCGCCGCCGATCACTCAATGCTCAGAGGAGTTCTTCGAGGTGGTGAAGACGGAGGCAAAGAGCGACGAATGCTGTGATTCCTTCAAGTGCACAGAGCCCAAGGGAGTGTGCATTGTCCAGGAGAATGGAAAGAACAGCATCAAGAAGATTGGGGACAAGTGGAAGTCATCCGATCCTTGTCTCCTTCTCGTCTGCACCGTGTCTCTGAGTGGGAGCGTCATTGTGAGTGCTGAGAAGGAGATTTGCGAAGATGACTGTAAAATGGGCTTCAAATACGCGGCGCCCACGATGGGATCCGACAAATGCTGCGGCGAATGCGTTCAATCACACTGCAAAGATGTGACTGGATTCTTTGAGATCGGCTCGACGTGGAGGAGTTCAGATAATTGCACAACCTTCCGGTGTGAGATGAAGGATGGCCAGTTCTACATTGTGTCCGAGCAGGAGTCTTGTCCGGATGTGCACGATTGTCCGCAGGAGAAGAGATACACGAAGGGCTGCTGTGTCTTCTGTCAGCCGGAGATTTCTGATCAGAGTAAGGATATTATCACTGGTTTTCCTGCACACACTTAACTTGCCTTTCTTCCGCAGAGAAATGTATTCCGGAGGTTCACAGCGAGAGCGACACAGTCGGATTGGTCACACAATCCACTCCCGATCATGGCCAGTGCACAAATCTCACTCCCTTGCCGCTCCTCGATGTTCTCCTCACCTGCACAGATGGACACAAGATCAGCAAGAAGGTTCCTATTCCGCAGACTTGCAATTGCTCTCAATGTCCTGGCTTTGTGAAGCATTGAAGAGAAGGCATAATAACTCCACTGGTAAGTGTGGCTTGTATTATTTGATGCTAATAAAAGGTCGTCAGTACACACATAAAAGCGACTATTTTATAGACACTTTATCACTAATGTTCTATATTTTTTTCGCGCCATCGACATGTAGTGCAACTGTTAAAATATGTGAGTTTTTCTTCGCTGTCGTGAAATATTTCGTCGCGAAAGTATATTGGTTAAATTTGAAAAATTCCACCAGTGGCGTAGTTGAGATATTCCTCCATCAGGACTTGATTGTAAGATCACAAATAGTTTGTATGGTTGAGAAATGCACTTTAAGGCAAATTTATTATGAATATTGAGTGATTTAATATTACCAAGGGGGATATATTATGGTCAGAAGTGGTGAAAAATTCAGTGGAAGTATTTGGAAGTGAAATTGCTTCAATATTTCGAATACAGTGCGTTCAAAAGTCACTTTTTTTTAAGGAATTAACGCAATATTTGGAGAAAAAGAAGTGATTTTTGCATTGTTTTGCCAATAATAACCTCCAAATTCGTTCATTCTTGAGCCTAAACTGATATAATTTGCAATTTACTGACACAATAATAAGTGAAATCTGCGAAGATCAAAAGATTTCAATGTTAAACTGATGTTAATTACGCTAAAGTCAATCATAACCTCTAAAATATTGCTTCAGAATGCAAAATGTCTATTTCCAGAGCCTTTTGATTGATTTTCTACTCTGAAATAGGAAATTTAAACTTATTGTCGATTAGTCTTGTCTTTGAAAGACTCTGAATAAATTTCTTTTAAAGATTCTTTTTGATATCTCAAGATTACTTTTAGGTTATGTTATTAATATCCGTTGGGAACTTCAATTATTTCAAAAGTACTGTTTTTCCGTAAGTTTTCAAGGTCATAAAAGTGAAAATGGCGTCTTTTTAGGTAAAAGACGCCTAAATTTGAGGTTATGATACTTTAAACTGTTGAAAAAAAAGGAAAAAGCATGTTTTAAGCACACCCAAAGTTTTGGAAGTGTCAGGAAGTGGTGTACACAGTTAAGCCTTATTATTTTCCCCTTGATAATTGCAAATTCACTAAAAACTACGCCTCTGTCTCAGAACGAGTGTGTTGAGGCAATTTTAACTCCTAACAAGCTTATCACTGCTCAGTGTCTTTGCCATATAAAAGACACCTTCTTCAGCAAACCTCAGTTTTCGGCTTCAAGACCTCAGTGAGTGAACTCTAAATTGTCTTCTTGCAATCATGAGAGATTTTTGGCTTCTTCTCTCCTTCTTCTTCACTTCGGCGCTCGCGCAGAATTTCACCGAAGAGATTCACTTTATCGTTTATAAAGACAATCAACCCAGGAACACTTCTGAATATTCCACTCGAAATCCAGTTGATCTTGGCTTCTGCAATCCGGGCGATGAGGTGGCAATGGTTGTTCACGGATGGACTGAGAGTTGCTCAACTGAATGGGTTTTGGATCTCATTTCAAATTTGACTGAATTCCGTGGCGAATGCATCGTTTGCATGGATTACAGTCGCTTCTCCAAGAATCCCGACTATTTCGCCCTTGTGCGACAATTTGACAAGATCAATAATGTTCTCTACGAACAATTAGTGGACTACAGAAGATCCGGTCTGGATCCCAGTGATATGTACATGTTCGGGTTTAGCTATGGAGCTCACTTGTGTCTCCAATCGGCGGCTCTGCTTGGCGAGCGAGTGGTCAAAGAGATCGATGGTGAGTGATTTGACAGCGATATCAGTGAATTGATCACTAAATATTCTGTGATTCAGTGTGCGATCCTGCTGGGCCAGGCTTCCCAAATATGCCCGACGCCACGATTTCCGCCGAGAATGTCCAGTGCGTGCACACGAGCGCCGACAAGGGCACGCACAAGAGGAACTGCCACCAGAACTGGAACATGGGCCAGTGCGGAAGAAGCCAAATCGGCGCTGGACCGTATCCCAAGGGATCCCACGGCCTGTGTCCTTACTTCTACAACAGCGCCTTCCGCAGCTCCTTCGTAGCCATCCCGAAGCCCCCCTTCTGCGCCAAGACGGAGAGGGACTGCACTGACTATCCCGAGAACTTCCAGATGGGCTACATGGAGAGACGCAAGCATAAAGTCTTCGGCACACTTTACGCCGCGACCACGCGAACATTTCCCTACAATTAATCGCTAATTATTATTAATTTCTACCATCAGCACCTGCTTGAGTGGCTAATTGAAATTCCTCAGGAAGAGACACACATTTGGGGGAAAAACAGTGAAAAGCTTCGCAAACAGACGTCAACTTTATCAAACACAACAGAAAAATGAACCATAAATTTGTTAGCAAATATCAACAGAGATATCTTTTAAGCGAAAAATGTAGTTTCGGTTCTTCAGTTGGTAATTGATGAAATTTAAAAGAATTTCGGAAAGTCTATCGAGGGGTCAATAACATATGGAATTTCCTTGGCAATTTCGGTTAGATATGGAATTGTTTGTAACTTAAGCCTAAGATTTATCATGAAAGTTAAGTGCAGTTGTCTGTTCATCGCATAAATGGTGGTTAATAAAGGAATTATATACTTTTAAAAGCTTCTTTGTACGAGAAAAAAATCTCTTCTTTATCTCCCATAAGCATTTTATTTGAGTATCGACAATTTATCGCTTCATCCTTTGTGAGTAAAGATTCTTTTTTTTCATTCACTTCTTTTGAAATTATTTCCATTATTTGTTCATTCTTCATTTATGAGAATTTTTTTTTTACATAAATCAGCACCAATATTATATAAGTTTACATATGTCTTGGTTTGTTTCATTCTTCTTTTTTTTTTTAACAGCTAAATGATAATACAGTAAACTGTTTTTTTTTTCTTCTTGGATTCATGTGTTGCTCTCTTTTTCTTCTTCTTCATCTTAAAAGGGGAAACGTTTTTTTTTCTTAAATTTTTTTTTCAATAATTTCTTATCATGTCTCGAGGGGAAATGAAAAAGCTGATTTTCAATGGCAAAAAGGTATTAAAAGTTATTATAGTTATTAGTTTCTTGTTCATTTTTTTCATGTTTCTTTCATTAAATATCTCTATATTTACATATTTGTTTTTATTGATCTCTATTCTTCTCATACGATTACAATATAAGTTGTCTTTGCAATATCCTCACTTCACATGCCGTTATAGTACATTTTGTATATAATTTTATTTTCTCCTTATGTACATTTTACGAGTACATATTTTTCTCTCATATTTCTTTCTTCTTCTCTTGTATATTCTATTCTTCATTATGAGGGCAGTGATAATGTCTTTTTTTACTTCTTTTCTGTCATTTTATAAATTTGTAATTATGTTTCACATTACGTTTTTTTTTTCTTTATGAATCTTGTGATTTTTCATCCTTAAATACACGCAATTGTCATGATGGAAAAGCCCATTGAATATTATCTTGTTCAATTTTTTTTTCTTTCTTCATTATTCCTTATCTCATCTTATATACGAATTACAGAGAGTCAAAGGTATTTTTTCTTGTTTTTTTTCTTCCTTGTGAGAAATTGTTTATGGAAAGAGAAGAGACATACAAAGTTTGGTTGAAATAATGGCGCGTTTTTTTTCTTTTTCTCTTAAAAAGGAATAATTAAATGCAGAGAAATCACTGGGTTGTGATGACATGCTCGACATCTCTATTTCTCTCAAATATCATCATACAAAGTCGGACGGAAATATCCCATCGAGTGTTGGAAAAAGGATAGCGCTTGAAGGGAAAGAATACTGTTGTGGTTGAAGTGTTGCAAAAAGTCTCTGAACAGAATTTCTGATACTGAAGACAACTAGAGATGATGAAAATGGAACTGAAGGGTTTTTGGCACCTGTATGCGATCTCTCTTCGGTTTTTTTTCTTCTTCTTATCCTACACTGAACTGAGTTCTACCTTTGCGAATTTGGGGGGAGCAGAGAGTGCCAAAGAGTTATGCCTATATGAAGATGAAGTGGCTCTGCAGGGAAAACAGCTTGACTTGGTGTGGCGCCTTTCCGCGGGAAGAGCGTGGATTTCTGCTCGCGGCATCGCGCAATCATTCACCCTCGGAGCCCTCGGAGAAGTGCCCTCTGACGTCCAGGGCGCTGGCCAGCTGCAGGATGATGTGGGAGAGCGACGGATGCTCCAGCAGCTCCGCCGCCGGCAGCGGAGGTTCGCACCGAGGACGCTGATGGCGACCCCTGAAGCCCCTGTGCAGGCGCAGCACGACGTCGCAGAACACGAACCGCAGGATGAGCGTTCGCAGGAAGTCGTCGCCGAAGAACTGGACATAGGAAGAGTCTGCGGAGACGCGAGGGGGTGAATTGACTGTAAAAAAGATTCATGCTGGCTGAATGACTCACCGATATATCCAATTCCTTGCTCAATCTCATCAATTCTGCATCGGGTGACGAGGCGCGAGGCTTCCGTCACGAAGCGGTCCACATATCCCTGACATCGCTCCCAGTGATGAATTGGAACGTCGCCAACGTGGCAGACGTAGCAGATGGCGGTCAGGGGCGAGTGGAGGAAGAGCGTGAACAGAGATCCGTGGTGCTGCATATCTGTGCGGATTTCTTCACATAAAGCCCCATCGTGTCAAAGTTCAGCCCACACACACGCCCTCAATTGCACTCGAAGACGGACGCGATGAAAAATGCAGGACATCTCTAGATAAATCCTTCCACGTTTGCAAATGTGGCGCGGAAAATGACTCTCTCTCTAGAGCCTTTTGTTTTAGTTTCAATAGTCTCAGAGATTATTGACTTGCGGAATTGTGCCAAGAATCCCTTTTGTCAACCGCATGAAAGGTCCTGCAACTTTATGGCTCGCATTACGTCTTCGAGTGCCAAGTAAGGCGGCAAATTTATTACCTTGGAAAGCAATTGGAATATCCTGAGGCGACATGAGTGTAACGAGAGGTTGACCAAAGTATCTGCAAAGACAGAGAGAGATTTGTGTGTGAGATGATGATGGCAAGGAGACGGAAGGGTCCTGTGGCGTGCGAACCTCGGAATGTGCTGAAAGACGAAGGAGTTGTCAGAGTCTATGATGATGAACATGGGGCGGCGGGTGAAGGGATAGAGATCACCCGGGTAGAGGCAATGAGGCTCCTTGAACACAGTCGATTTGCCGCGACTCGACAGTCCAGCGTCAGTCCCGTCGCGCTTTATGCTGGTCGCGAGGCCACCGAGCTCGTATCCATAGTCCTCGGGGTGTTTGGTGGTGGAGAAGCAGCCGTCTGCAGACATGTAGAGTAGCAGCGCCCCGCCCGGTGGCAATTCTTTCAATCCACTAGCTAAGAACACTAACAGTTGACTAATTGAAGGCTTGTAGAGTAGATATTTGTGTGGATTGTCTCGATAGTGACGCCGATCGCCATTCTCAATGTACCCTAAGGAGGATGTGAAAGAAAGGCTTGAATTTTGTATTGATTCATGGGGAAAAATCAAAAATTGAATATTTTGTGTAAAATATTTAAAGAAATCACATTAATTTTCTGAATATTTGAGTAGAATTTAATTATATTTGAATATTTGATTATTTTCTCCACATATTGCCGCCAGAGGGCAGCAAAGTTGGCGTAGGGGACGCTATTTGTATCGCATTTTCCGAATAATTTTATCTCTTGACTTCCTAACGTGATCCTGATCAGGAGAGAAGGAAATTTGAGCCCAAGAAATTCTGATTGAACTTCTACATGCCTTTAAAGCTTAAATTGCTGCCCTCTGGCGGAAATATGCAGCGAAAATAATCAAAGTTTATGGCCTGAAATCGCGAGTAACTCTTCCCTGGTCAACTCACCCTTTGAGCCTGGAACGCATCCGTAGCTCCGTCCGCCGGCCGGACTGGCGTCGTGGACAACGTGACTGACGTGCGGATGATGAGCGGCGGCAGACTCCTGGGGCTCCCGCTCCAGGGTTTGCAGCATCCTGAACATGTCCATGGTGAGCTCGGAGAACTTGGCCTGCTCGCAAGTGGAGCCCACGATGAGGATCTCCTGCAGCGTGAGCGTCATGTGGGGCGACCGCTCGCACGGTGGAGTCGTGAGCGGACTCAGCCTGGAACCAGAACCACTTGACCAATTAACAGGTGTAGCCGCGCAGTTCTGCTGCCGCACACAAATGGCCCGTGCTTTCGAAAGAAATGTGATGTGTGGTGTTGATGTGTGATCGAATGAGTTAATGAAGTTAAAGAGGTTTGGAGATGTGAGATCTCCTTCTATTATGGCAAATCTCTCTACGTGACATGATATGGTGGTGTACTTACGGCTGGCGTCTCTACCTTCTTGTCAAATATGCTTTGGATTGTTACTGAAAGAGAAGGGCGGTTTTGTGATAAGATCGGCGGTGATCGCCTACAACCTTTTTTCATGGAATGAACGTTAGAGGAATTTTGATGAGGGAACTTTGAGATGCATCCTAAACGGGCCAATTTGTCATGATTCTCATTCAGAAAAATAAATTCATTAAAACATGGGATGATCACAGTCTTTTCTTACATATTACTTATAGTCTCCTGGAAGAAACACAGAATCCATTTATAGCACACATTTATACGAGAAAAAATACAAGTTTGGACACTGAGAATAGCATCACTTTGGATAAAGACTCAAATAAAAGAATAAGATAGGCAATTGTGACCACAAAGACAGTCCATCTTTGCCGGTCACAATAGCAAGATTATTACACAGAAGATACAGCAAATAATAAATATTCTAGACACACTCACAATTTAGAAGCTGACTTTTACGTGTTAACGTGTAGCGACACTAATTGCATTTTATTCTGTTATATATGTGTTATATCCATTGTTAGAACATATACTTTTGTGTAGTGTAGTTTTGAAATAAATCGGTGAGCGAGTTCAAAAATAGAAGGTGAGGAACAGAATTAAAATACATATATCTGAATGTTCAACTGTGTTGTGTTTTGAGTGGACAGGTGATTGATTTATTTAGATGAAAAGAACCCATAAAAACAAAATAAGAGAACTGAGAGTGTTAGTCTGGACGGAAAATTGATTTATAAAATTTACAGACCAAATATATATATATATATATATATATATATATAGGAAGAGAAGTAAAAATAAGTGAGCTCAAAAAGGCAAAAACTTGTTGAAAGCACGGGCCTCAACTACACTACACTTTGGCTTCTAGTGTTGGTCGAAAGAACGTTTTTTTTTTCTGGCAAAAAAAGATACTGACAAAGAGATGTGAAGGAAAGGCGTGTAGACGCGTCTAAGGCTCCTCTCACCTGTGCGACAGGACGATGGGATTGGTGTCTGCATGGAGGACGGCCACGGCCGCCTCCGCCTTGATGAAGCCCTTGATCTCCTCCAGGACCAGCGACCACTCCAGCTGGTCCTCCGGTTCGTACGTGGTCGTGTACTCGGCAATCTGCTTGTCCAGCTCCACGACCAGCTCGCGCACCAGCTTCATCTTCTTCAGCAGCAGGCACACAACGATGAAGCGCGCGTAGTAGCGCAGCTTCTTCACCATCAGGTCGGGCCGGTCCTCCTTGATGGCCCGCGAGTAGTAGGCCCGTCCGCGGATGGCGGCGTAGAACTGGTACGCCTCATTGAGATAGTTGGTCTCACTGGTGCGCAAGCTGCGGAAGAAGAGACACGCTTTGCCAACAATCCATCCGCCACTGCCCCAAACTGCCCACACAACTCACTAGTAGTGGTAGTACAGCTGCCCAATCTTGCTGGCAATCTCGCCAATCTGCCACCGCTTGAGACCATACTTGGAGTCCAGGATCAGGCGGTGCTGCTGCTGGAACTTCCACAGCTTTGTGTACACATCGAATGTGCGCCCGAAGTAAGCTTGCCACTGTCGATGGCCATACTGAGGCAAATCTCTGCAAGAAAACCCTTTGAATTAGAGCATCCTCAATGCACAAGCCTCACCAGTCTCACCTCAGTCCATTGAACAACTGCTTCGACTTCTCCAGGAGGTGACAAAATTCCAAGACGATTTTTCTATCCTGCTCCTCACTCGACTCCATTTTCACCATTCCGCTTTGGCAATCTTACGAATCATCCTTGTGAATATTTCAGATGGACGTCAGTGGCATGTTCCGGCCGGGATGCCGGCCGGGAGGGTGGCGAAAAATGAGATTTTAAATTTAATGGGAGATCTGTGCCAATGCCTCAACATATTTTATTCCCACCCTCGGCCAGAGAATGTTGATGAATATCTGCAGTGTTTTGAGTGATTTGCCGCTCTGCAATATTGCTACCAAGGATGGGTTAATACACTACAAATGTGTGTAATCAATTAAGAAATGCCAACGAATCGGAGAAAAGTGGAAAAAACGTCCACAATTGCACATACTTCTTGGAAAGTTGGAATGATTTCTTTACCAACAACTCAAAGTCTACGCAGAGAAGAAACTGTCGGTAATGGGAAAAATCCTGAGTAATCTTCCCCCAAGTCTGGTCACCGCCACACAGTATATATATGTGAGTGTGTGGTGGTGGTGTAAAAATGCGAGGGTGGGCAAAGTGATGGAATTGCTTGGAGATTGAAGATGCATTTATCAGGCGGGACTAAGTTGCAATATTGCAAATATAGGGCGGTGTAGCACACAATTGATTTTTCCCGCAACTTTTCCACTCTTTTTTATCCCACAATCGCTCTAAATTTATCCTGGGAAATTGCCGGACACTCTTCGGTATCGTGTTTCCTTGTGGCGAAGTCCCACTTCTCGAGCCAAACCCCTTCGATCCTCAACCCCTCGGGCGCGCCGCGCTCGCCCTCCGCAGCCCAACAACAATCCCACAACCCCTGAAGATGCACTAATAGGGGGAACATTGGGCTGGAGGTGTGTTTGTGCAGTGAGTAAATGTGTAGTTTATATTGATTTTTTCATGTGTACGGGCTCTCGAATGGGTGAAATGAGCCACACGGGATCCTCCTCGCCTCCGTGGGCTGTCCGGGAGTTTTGTTGGGGGCTATTTTTGGACTCCAGCAGAGCGGCTATTTTGGGCCAACGAGCGAAGGAGAGAGGAGCAATAATTGATTGATGTTCTCACCTCAAACACCACGACACACTGTCTAACTCAACGTTTTCGCCACATATTGCCTTCACTTCAAGTCTGTGCAATTTACTTCCCGTGACTCAAAATCTCAACAGCAATGATTCACTGGGATTGTCAGAGAAATTTTTCACTGCCCTCCAAATCGCACACAACTCCGATATCTGTGTCACTTGTGAATTGGGCACACAACTCTTGCGGTGAACCCTCACCGTCTTCACCACTTTTGTTTCCCTTTTTCACAATTCAATTAACTATCAAACTTGCCTACTGAGCGCGAATAGAAGCCTACGTATGTGAAAAATTTGCGGCCAGAGAGCGAGACTGAGAGAGAGAGCGAGAGCTGAAGATACGGAGGAAATCACAACTTTAAAATTGTCGACACACCATCGCGGGGACTGTTTGGTCTTCTCTGCAGCGCCCCTTTGGGTTTTGGGCTCTTCTTTTTTAAAAAATTCTAATCACACGACACACGCTGAACTCGCTACGATGAGTAATCAAATACAGTAATTATTTGGTAGTAAGGCAAAAGCAGTATTCTTTTCTTCACTAAAAGAAGGTGTTAATATTGTGTGTGTGGTGTGTAAAAAGTCCGAATCACAATGGCGTCTCCGACGATGGCTGAAGGCACCCCTCAGCCGCCGATTTCCTTTAGTACACACCCGAGCGAGGGGGTGGCAAGATGCCCGGCTGGGTGAGAGTGAGCGCGACAAACTCACTTTCCCACGCGATTTTCGCCAGAAATGAGGGTTGGTTGGGTGAGAAAATCCGGCATATTGTTCTAACTATCGATTTTTCCTGCCATGCCACGACATTCATGCCACCTCACGGGGAAATTCAAACCCTTCTGCACCCTCAGGGCTTCCAACAACAATCTGGACTCAGTCATGCGACAGTTGTCCTCCTCTGAGACACACTGCCATGAATTGTTCAACGCAAGTGCTTGATTGATGATCACATTGTGAGCGAATGTCTCAAAGGGGGAGATAAAATGTCTTAAATCTGCACAACACTTCCAAACACTTCCAAATTTCCCCTGACACTTCTAGAACTACTTGGCAGCAATGGTGCAGAAACTAACGACCTCTCTGACTTGAGCATAAGAATTGATGCTCAAGTGATGAATTAAGTGCGAATTATTCACTAAATCTGTCCATGATTCGTTACATAACCTAGAAAATGATTTTTATTATTAATTCTGCGTGAAAACCGAAGGAAGTCCAAAGAATTGGCACAATTTGTCAGTAAAATAAGCACTCGCGAAAGGAATGCTTTAAGCTTTAGAATACTTTCACTTCTTAAGTACTTTTGACTGTATTATCTCCCCCTTGGAATGTTCTATCAAGAAAATGTCACAGAAAGAAAAAAATGCTCAGAATTGTAGATAATAAACACATGAGATTTATTTTTTTGTGTGTCGAAGAATCACAAAGAAAAGACACAGAAATTGCGTAATGGAATAACTTTTGCATTAGCGATATTTTAATACAATTAATAAAAAGAACTAATAATAATACCATTTTGTACGTTTCATGACTAGCTTTCGGTGTTTGTGATTGATATTCACTGAGTTGTTCCGTCCACTTAAAGCTAGATGTCTACAATTGAGTAACGTAAGATTGCACAGCAGAGCCTAGAGTGACTCTGTCTGGCCTAGACTTCGCCCTGTGGTTAAATTAAAATACATCCAAGAGATACATCACAAGGTGGAATGGCAAAATATTCGAAGAGGAGCAACTTTGAGAACCTAGGAAGGGACTGAACGGAACCTAGAGTACACTATCATCTAAAATGGGTACAGATCTACCACACACATAGCCTAACTTGATAAGATCCTAATGCAATTTGGCTTCAAGCAAACTACATTACAGGGAGTTAAGGATGCCTTTGGTTCGATTAATCTTCCACGATGTTCAGGTCAAAGCCTGGGATGTCAGATTTCTCCTTGCAAAATGTGCTGGATCTCTCCAGCTTGCTGGTGCTCTCCTTCAGAATCACCTCGTCGCTCTTCTCCTTCGCCGGCTTCTTGGTTGTCTTCTTCTCAGTGCCTCTCTTAATTCCGTCTTTGGTTGCTGTCCGAGGCGTTCGCCTGGATGGTGTTGAGCTCTTGGAGTCCTTGCTCTCCTCTCCCTGCACCTGCAGCTTCTCCTGCTGCGCCTTCTTTCTGTTCAGAATCTGCCTGGATCTCTCCGACAGGAAGCTCTTCCGCACCGACGGTGGATTTGTGGTTGGCATGGTTGACAAGGGAATCTTGCTGCCACTCTTGGGTCTGTTCTTAGCATTGTTAGCCACCGTCGAGGCGATCGATGGGAAGTCACTGTAGGAACTCTGCACAGACTTTGTGTTGCTGCGCTTCAGTGACTCTTGAGACTTGTGACTGCTCTTCACGGACTCTGCCAGTGAGTCAATGGACAAATTGGTTCCGGAGTCTTTCTTTTGCAACTTCCCTGACTCCAGACTCTCCACTTTCATTGGCTTCAGTCGCTTGGGGAAGGCATTGGTGTTGCTCAAGCGATTGAAGACATTGTTGGGATTGCTAGAAGCCGCTTTGGTGGTCCTAGGAGCTGTAGATTTGGTCTTGACCGGATCCTTCCGGGTCTTAGCCTCTTCCTCCTTCACCTTTGGTTTGGACAAGTCTCTGTTGGCCTGAACGCTCTTGTCCACCTTCTGATAGGCATGCAAAGTGTGGTTGTCAACCGCATGGGATGTCTGAGTGTACGTGCTGGGCCTCAGACTGCCCGAACTGGCGACAATCGGTGGAATAATGTGACGCCCAGCAGAGTGGGCGTGGATCGCCAGTCTGATCTGGTGGAGACTTTGGTTCCTGTTGTGATAACTGGGCGATTGATTGTGTAGATCTCTGTTGATGGGACGAGATCTCCTCTCTGGGTGATTGTCTGGGATTCGGGAGAGCTTCTGGATCTTCTTCTTCAGCTCACCATCCATCCTCTGCCACGCATTGGTCCGCATCGCCTTTGAGCACTGTCTCACCAGGCACTGTTCCACTGCCGACACAATTGCAGCCACAAGATGGATGAAGTCAGTGCTCCAGTCCACAGAGTCCCTGTCCTCGTGGATGTTCCTCTTCTCCGTCAGGACAATGTTGAGTCTGTTGGCTCTCTGGTAAGTCCTGCAAGCCTGCTCTGGACTGAGTGTGGTCGCTGTGCGGAGGAGGAAAGTCTCCAAGCGTGCAATGTCACCACTGCGATCGTGGCCGAGAGACAAGAAGGAATCACTGGCCAGGAGTGATGAGAAGTGGTCAGACACATAAACAGCAGCAGCGTCCATGATGTTTCTAATGGTGTGATCCACGTGAAGAGCCCAGCGACAAGGTGCAAGAACAGACAGCAGATCCTCACTTTCCAAGTAGAGATTCAGCACATTTTCGCTGGTCTGGAAATTAAGGATTGTCATTAAAACACTGAATATAAAGAGACTAATTAAAGTTACAAATGTGACTAAAATCTAGAGGAACAGAGTATTGAAAAACCTTGAAAAAGTCACTAATCTAATAAACACTTTAACTGAATTGAGTTGAAAAAGTTCAACAAGTCAAATCTAATCTAAATTCAATGCTGAAATTAATTTGAAGAACCCAAATTATTACCCATATTATCACTTTTCTCTTGGCAATCATCTTCACCTGAAGGAGAGATCTTTAAAGTCATGTCAAGTGGCCGAGCAAAGCCTTCACTTACAATGTGGTTGACAATCTGCTGCTGAAGTCTGAGCCTGAGATCGGACGAGAGATTGTTGAAGGCTCTGGTGCTCCAGATCTTCATGTAATACTTGCAGCACCACTTCAGGCACTTCCTGTACAAGTCGTCCAGTCCATGCGTGAGCGCCACCGGGAGCACTTTCAGCACCCCGTCGATGCAGCTGGAGCACGGCTTGTGGAAGTTGTGGCAGTAGTTGGTCTTCAGCGCGTACGCTGTGATCTCCCGGAGGCCCTCGAGTCCCAGGAGGTCCGCCAGCGCCGCCAATTCCATCAGGCTGATGCCCTCCGGCGGATGCGTGGCGCCCGAGTAGATGTGGCACAGGGCGAAGTGCACAGCCTCGTAGGAGTAGCCCGGGAGTGGGATGGTGTTGCCGGCAGTGGTGATCCAATCGCCCGCCAGAATGGCCGCAAAGTACTGACATCGCGAGCGAAGGATGCACTTGTGGGCTCCAATCTTGCGCCCATCAATGTCAATGGACACATCTGTGCCCAATTCCTGCAGGAAGAGCTTCAGCAGATCCTCCCCGAGGCGCCGCGGCTGCCGACTTGATATTGTCGACTCATCGACGGATTCTGAGAAGAGAGCGAAGCGTTGAATCTCAGGGCAAACATGCCTTAAAATGCCTTACCCAATCCGGATCGGCTGTAAGTGGTGCTGGTGGCGCTGGATTCTCCCGACATGTCTGAGATGAACATGTCCTGAATCTCCGATATCGTCTCCTCGCCTACATTGTTCGGCAGGCTGTGGCTGAAAACTGCAAAATGGACACTTGAGACTTTGCCAAGAACACAATGCAATCTCTGCCAATTCTTCTGGATTGCATCCAAAGCCAGAGGGCAGATAAGAAAAAAACTTTGCTTGATTTATGGCCCTGAAGCTCAGCTCGGTAATAATGACTGTTTTTAAACTCTCATCTATTCTTGAGACACTTGAAACTTACCTGAGTTGAGGTGCGGAAAAAGTCGGCTGAGACTGCGTGAGTTCTCAAAGGAGGACGCCAAGTTCACTCTGTTGCCGAATTCCGTGGATTTGGACATGTTCCAGAGGCTCTTCTCATACGATTTGACGCGCTTGTGTTGCGACTGTTTCAGATGAAATGACTTGGGCTTGTCGAGATCTGACAATCTGACAAATCCCGGATCTCCTCCCTCCACCACGGTGTCCAGGAGTTGTCTCTGCTTCTCAATGGTCGCCCTCAGGGACTCCATAGTGTGGGCTCTGTCTCCCTTATCTGATATCTTGACACTCTTCCCACTTCTTCCCGGCGTTTCTTGGTCATCCGTTGAGCATCCCGAAGTCTCACCATTCTGCAGAGTGTTGTCCTCCACGTCCGTGGCGATGGAGGTGAGGGAGAGGGTGTTTGAGAGCTTCCCACCTTCCTGCAGTGGCATCACGTACGTCTCATCGTTCTTCATCTTCTCAACTGGAGCATTTTCCTCAGAAGTCAGCGATTTGTCTCTGTCAGAGTTCGATGACTCCTTGTTGGACGCCGTGAAGTCATTGGATGTGCACGAGGAGCTCGAGAGGATGGGAATGCTCTCGAAGATGTTCATGATGCACTTGCCAGACTCCACAGATGTTGACGGACCTTTTTCCTCCTCCTTCGACTGCGCCAATGTCTTGGCGAGGCGTGACTTTACTGGTGCCTTCTTTGCGACTGGCTTCTTCTCGCCGATGTCAATGAACATTGAGAAGATATTCTTGCTGCTGCCGCTCTTGGAAGTGCCCAGGTCAGGTAGAGAGGTGGGCTCTTTCACCTCTTCGCTGTTCAGCGGAATGTAAAACCCTGAAAGACCAGAGAAAAGTGCGCTTAGAGAGCCTTCTGAGAATTTTACGGCTTAATAAGTGAGTTTACCTGTGGATTTCTTCATGGGTGTCTCGCAGGTGACCACGATGGGCGCGCTCTTGCACTTCAGGGAGTCTGTGTCCAGGGATTCTGACGTGATGATGTCTGGCTCGTGGGATTTCGGCGACAGAGACATGTCAATCACCCATGAAGCCTGCTTCACGGTGGCGTGCTTCAGGAGATCAGGCTTGGAGGACGAGGCAAAGTCCTCCTGGCTCACGCCGCCAGACAGAATGGGACACATCTCTGTCCGCCTCCTCAAGTGCGGACTGCTGAAGACCTTGGGCGAGAAGTCCTCCACTGACACGCCGCCAGACATGATGGGAGGCGATGTGGAGCCTTTCCTTGAGGAGGGCGTCTCATCGGAATCCTCCCTGTCAGTTGGCATCTGGTTAGAGGCTGAGGCTGAGGATTCGCTGAGAGCTTCGTCCACGAGAGCGGGATCGACAAAGTGACCAGAATACTGCCGGATGGCGCCCTTAAACACCACGCTGCCCTGCTTCTTCTCGCACTCCTTCACAACATTCTTCTGCTCCCTCGGCGGATTATCTGTGCTGAACAGCTCCAGTCCCGATGGGAATTTCGCCTCAGCCCCGGAGAATTGATCCTTGATGTCGTAGTCTCTGGTCCTGGCCTGTGAGGCATACGCCAGCTCAGTGTCGTCCAAGAGCGTCGAGGCGTCGATGAAGCACGCAGACACTGGTGGATTCCTGGCCGTCTCCACCTCTGCCTTCTCGTCGGACTGATGGTCCAGGAACTGGCGACAGGTGTCCTGGAGGGACAGTGGCTGCTTGATGAGCGAACTGGCGCTGGCGGTCTTCGAGGGCGCGGGGAAGATCTCCCAAGAGCCACTCTCTGACGACACTGAGCTGGTCTCTAGGGTCACAATTTCCTCATTGTGGCGCTGCTTCTCCTCCTTGGATGACGACTTGGCCGCCCTGGGTCGCTCATCGCCGCCCAGCAGACGCCGTGACTCACTGGCTGAGCTGTCGCTCATCTGGACAAGTGGATTTGGCGTGCAAAATTAAATCATCCAAATGCCGTGTGAGTCCAATTACGGAAAATCGATATTCAGACAGATTTTACAGTGCCGTCCTACCTTCTTTCTTCCACAATCTTCACACAACACCCACAGATTTAATTACATTGCTGCGCGGGAGGGACGCGAATTCACTGAGAAATTCCACTCTGGGATTGTTGGACGCTGTCCAAGACGCGAATTTCTGCACCGCACTTGATATATTCCAAATATTTTTATGCTAAAAACCACCAATTTCGACGAGAGACCGAATTAATGCTCTCTCCAACTTGTGTCGTCTCTCTGCATCAAACATACCACAAGAGAGGTTTATTCTGACTTTAGGCATTGTGCAGATGTATTGGCGAGAGTGAGACAAAGAGATAAACCCACTTTGGATGGGTTCTGGTGGATTGGCATGCGTCGTTATACGGAACAGTTTGAAATATGTTCGTTAAACACTGCTAAAAATCGTGCACATTTCAAAAAGTAACTTACTCTTTAGGTCAGAATTGGTAATGCGTCGGATTTTGGGGAATTTTGGGACAGAGAAGAGATAAAAGTGGTATTTTTTGTATTTTTTCTCATTCTTTATTTGTATAACAAAATTATTTTGGTTTTATTTTGCGCTATTTCTCGTATATTTCCAATATTTCTTCTCTCATATTTTTCATCTGATTTTTTTTTAACTCTTTCTCTTCATTTTTAAAGTACTTTTTTTGTCACTTCAAATAGAAAAGTTATTCATTTTTCCATTTAAAATTTTTTATATTTTTATATCATTGTTTTTTTTCATCTTCATAAACATAAATTGTATTTCATTTTTTTCATTCTTGTTCAACAGTAACAATAATCATAATTTATAATCAGATAAGTACAATAATATCATGTGTCGTTTAAATAGAGTTTAAATATGAAATAATTGATTTTTTTTCTTTACCTCTTTTCAATATAGTTTTACATATAATTTTTTCTTCTTCTTCTCACGTTTTTTTCCACTTTGTGATCTAACGTCGAATAGAGATTATAACAAATAATTATCAATTTTCATTTCTATGGTGTGTTTTTTTCTGTTTTGTTTCTTCCATTCACTGTGACTCTTTTTACGTCTTTTCAATAAATGGGTTTTCTTCTTTTTCTTTTTTAATAATAAGGATGGCTGAAGAGATTCTCTAACTGAACCGTTTGCAATGGTTTGTTGTTTTCTTTCATCGAGTATACGAGTTTATTTTTAGAAATTGTGTGCAATTTTAAATTATCAATTTGTATATTTCACCTTTTTTTTACTTTCAGTTTAATGTTTCATCTCTCATGAAAATATAACTACCGTATTTGTTTTTTTCTTGGTAACCATAAATGCTTTCTATTTTTTATATCTTTAGAATATATTCATCTTTTAATATGTGTTGTTTATTCTAGAGTAGCTAGTTTTTCTTCATCTCCATTCCAACGGCTCTTGTTTACTATTTAGTTTTTCTTCTTTTTTTTTTCTTCATCTTAATGAATCTTTATCAGTTTTATTTCATTCAATGATTCTTTACTAAACCAATATTTCTTCTTGTTTTTTTTTTAAACTTTTTTTCCCGATACAAAAAATATACAATTAACAAATCTAATTCATATTAAATATGGGGTAATTATAAATTTTACCAATATGTTCTTTTTTTTTCAAATTTTTCCAACGCTCATCAAAATTAATGCATATCTGATGTGTGTGTGTTTTTTTGTATATAAAAACTTTTACTTCATTTTTTTGTCACTATTTTTTACTCTATCATGTAAAACAATCGAAAATATCTCACATGACGTTATGCAATGGAGAGAAAGAAAAAATAAATTTGCAAAGTATGTTTTGACCTTCTAAAGGTTCATTTTCTGTTCGATTTTCTGAAATTTTTTTTCTTTTCTATAATATTGTAGGAAATGACACGTCTTTTTATCCTTTGTTAATCGCTCCCATTATTTTTTTATTTATGCAATAATCTCTATTTTAGAATAGTAACTTATTATTTCATCTCATTTTATGGGTGTATTTAATACATTGTTAAGTTCTCTTTCTTCCACCTTTTCTTTTTTAAATCGCTTTATTATATGAAAAAACACAAATGATAATGTGCCTAATTTTTTTCTTTGTCATTTATTATATAGAAAATTGTGCAAATTATTAAGAGATTTTCACTTTTTTTCACTTGTCTTTTTAATTATCTATATAATTCATTACTTTCATTCTTTATTTATATTATCCATTACTTTTAATATTAAAAGTACATTAAAATTGACTTCCTCGAACAGTTCAAATGAAAAAATCAAAGCAAAAGGTTTGCTTTTTTCTTTGCCTTCAATACAACTTTTTTTTCTCACATCCTTATCTCGTTCTTCTTCTTCTTTTTTTGTAGTAATTTTTGCCTTTTTACTTTGGAGGGGTGAAATTAGTGTATTGTTTTTCATCTAATATTTACAAATTTAAATTTACTGTCCTTTTTGAGAGTTGTTTTTTTCATCGCTTGTTCATCAGCTCATTAAAAAGTTTCATTTTTTTTATACAAAAATCAACTAAAAGAACACATTTAGGTATTTTTTGTTGTTTTTCTTCACTATCTTCTTCTTGTTTTGTCTTGGTTTACATTGCACGACCTTCTGCTTGACTTTCCCTTAGAATTTTTTAGCTTCGCTCCATGAGTGTGTTTTTTTGATGGACATTTTGGATTGTATATAGAAAATAAGGATTTTTTCTTTCGCCGAATAAAATGGAGTTCTTCTTGGAATTTTTCTCACCTTCTTCACAAGTTTTGCTCACTCATGGTTTGATGGGGGAATTCATGGGGTTGAGGGAAAATTGTGTTCAACTTTGCTTGAGTGGGACATTTTAACTTTCACCAACTATTCATTGGATCATTGGAAACTCAGAGCCATAACATGTGGGTAAAAAGGGGAGTATGTTTTCCGAAAACATGTCTATATATATGAAATGAATGCGCACAGAGAAGATGATAAGCGAGAACAGAGTTTTTTTTTTCTTTCACCGATTTTAATGGTTTAGCAAAAATTTAAAAAGTCCCACCAAAGTAAAGAAGTTTCATATTTGGTTGTTTTTTTTTCTTCTTCTTCGATAACATAACTTCACGTCTTGTAATTGGTAGATTTTTTTTCTTCATCATTTTCACCTTACAAATAATATTAAATTAATATTGTAGGTATATTTTCATGTGTGTAATATCTACATATAATTATGTTATATTTTATATTTAAATTTAGAATTTCGTTTGTAGCAGACATAAACAGGCACCGCCTTAGGTGGTGATCACGCGGCCAGGTTCAGAGCTTCAATGCGTGTGATCGCGTGAACAAGAATGATAACCATTTTCCGAGTGGTTGTTTTTGTTGTTGTTGAGAACCTGACAAAGTGTCATCGCCTAGGGGATCCCCTATACGTTTACATCCAATACGTTTTTTTTCTTCTTCTCTTTATATAAAGTGGCTTCAGAATCAACGTGCCTTATTAATTTTTCTCATCTCCTCATTAGATTTCCTTCTTTCTTTTTTTACCCTTTATAATAACTTTTAAATACGTTTAATATTACTTTTTATTATTTTTTTTTTCTTCATAATTTATTAGGTTACTTATTCTTCACTTTTTTCCACTTTTTTTTATGTATGAAAAGATATTGCTTAAACTTTTAAATATATCTTTTTCTGTCATATTTCCTCATCATTTAGTCATTAGTAATTTTTTTTTCCCTAACTTGCACATTGATTCAAAGGACTTGATAAAATGGTATTTCCTCAGCTTCCTCGTGACTGTTTTTTTTTCTCTTCTTCATTTAACTTCCTTGCATCTTTTAATATCTATATAAAATTTACATTTCATTTTTTGGTGAAATAATGAGTTTGAGTATTGCGATCATCTCTATTAGAATTTTTCATTTTTAATATCTTGTAGCGTGATTTTTATTTTTTTTTTAAATCTACAATGAATTTGTGTGCAGTTTTCTTTTTATTTTGTTAATAATTTCAATGATCATTTTACATTAAACGTGAAATGAGATTTTTTTGTAGTTATATAGTGGTTTTTTTTTATTCCATAGTAAAGAAAGACTTGGATGGTTGTTCTGCGCTTAAAATAAATTTGACAGCTAAACTTCACACGCTGACAAGACGTGCGCTGCGTTTGACAGCTGTCAAAGGAAGCGCGCGCCATGCCAGCGCCATATTGGGCTTGAGTCATCTACATTTGGAATTCCGTTCAATCTTTTTTATACATAAATGTATATATACGATTATATAATATGTAGGTGTTTTTCACTTCTTTTATTCAATATATAATATTAATATATTAGCATTGTATAGTTTTTTTTCTTTAGATTACTTTCACTTTCGTGTGATTTCGTGTGTAGTAAATTTACTAATAATAATCGCTATGTAATATACATTTTTTTTGTAATGTAACTTGACTTTACATAAACTGGTGTGGTAATGTGTGTTTTCAGGGTGCATTAATCATATCAATTGTTCATTTTAATTGTCCTACTATTAGCACTAAGTCTGCTTCATCACCTGGATACACATTTTCTCAATTGGCTGTCCTTTTTTCTCACCTTTTTTTTCTTTTAGCTGAGGCGACTCAAAATTCATTTTTTGCGCATTTCACAACTTACAATGAATTTTTTTTCTTCATTTTTTTTTTCATTTCATATTTCCACATAACAATTGTCTCATCGTCATTTTTATTATAGTGTGAAAAACCTCAAGTGCTCGTTCGTGAATATTTCCCTTATTTGTAAGGTTCAATGCAAACATGAAGGATAATTTATCATGGTTTTTTTTTCCTATAATACCCTGCCTTTTAATTTTACTCTAAGTAATCTACTTTTGTCCCCTCGTTTCATTTTTCGCTCGCCCCGTATTTTCCTAAGGTTACTTTCTTGTCTTCTTTAAAAACCGAAAGAAAAATTTTTACTTGTTTACCGAGAAAAAGACGTACGACACTCAAAGAAATGATTAAGTTGTGTGTGTATGTGACTTAAGTAGAGTAGAAAATCTGTCTCTCTCTCTTTCTCTCATAATAGATAAGAGAGATTGTGGAGCATTTCGCGGAGTTTTCCTTGTGAAATTACTCCCAGTTTTATTTGTCATGAAAATTTATGACCCCCCCCCCTATTTTTCTTAGCCCCCATTCAGATCGCTTTTTGAAGAAAATAGAGTGACTCTTAAGAGAACAGCAAAAGAAGTCCATTAGTAAGAATGATTGCGTTAAATTGAGCAAACCGCGGAAGGAGGATTTTGCAGTCTGAAATGTGACTTTCTTTCTTTTTTTTTACATCTAAATCTCAATGATACATTTTGATTGATGACTTTGGCGGGGACTCTTGAAATTCTAACACGTCTATGTTTTGTTAATTACTTGACGATTTGTGGTGAGGTGCAATGAGGGACTTCGGACGTTCCGCCTGACAATCGCGCGCGCGCGTCTCTCGCGGAGCTGAAAGACCGTTTACTCCTTCAACTCAAATATATCATCACATTTTTGTCACGTCTTCCCCACCGAATATCCTGGCATGGCTCTCTCTGCAAATCTATTTCTGATTAATTCTTTTGATTCCGTGTTTTGTTTTTGCTTAACGTGTTTTTCTTTTTTACTTCTTTTTGTCGGGTTTGAGCCAAGGTGCTCTGAGGGTATGTTTACGACACTCTCTTGTGAACCTAACCTCAAGGCTACACTTGGGGTAAAGCGTTTCTGGATATTCAATCACAAATGAACTCGATGAGAAAAATCCACTGGCGTTTTCAAGTTCATCCTGGATTTCCCACATTATCGAGAGAATTTTATTTCTTTATTTATTTTTAGAAATTAGATTTTACGTGTGGTGTGATAAAAAAGAGAAGATTTTTGCCTTCGATGACTTAAGCGGATTGCAATGAATGTTGGACCACTCTCAAATGCAATAAATTGGATTTTTGGCAATAATTCACATCCCGATGCGTGTGAAAAATTGTGTGATATAAGAGAGAAAAGTGTGCTGCAATATTCGAGATTTGTGCAGGATTTCACTCATTAATAGAAAAAAGAGAATTTTACATAGAGAGCGCGAAATGTCTCATGAACACAAATCTTATAACGTCGTTTTTTTTCTTTCTTTTAAATATCTTTGGCATCTTAGTTGGAAGCAAATTCTTACACCACACAAAGTTAATTTATCTCGCAATTTTTTGGTTTCCACGAAAAGAGAAAAATTAAAAAATATTTGTTCTTCTTTAAAGAGCAGAGCACTTGAAAAGTGTTTTTCCTTTTCATTATTACAAGTTTTATCAATTTTGGTACCGGGCATTTTAAATCTTAACAGAAAAGCACATCGGGATGACTCAATGGATTTTTTTTTTGTAAACTTTTGTCTCTTTTGATATAAAAAAGTGTTCTTGAATTTTCATGTCTAGTGTAATCTTTAACGTGTAGAATGAGAACTTCAGTTCTTATGCGGGTGGAGTTTTTCTTTTCGCTATATCTTATCTATTTATCTTCACCCAGGAGCACCAAATCATCGGCCACTACATCGCTGACATGCAGATAAATTATCCAGTACATAAGATTGAAGCACACAAAACACACGGGAAAGACTATTCGAGAGTACTTGTCAATATCAGACGGTGTTATTCCTAGAAGCTTATTTATATCCTGCAAGAGTAAGAGAGAAAAGCATCGATCAGTTGAGTTATTGTTGCAGAAAACATTTAGAGAGCGTTTGCAGTTTAGCGAAGCCATTCATTATTGGTCCGCGAGGCTCCGCCCACTCTCGTGCTCCGCCCAGAATGCGGTATTTTCTGGCTTGTTTCAACTGCAGCGCCGTCTGTCTGGCTACTCAACCTACCTTTCCCGGGTGAATGAGGTGAGGAGGTGATGGTCCGCCGCCGGCCTCCTCATCGGGTCCACTGCCGCTGCCGCCGCCACCGCCGCCGCCGCCGCCGCGATCTCCGCCGCCTGGTCCTGCTGCGCCGCCGCGACCGCCATTGATTGTGTTCTCGAGGGTGCCACCCTTCGAGTGAGCCTTGGGATCGTTGACTTTGAAGCGCACCTCCTGGAACAAGGGTCCCACTATCGAGCAACCGCGCGATCCAACGTTTGGTTGCACACTTGAAAAACCAGCTGGGCGGCTACTCACTGTTTGTTTCGGTGCATGGATGTGCCCATGGCTGTGTCCATGGCCATGGCCATGTCCATGATCACCGCCGCCGCCACCGCCGCCCGGTGGCGGCTGGCCGCCGTCTACTTGCAGCTTCTTCTGCTCGGCAATCTTCTGGATTGCCATAAATCGTTGTTTGCGCATCTGAATGCGCTTCGCCATGTAGCCGACCGTGGCGTATTCTGCAAGAGCATCAACAAGGGTGTGTTAGTCGGTGGCGTCGGGGTGGGAGGGGTGCAAGAGACTTCAACCACAGAGGTATTGGTGAAAAATTGAAAGAGAGGAGATACAGCGATTACTCTGTGGCTTTCCTGTTGAACGTGACCACAGAAATTAACACGTTTATACCATGCTGTCACATATACTCAATCCGATTATGACACTCAACACCAAATACAGGAGGATATATATATATGAAAAGTGGAGAGAAAATCTTGTCCGTTCTGATGGGGGTCAGATTTGAGGGAAGCGAGAGAAAATAAAAGGCTTGATGGAGGAGTTTGAATGTGTGTTCTACAAGAAGTCTTCTCAAACTCAGAGGTGTTTCGTCACAATTCTCTTTTCACCTCTGCATCCTTTTTAAGGGGAAGATTATTACCAGAGCAACATAAATTAAGGAAAATGATTCACATCGACACAATAATGAAAGCAAGTGATGGTGTGCCGTCCTGTCGCGTGGACGTGCCGTCACCTTAAGGGACAATACAGTGTTTGGGACATTACATCAAAGTTACGATTCAGCGGTAAGATAGTCTGTTTACCCAGTAAACTAGCGAAAACCATGACGAAACACGTTCCTAAATAAACGTCAATGGATTTAACGTAGGATATTTTCGGCAGAGCTGCATTTGTAGACGACATGAGTGTTGTCATGGTCAACACTGTGGTAACACCGAGAGCAACTCTGGCTGGCGTGGCGTTCCTGTTGAGCCAGAACGATACCCACGATATGATCACAATCAATCCCGATGGGATGTATATCTGAATGAGATAGTATCCCATCGATCGCACAAATTGGATTTCACACGCGAGTCGTGAGTAGTTTCCTAGAAGATATAATAAAAGCGATAATAGAATTGCTTATGATCGAAATTTCAGATGGCAAGACACTCAGCAAGGACAGGGAATTTGTTGTCTGGGAGGCTAGGATTCAGTCATGTCTATATAGAAAATACAACGGAAAAAATATCTCTCAAATAAAAACAATAATCAACACGTAACAATTGCTCACACACGATGGGAAATACACAAAACTAAAAAAGAAACAGGAAAAAATCTTGGGACGGTGGATTTTACAAAGCGTATCATTTTTGGTGTCTCAATTGTTGATAGGTACTAAATAAAGTGACCAAAACTCAGGCTAATCGATAATATTGGTGTAAAATTCTCTGTAAATAAATTCTTGCTCATATATATTTTTTTTTCTTCTTTGGCATCCAGGGTAAAAACGAATCTCTGATTAATTTGCATGGTGTATTTGTTTGGTTATGTGTTTTTTTTATTCTTCTTTTTTGCGGATTTATGTCCTAAAAAAAAACAAACAAACTCAAAAAATGCTCTTCTGCCTTTCTCGTGAATTGCATGCAGAAAAAATTGTAATTATCTTATTGCGCTATAACTCTTCGGCTATATATTCGGCTTGTTATGTGTTTCCCGGGTTTTTTCACAACTCTATCTCACTCGGACGAGGGTGTTTCTTTTTTTTTATTGCGGGAGGAAAATTAGTTGTATACATTGAAGAAAAAATACACGTCTCTATGTTACAATATATCAAATGCACTGGCTAGATAAATTTTTCAGTATAATGTCATATAAGGAGTTTGTTAGGGAAATTACAAAAGAAAAAAAAAAACTGGAGAAAGAGAAAAAGAGGAGAGAAATATAGCTATGATTATATTATATTATATTTATTATAATTGCACAAAATGCAAGGGAATGTAATAGTAAAAAATTGTCTACCATAAAAACTATGTGGAATGAATTGTAAAATTAATGAAATTGCAAATACTATATATTTATTTGATGCTTAATCAACAGAGAAGATGAATATTATGTAAATTAATAATTGAAAGATTCGCATGACAAACATTTCGCAAATGCATCCAATATAGGTCTTGAAATATTTTACTGTAGACTTTAATTCTGACCAATTGGGATTTTTTTTTCGACAGTGCATTTGATGCGAATTGAGTTGTTTTTCCTTTTTTTATCAATTGTCTTCAGTAAAATCATTCTCAATTCAAGATAGCATAAACAACAAAATGAAGCTATTTCTTATATGACAAGATTCAAAAACTGGTTATCTGTTTATCTCGCAAAATGTTTATGGACATGATCTTATCACTGGCAAAGGTATGTCTGAGATATGGAAAGAAAAAGTTAAGAGTCTCATCTCATAGTCAAGTACATTTTTCTTCTTTTTTCTTTCTTGTTCTTTTTTCTTAGAGAAAATTCTTTCAAAAACCAAAAATAAAAATCTGTCCATTTTGAATTATTCCATCTCTTGATTAGCCAAATTTTCATCTTTTTTTCTCTATTTATGAATATTGAGAATTTGGAAAAAGTATTTTTTGTTGTTGTTGTAAAAGGAAATCAAGAATATGAGAGAGTATATAATAAAGTTTGGAAAAGAATGAAATAAAAGTTTTAATCGGTGACCGTCTACAGGTACCTGTGGTAAGACTGATCTCCATTGCCCTCTGTCGGTGTCCTAAAACCTTAAATTGGGGTAGAGACACTTCGCTCGAGACACCAACCGAATTGGGACCCTCGTTCCACTTATATCGGATATCTCTCATTGTGTATCCGACTGTTGGTGGACAGTTGGCGGGCGGGTTGTAAAAAGCGTACGATGGTCGCAAGTTGATTATGGTTTGGATAGAAAAATGCAAGCATACACAAATAAAGAGTAACCGGCGTGATACTGCCTTTTCGTTCTTCATAACAACATTGCTCTTCTGATTCAAAAGTCGCAAAACCCGCGACAAAGTTCAAATTTCCTTCACAATTCCTCCAATTCTTCTTCAGGTTGTTTTTTTCTTCTTCTAAGTTCTAGGAGAGAGCGGAAGCCGTTAACCTACAAATTCTCAAATTCACTACTGAAGCAGAAGATTTTCCGGGAGAGGAAAGGAAATGTAAAATTACCTTAATTAATTTAAAAGCATTTAAATTGATATCTAATTGGGTGATAATACTTCTTAAATCTGTACACAAATTCCGGACACTTCCTTAGCCTCTGTTTGGTATTTTTAACACGTCAGACACTTCTGAACATTTTAAAGGTATTTTCGGTATTTTAGAGGTTTAAATTCTACAAATGTTTAGATTTTAGATTTCATGAACTAATCTTTGTGTCTCACGATTTATTAATGAACAATTTCTGTCTTAATTTCCTAGTTTTATCTTCGAAAAATGCCAAGAAAAATTCTGACCAAATTGTGAGGTTATGAAAATCAGCTTTAAAACCTTCTTGGACTGATTAAAAATTTTTAAACGAGGAAATTTAGAGAATATCACAATTCTTTTATTTGATAATAACGTACAAACCGCGGAAAAACCATCCTTCTAGGCTTTAATGACATTTTTGAGGTTATGTTTGACTTTAAAGCTGTTTTTTACTTCAGAAATTTACCCTATCTAAAGTTTTACGAGCAGAAATGTTCAATTGTGTAAAAAAGAGAAATATTCCCAATTTAAACACAATTTTGATGATTTTGAGGGTTATTTGAACATCAGAATCTGGTTTAAATCAAACACATAACCTAGAAAAGCAATTAGATGAAACAGAAGCTTTTGCAATGCAAATATTCTAAATGTTTTACGCCTTCCAAATCCTATCTTTCTATTCCTATCCTATATCTTCCTGTGGGTCCCCGCTCTCCCCTATTTTAGAAAACACTCAAAAGTGATTCTTTCTAGGTATTTTTTATGACTTTTTCAGCGTCTTGTGAAATTTGAACAGTGCCGTGGGTGATTTTTTATCCAATAAAGTCTCTACTGGACTTTCGATAACTTTCACTAATTGTTTTCGGTTAAATTTGCTAATATTCCTTTAGAAGATCTCCAATGGGATTAGCACAAAGTCACTGATTTCCAACAGTGTAATTTGGAATTAATTCAAATGTGATTTTGATGAGTTCCAAACAATCCAGCAACTCGGGCGTAATTATGCATAATTATTTATTTGCCATAAATGATTATATATATGTATACTTTTCTAAATGCTGCAGCGATAAAACTCAGCGGACATTATGGTAGTCCCATTAGGAGTCCTCATGTGATGTAAATTATATAATATATTTATTATATACATTGCAATTGCCACAATTTTCTCCACTCTTACGGAAATTTTGGGTAATTTCACGTGTCTCGAGAGTGGGTGGGATGATGAAGTGAGTGGAAAGATTGAGAAAACATTACGAGCACTGCACAACGTACCGTTTCTGGCAGTGTTTTTTTTTCTTTTCTTTCGGGCAATAATCGAGCATTCAGTCAAATTCTCGCATCTTCATTTCAATAAAGAGTTTTAAAAAAAGATGTCTTTTATTCTCTTCCAAGTAGCATCATTTTAAGAGAACAGTATTTAAGGATTAAGAGGAACGAGATAAGGTTCTTCTTGCACTGCACATTCTGTATTTTTTTGCTTATGCAGTTGATGTATAAACTTTTTCTCACATATGTATATTCATGACGAGATCGCATTTTGTGTCTGTGTGTGTGTTTGTGTGTGTGTGTGTGTGTTTGTGGAAAAAGGGAGAACTGAAAAACGTGACAAGAAAATTACTAAAATTTATTCGCCCTAATTTCATCGTGTGTATTTTTTTGAAAATAGTAGTGTGAGTGTGTTCTAAAGATTGAAGGTATTATGTTAATTTTCTTTTACCACTTTGATATTTGCAGTGTTGTGTGGTGTTGTGTTACGTGCGTGTGAGTTTCTTGTTGAAATTCACTCAAAAATATATATACTTTCGCTGGAAAATTAATTTGTAATCAAAGAAAAACTGAGTCAAGGTATAATTCATCATCGTCTCCATCGCATAACATTCTTAACATCATATTTTCTTCTGATGCGCTTTCGACGGAGACGATGATTTTGCCTTTCTCTCCACTGTTGGACACTTTTTTGGTGGCGCGAAACGCGGTAAAATCACAGACAGATTCTTCAGAGATTGGTTCTTTTGGGGGTGGGAGTTTGTTTGGGGGATCGTGAAGCTCAACACGAAAGCATTTGACAAAAGTCGGGTCGGTCGAGAGAATCTCCGTGGACAGTGACAACTGAGAGTCCAACACAAGGAGACGAGTGTAAAAGAAAAAGAAAAAAACAATGAAGCCAAACAAGACGAACAAATAAGAGAAGAAAAGAAATTGTGATATGTTGTAAGGAACGTAAAAAAAACAACATGTAAGATTCAACACTCCATTCAAGGTGGTTTAGTTGTTGTCACACTTGCCCTGTCAGCTGACAGGGAGACATAGAGACAAGAAACTGAGGTGTTGACAAGAACCAAAGGAAAAAAAGAAAGAAAGTATAGGTTGATATGGGCTTAAAAGAAATTTGATTGAGAGAGCGTGTTGTTTGGGTACCTGTGGTTAGGTTAATTTCGGTCGCCCTCTGCCTGTGTCCTAAAACTCGAAATTGCGGAAGTTCGACTTCGCTGCTCATTCCAACACTACTTAGGCCATCTCTCCAGAAGTAACGGATATCTCGCATTGTGTAACCGACTCCAGAGCCATAACAATACACAAATAATGCCATCATTCACCAAATACAATGTCAATGTCAGCCAAGTTATGAGATAGTTCAAATTCCAAAAATATATGGTTTCTTTTTTCTGTTATTAAAATTCGGTCACAAAAAATTGTCGCAAGAAACAAACACAATATTTGGAGAAGTTTGAAAATCAAAACAAAAAAAATATATTCCTTATTTCTCATGGTAAAAAAAAATTGGTTCCATTGCAAGTTTTTTTTTTTTTTTTTTGAAAATCAAAAAATCTTTCTGTGATCCTGATTGAGAGGAGAAAAGAAAAAAAAGACAAACTAAAAATCTTTCACTTCCTATCCAGTTTGCTCACAAAGATGTCGCGCGCAAAGTTAATCACAAACACTTGACGAATATGTGAAAATGGTCAATTTTGAAAAAGCTTATGGAATGTATTGAGCAAACGGAATAAAAAATATGAAACATTATGCTTTTAAAGGTTAGAAAAAATCATGCACAATGAAGTTTTTCATTACCCTTCATATCATTTTTCTTTTTTCTTTATGTGATTTTAGCAACTTTTCACTCTTAAGATCTGAGCATTTTGAGTACAGAAGGTGAAAAAAAGGTATCACATTTCACATTGGAACTTTTATTTGTTTAAAATGGGAAAAAATCTTTCAGTATAGTTGTAATTAAAGCGCTCCTGTTTGATTATAAATCGATGTGAAGAACGTAAAATGAGAGAGAGAGACTAATAAGAGGAAAATCAGGAGAACGAAAATGACACATAAAAATGATAAACTACAGAGAGAGAGAGAGAATTTGAAAGAAAGAATCACAGAAAATTGAATATACAAAAGTCACAAAGAAATGAGACAAAAATATAGTTAGAACTAACAATCGAATGTCACCCAAGTCATGCAGATTGCGGATAAACATGCAAATGATTTTCTATATTTTCCTCTTCCTCAAACTATATTGATGTGAACATTTTTTTGGTCTCTGTCTTTTCTTTGTATACCACAAAGTCTCGATTATTGATATTTTATGCTAGAGATATAAAAAAAAATGTCCTCTTTTTATGTCTTGAATGTTAGGCGTTTAAAAAATGTCAAGAGCCTATAAAAGATCAAAAAAGGGGTATAAAATGTCGAAGTAGAGGGAAGAAAGTAAAATATAAATGAGAGAACATGCCACTAAAATTGGTGTTCATCGATCATTTTGAAAGAAAAAAACTACTGAAGGATGATTTTGTTGTGTGTCCTTTTTTGGGGGACACAAAATCGGGACACTAAACAGCTCTTTTTGTTGTCACTATAATAAATCCTAAATGTTGATCGTGTGAAGTGATTAAAATTTACAGAAATCAAGATATTTTGGCGTATTTTCAATGGATCTTAATACGAAATGTACAAAATAAATGACTAAAAGAAGCATTATTAGACATGCAAGAAATATTATCGATATGTATATATATATAATTCTTTCTGTCATATGGTTTATTGAAAAAAGTCAATGGATAATAAAATATGCGAGTATAAAAATACTGAATGAGAAGATATAAGGTAAAAAAATCGGACTCGGTGTACCAATTACGAGATTTCCGGCAATTCTATATTCAACTTCCTTCAACATTTTTCTTTGATGTGTCATCTTTTCACAATATAATATTCTTAGTTTGTTCTGTCCTCAATAAGATTGTCTTTATATATTTCATTCAATTGGCATATCTTTTTATTTTTCATCAAAAATAAAGAATTCATGAAAATTGCTCACGCATTCTTTTATCGATATGTGGTTAAGAATTGTATATAAAGAGAGTTCAAGAAAGAAATTCGAAGAGAGTGGGAAACAAATGGAAATTACACAACCTATTGCAATTTTTAAAAGAGAGAGAGAAAGAGTGAGAAATATTAGCAGAAAAGGTCGACTTTTATTTTTAAGAGGTGTCATTGTCGTGTTCCGAATAGCAAAAAAAATATTATAGCAATATATGGTTATACTTTCTTTAGCGTTTCTTCTTCTTTTCTTTCTCAATTCAATAATAAATACATGTTCTTTGGTGAAAAGAAAGGAGGTCTTGAAAATGAAAATTCATGGGGTTTCTTTTCTTGCTTGTTCTCATAACACATTTAAAGGTGGTGAGAAGAGAAAGAGAGAGAGTAACAGAGAATGAAAAAGATAGAGTGAAAGAGGGTTAAAATGCCTCGAAAACCTTGATGGTTATTTTTTTTCGAATACGACAGTTTCGGTTGTTAATCAACTGCCATTGTCTTATGGAACCGTCTTGTGTTTCTGTCTCACTGAGCTCTTATATGCTGCTTGGCATTTTTTTTTCTTCTCGGGCACGTTTATTGCCAAATATTGAACTTCTTATATGTTTGTCACGTCATAGTGCAATATTTTCCACCTGGGTGGGTGACACTGAGAGACTATTCTGTAGTCTATTTAGTCAATGTTTATATATAGAGTAACAAGTCAACCTTCTGCGGTTGCTGTATAAGAGAGAAGGCGACCGAAAACCAACCAATAAATATCAAACAATATTTATTTACTCATAATATACACAATTGTTAGATAAAATAAATAGTAAATATTCTGTATATGTGAATATACATATTGAAATATATATAACCGTTTAACACAAACAGGGGCTGTTTAATTAATCTTGAGTTTCTTATTTTTTTGCAAAAAGAACATTGAAGACTGGCATTAGTCAAAGTATAGTTAATGTGCGAGTTTATCTGTATTCAACAACAGATTTCATTGCTCTTTCACAAATTGATTTCATTTGATAGTTTTTTTATTTATTGTTTTCACCCCCTGGAAATATTATTTCAATATATTATATAATTTTTTCTCTTCCACGCTAATTTTGTGAATCAACATTTCTTGTCAAAGAAAGAAATTTTTTTTTGTTAGTATTTCTCGGGCCTATAATCTATAGTTCATTGTAAGATTTTGCATCTATATAGTGTGTGATAAATTTGGAGAATTGTGATACTTACAGCTCTCTATTTCTATGTGACATAGCTGTCGATCCATTGGGAAATACTGAAGATTCATTGGACAGGATGCTGTGATTGTGAGACTGAAAGAATCCGAGCAAGAATTCAGGTTAGTCAGATAAGAAAAGGGGTAAAACAGGACACAAAGTGTTGTCATACCGAATACTTCTAGTTATGGAACCTGAATGATGAATTCTTATAAATTCATTGCTTGTTGTTGCGATATGGAAGTACGACTGTTTTTCATTTACAAAAAATGTATCAGGTACCCATATATTTTTGATGAATTCGGAGCCGACGGAAAGCGTTTCAACACCGGGTCGCTTTCTATACGCCAATCGTGGATCCGTCCAGAATTGGCGAAAGTAGAAATCCAGTGTAAAGTCCTACAACAGGTGGAGAAAGTGTGGTTTTGGAGAGAGAGAGAAAGAAGAAAATCGATCAGTTTTGTATTATTTCCAAGGAAAAAAAAATTACTAATTTTTACATAAATTAGGAAATAAAAAAATTAGAAAATAAAGAAATATAGGAAAGCTTTTGTAAAATAAAAGAAATCTTCATTTTTCTTTACATCTAAGGAGGAATTTATTTCGGGATTTAAAAGAGCGTTCATTAGAGATCGGGTTGTAGGTTCTTCTCTTAATAATAAAGAACTAAAAAATCAAACAGCAAGGCACTATATATATACAGAGGAATATTAAAGTTCTGAAGACTGACAATCGAGAGTAGTGATAAAATGTCTCTCAATAAAAATCCATGGGGCAATCGACCCTTGTCAACTTTGTATAACCACTTTTGCAATAGGGGAAAGGGAGGAAGCGTTGGACAGTACAGTTGTAGCTAGAACTTATGTTATATGAGCTGTCATCCTGGTCCTAGTCTGCTTTATTAAATATGCAAATCAATCCTTCCTTAAACTCTAGCTCAATCCAAATTGATCTCAGCTTAAGGCTTTCCTCGCGTCCGTTTCTGATTCGTAACACCTCTTAATCTGGCAACCCCACTTTCCCGAATAATATGATCCCTATCTTAGTCATTATGAATCTACAACAGCGTAATTTAGGTTTTCTTGCTTTCGTTTCAGCGGTTTCAACGTTTCTGCGAACTTGTCATATAATTAATGTCACTCCCATTGGCAAATTTGTTTTAACAGCGGCAGATTGTCAATTTGTGAATGATGGCGGCGGCCGCCACTCGCAGACTTATTTGTAATCCCATGTAAAAGAGGCTTGAGTGTAAATAAATAGTCTATTCTATTCTATTTGCCGGCCAACCATAATGGTTCTAACGTCTACCACTTTATATTTAAGGACAGAGCGCAAGACAACAATTTCAGTGAAGCGTATGTTTCATCTGGAACATTCAATTGCTTCTTTGTCATTGAAAAACCTAATCTGTTCTCACTCTGCTGTGTTCTAGTATTTGGAAACAGTGAGATTTGTACGCACTTCGTATATTTATTTGAGGCGTTGATGATCGTATCCTTTTGTATCTTGACCATCCCTGATTATTTCACTCATCTTTTGCTTCAAACTGGTCAGTTTCGTCACTCTTATAATGTATGAATCTTTTTATTCAATTTTCACATCAATTTGATGGCTCTGCTAAGGGGTGCCAAAATCTGATGAATCTTGCGCACAAACTAAAGTTTTGACTCTTTCCATGAAAATGTTTGCCTGCTGTATATATGTATTTGTTTTTGCAATCTGACGCTCCAGTCTCCCCCACTCTCCCCTATCCAAATTTTTGCGAGTGTCTGCAAAGTCGGGATTAATGGTCAGACTCTTTAAAATCCCATCACTGCTCTCGAGCAAGTCTGGCAAAGTTGAGAATGGCTCGTATAGTGAATGTGGGTCAAAGATGTATGTTAAGTGAAGTGTGTTAATTGCTGAATTATGTTAAAAAAAAATATATTAAAGTGTCATTATACATTCTGTGTTAAGGATATGCGCTTTTCAAAGTGAATCGAGAAAACCGTCACAACTCAAAGTATGCAAAGAGCAATTGCAGTGACTCATGTGAGATTTTCTCGAAAGTGTACATATATAGTGTGCCATGTTTTATCACAAAAACCAATTAATGGAAATTGTAATTTGTCAGAGTGTGTATAAGTGGGGAATATTTTGCTCTCGAAAAGTTATTATAATATACAGAAAAAAGCTTATAATGCAGTGCTATTTTGTGCCTTTTTCTGCCTCTCTTCTACCAGCACAACACACTCATGGCTTAGCACAAAAAATTGCACAAGTGTATGTGTTTAGTATGTAATTCATAGAAGTAGAGAAAAAAAAATGTCTACATGCAATGCTCCCGTAACATGCAACAACATTTATGGCTCGGATAAAATATTACTGTTTTGCAGGATTCGAATATTAAAATTGGAAAAATGTAAATTTTCCCGAAACGAATTTTCAAAGCTCTCTGGGTGGGGTTGTTTTCTTCTCGTGGTGGAAAATTGTGTGTATTTTGCGAGTGTAGAAATATTCCAAGTAATGTGAAAATTGTTTCTTCTTTCCATGCTATTTCTATGTTTCATTATATGTAAAAAATGTGTTTTTTTGTCCCCCTTTTTTGAGTGGAGTAAAAAGTGCGATGAAATGAACGAAAATGATTTCTCAGCTTTCTCATTCACTCTTCAAAGAAGCTTTCGTCACTTTTGGTGGATTTCACTCAAAGCGATATAATGGAACTTCACAGTCTCCAAGGACTTTAAGGATTTCAATGCAGATTAATTGCAAATATTAAAGCAAAATGCAGTTCAATGCTAAAAGCCAGACAATTGATTGAAATCATTCGAAAGTTGCAACTAGATTTCTATGTCTTTCAAGTTATCCTTCTGTGGCTCCTGTGTTGTCCTGCTGTTATTTTCGCCACTGTTCTCTGTGTTCAATTGTAAGCAAGTGTGCTAAGAAGTGGAGCAGCGTGAGAAGTGGCCAGGAGAAAAAGGACAACAGTGAGAAAATGAAATTAGAAAAGGGATTTCTCATTTAGTCGGTGCTTTTTTTTGTCCCTTTTCCGCCATCGTCATGCTCTCATGAGATATTTTTCCTTGGGGTTTCCACCATAGCGCCGCACAACCCTCATTTTCAATACCTCGAAGGCTGAATTTGAAACATTGACCCAGAATGGTCTCAAGAAAAGTCTCACCACATTCAAGGATCTTTCCATCACAGTGAAAAACACTTTTGCCCCATTTCTTGCGCCACAACGTCTTCAGGGTGTGGATTTTAATTGAACAGATGGATGGAATGGGGCGTGTGTTGTTTCTATGCTGGTGAAAAAGTTGAACAGCGCGCGCGAGAGAGCTTTTTTCCGGCGTGCGGCAAGCAAAAGAAAAAAAAGGCTTCAGCCACTATAAATACATGCAGAAGTATGGCATTTTTACCCTAAACACTGGCAGTGAAAGCGCATTTCTTAATGAAGATACGAGAAAGAGAAAAAGGTGGGACAAGAGACATGCTGTGAAGGAGTTTTTTTTTCGAGAAATCATAAGGAGAGAGAGAAAAAAAAGTCATAAGAAAGCACTTCAATTTGAGAAAGCTTTGGTCTCTGAGATAGATTGTCTGCGACATCTTGTTTTCCACAACATTTTGCACTGCTTTCAGCATTTGTCCTCCTTTTCTTCAATCTATCTTGACGACATCCTCGCGTCGATCTTACACACTAATAGCTTGGGACCAAGCAAACGAGCACAAAATCACAAGAGAGATGTAAAGAGAATGGTGAGGAATTTTTTCCAACATTTTTCAGTATAAATATTCTCTCCTCATTTTTTTTTTCTTTGGGGTGGTGGAAATATGAGAAGTTGTAATAATGTATATTTCTTCTGACTAGTGAAGAAAAGAAATATGAAAGGAGGTGAATAGATTTGATAGCGTGAACAGAAATAAACCTGCAAATGATTATTATCAGTGTGAGAAATAAAGTCTAACAACACTCTCATTGTACTTCTGAGGTTTTGTGATTATTTACACGAATACAGGCGGGCAATGGGTCACGTTTTGTAGTGACTTTGATCTCTTTGGTAACATCATTTTCATGTACTTTTGTTCATTTGACAAACTTTTTCTCGATATGGCAAAAATTTCTTGTATACATTTTGCCATTCTTGAGCTTTTGATTTGGTTTCCACTCGCCACAATCGCCCACATACAAATGCAATTAATAATGCTAAAAATGATCGCTTTGTGTGTTTCTCTGCCATCTTCGTCTTCCACCGAGAATGTGTCCTCAACCACCAGGAGAAGGGATGATCAAAAGCACGAGCTTAGGAATTATGGGGTTGTTATTCATTAGAGTCAATTTGAGGCAGAATTCAGGATCTCTCGCGCGTACAATTTTGCAATAACTGCGGCGCTTTTACTGCAAAATTTCACACTAAATTGTCCTCCCTTTGTGGGAGATGTTTGGGGGTGGAGGGAAGCCATACACTTCCGGGCATAAATATAAATCCACTCGCTAATTCAGATATTCCAGTATGTGTGTGTGAATAAAAGACCATTAAAACCACGTTAATAGAGCCTGAAATACAATAGCCCATGAGCAGCGGCAACTTTATGTTATGGACGATAATTAAAATGTTTATGGATTAAATTAAATTTCATGGTTCGACGCGCCGCAATTCTCAACATCCAAAAGCGAAACTATCATGTCAAAAGAGCGCAGTGGATCTATATTGATGGCTTGGAGTGTATCATCTGAGAGATGCTTTTTTATTCGCTTCTGATGCCATGCAAATGTATTTAGCCATTAATGGAGCAATTCTCAGTCACACAAGGAATGTAAGAAATGTGTTAACTTAGTTTAACACACGCCTTTGCTATTCTGAGTCACACATGTTAAAAATTTTACCACTCGTGTTATTTTCTATTCTGGCCAACATGTGTTAAACCATTTTCATTCGTCTGAATGTATTAATATTAACACGATCTCCAGAAGTTGTTTCATTTTTCAGTGTGTAAAAAGCAGAATAACAGATCGAAATCTGCTAATATCTTGCAATAATGAATCAATCTGTCATTGTGAGTCTCATTTAAGGGCATAAACATGAAAGATATTTGCAGTAAATTCTTTTTATCATGGATTTACTAAGTATGAACTGGAATTTCACGATTTTTTTCCTTTATTTATTTCGAATGGTTAACTTTAACATGTTTGAAGTTTAACATGTGTCTGTGTGTGACTGAGAATTTCTCCATAAATCTATATTAGAGAAAATAGAGAATCATTAGCAATTCCGTTCTCTCTGGGCAGGACGCATATGATTTGGCCTCTCAGGGACTCAATTGCCGGGTCAGAGACGCACAGGTCAACCAGTCACTGTCCAGACTTGCGTGCGTTCTGGAACATAACACAAATACAGAATAAAGAAATCGGCTGGCTATGGGCAGGGGTGGTTCTCTGGCTCTAAATAACAGTCATTTGCGACTCTCACATGATCAATGAACCATTTAAAGTGGCCTAAATTTCGCTCCACTAATGCCGTATCAAAGGTGAGGGAGAAATGATGACGAAAATCATACATAAAGTTCGGTCATTGTGAATTCTCTCTATATATATATATGGTTGGTTCCATCATCCACTGTCGTATCTGCAATTTTTCTGTAGTTTCACGTCTTTCGGTTGATTTTCTTTTGGGATTCTAAGTCATTTTATTGATGAAAATAAGCTGAAAAACCGTATTTTCACTGTCAATTTGCAGAGGTTCTTTTGCAGTTACGACAGCGGGCTTTCGAACCGACGATATATGTGATGAATAAAACATAAATTTGATTATATCCCAATTTAAATGCAACATCAATGTGTGATTAAGCGAATGAAAAATAATGGTAATAAAAAGGAAGACTTTCTGAGACATACTATAAGTTTGTTTCGTTCTCATTGATAAACAAATATATACGCATATATATATAAATTTTCATATATATATCACTGGAATGAAAAACAGATAAGAAACAAGGATCTGTGTGAGGGTGATAAAAGCCACAACGTCTCTTCTCAAATCACATAATTTGAATAATTATTGTTTTAGAGTGAATTTTGAGAAATGAAACAAAGTTTACGGTGAAAAATGATATTTTTTTTTTTGAAAATAAATATTCATAGAGTACAGACAGGAAACACTGACAACATAAAACAGAGACAGAGATTTGGTGAATTGTATTCTGAAGTAGCGGACAATAAGTCACTGACAAAACCGATTTGATTTGTGAACAGAAAAGAACCCAAAATCAATATTACTATTTTATAGTTTTTTTTGGTGTAAATTTCTGTGTAAAATCACGGCCTTTCGAATTGATATAAGGGGGTGGTAAAGGGGGTGTAAATAACTGAAATTAACAGGGGTAAAACTGAAAGACATGTAAAATTTTGGGCGAAAATGAAGAGAGAGAAAAGAAAAGTGTGAAACTGAAAGTTGAATAATGGCCTTTAGTTTGTCAAAAATACTGTCTTATTACTATACTTTTGTTGGTGAGATAAGAATAGAGGAAAAGAGAGAGGTAAAGGTAAAGAGGTTGAGTTGTGTACCATGAGAACTTCCGAAACTGAACTGATACTCAAGACATACATGGTGACGCCGACTTCCACGGGGGGACCTGAAATATGTGGTTACACTTAATACACTAATTGCATTATGGCTTAAGTCTTAACAATTGCTTCTTATTTCTCAAAACAATTTCCTGTCAATTTCCTTATCAAGTTACCAACTGTGTTTCAGGGTGGCAATTCTGGCGCCACTTCACAAAACACCCACTCTTTGGCGGATGGGAATTGTAAAGGGTGAGAATTGGACTCAGAGAATCGCAACCCTTATCAATCTCTCCTATAATCGGGAGGGGGGTTGTATCGAAGGGAGGACTGTGAAGAAGAAGAAAAAAAGTGTCGCTGACGAGGGATAATCTCTCTTTGGCAAAAAAACTTCATACACAAGGAGACTGAATGAAAACCAAATCAACAGACGTGGTAAATCGCACAGCACAAAAAAAATGTCTTTGTCGAATGTGTCGAGACAAGGTGGATTTGTCACGAGTTGTAAGAAAAAAGTGCTAATTCACATGAAAATTCTTTCATATCTTTTTCCTTCTTGCAAAAGGCTGTCTTTTGCAACATTTGCTCAATGTGTCCCCATCGCCTGCGCAGTGTATGTCCTGTAACATTAATTCCACTCATTTTCTCTTTTACATCATATACATAATTATACACTATGCTTAAGTACATAAGTGTGTGTGTGTGTTGTGTGACTTGGTGAGCTTTCTAATTTTTCATCTAATAATCAAACTTTTATCTCATTCGAAGGCACTTTTTTCGGGTCATTCCGACGAGGCGCCGCACAGAAAGAACATATTTTTCATGTTCTCTCTTATCACTTATTACACATTGCTTTCTTGCCTCTTCACCACACACACACACACCACGCTTTTCTTTGGTGGTGTGTTGTTCTTCTCTCCGCGGTGACGAGAGGGAAAATGTGGGACCAACAACAAAAAAAAATAAGAAGCATATCAGCAAAACAACCCAAAAAATGAATAGTGACGGAGATTTCTCTATGCGCAAAATATCCAAAGAAGAAAGAAAATGATATTAGAGTGGAAAAAGGTTCAAAAGACAGCAAGAAAGCGAGAGATTTCATTGCACAGAGAGAGAGAGAGAGAAAAAAATAAATGGTGATAAAATTGATAAATTTCTACCTAAAAAAATTCTACTTATTTCTTGCGCCAACTCAGTAGATTTAAAAAATCTCATATTTTTCTAATATAAGTGTTATTAGTTTTCTGGCCATTTTTTTCTCCGTGTGAAGTTGGCAAAAAAAAGGTCGAGAAGAGAGAAAGAGAGAAAAAAGTATGTTGTCTTCTAAAATAAACTTGTGATTAACACGCAAAAAGTTCAAGAGTTCAGAGGCAAGAGTGTGACACTTTCTATACACAATTATACTTTTGCGAATGTAAAACGCCTTTTTTTTCTTACGAAAAGTTTCATTATTATTCATATGCGAGATAAAAATTACGTGAAACGGTGAATAAGAGAAAGAAAAAGAATTTTCTGGAGCAAAAACAGAGATCTTAACAAGGGGAATTTCAACATTGAAATGATTGGAGGAACACAGAATGAGATAAATGATAAAAATTCACACATTTTCTTTTTGGATGGAGAGAGAGAGTCCGTGATGAAATATTAAAAATAATTGACTACGCAAAGGGAGAATGTGGGCTGGAGGAGGCGAAATGATAGTGAGATGGTGTGGAAGAGGAATGACCAAGAAAAGAAAACGCAGAAATTAAGAGCTTTCTCGTGTTACACAAAATCTTTATGAAAAATGTAGCGCTTCTCATTTTTGATGGTGTACGTAAATATTTGAGTTGGGAAAAAAGAAGAGAGCGGAAAATATATCACTTGTGAAAAGGTAAATGAATGGCACTGAAGGTGGCAAAATGGTGAGAAGAAACAGAGAGAGAGAAAAAGGAAAAAAAATGGAGTAAAACAGAAAAAAGATGAGGAAAAAGGTACAAAGTCTTCATGTACCATTTTGACTTCAGACAGCGAACTTATGGACAGCACATACATGGTGACTCCAACTTCTACCGGAGGTCCTGAAATACGGATAAGTAGTAGGAAAAAACACGCTATTGTTGCCTTCTTGGCTTCTTATAAATTCAGTCTTTCGTCTCTAGTTTCTTTATGGTTACAATATAACACACTAAGTCAGGGGCGAGAGAGAGAGAGAGAGAGAGAATTGGGAAATAGGGGTGTTTTCTACAATAAAGCTTTTCACTGCTGCAAGAGAGCTTTAATCGCTTCATTCCGGGCATGGATAGAAAATAGATTTGGCGCTCTAAACACATAAAATTGGATATGATGTTGAGCTTTGCTCATCCGTGAATGTCCTTTGTGAAATATTACACTCTCACACACACATAAATTATCCTCTGTTATCTAATCTCCAACTACCAGAGTTTATAATTAGACTCTATTCACGACTCAATCAGCTCAAAGAGAGTCTCTTGAAATTCCACATGAAACTATTTTTTAATTATAGACTCTCACACTTCTCCACATCCCCTTATTCCGCCCCCTTTTGCCGAAGGGGTGTGAGTATTTTTAATGAGATTGCCAGTATCATTAGACACGATTTTCAATGGAGCAGGTAATAATTGATTTTTTTTTACCTCTTCTACAGCAATGCACGGCTAGAAACCGGACGTGATTGCTATTGACCCTTTCCGGACAATGGAAACACACTTTTCCTCGAGCAGAGGGTCAGGCTTTAAGGGTGGCTCAGGGAGGTTTTTTTTTCCCGAATAAGGCCATTGTGCGTGGTTAACATAGCAGAAAATCACTGTGGGAATTTCTAGAAAATAAATTTTTTCTTTCCTTCTACACTGAAACATCTCAATCCTAACATCGGAGGTTTTGAACTTACGATCGTGACAATGATTTCTAAGAAACTCATGGGAATTTTCCTGGGGTTAAACCGTGCTTTGTTGTTGTGCAAATGCATAAAAGTTTCACTCTTTGAATCGTAAAGGAAGTTTTTTGCATTATTAAACTTGTTATTAAAATTAAAATATCAATTTTACAGATTTGTTTATAGTTTTATAACGCGCTCACACACTATAATTGCACGGTGTTTCCAGTGCTTTTATGGTAGCCTTTTTTTTATTCGCCATGAAGTTAATTAAATATGTAAAATTTTATTACTCATTAACCGGCAGTTGCTATTAATTAAACTATCGCGTAAGCTTGCAGTTTTAATAGTGTCTGCGCGCTTAATGAATCCTTTTTCTTATCATCCGCGCGATTTGGGAAATCGGAGAAAGAAGTCCGGATAGTGCGGTGGAAAAGAGTTCGGGACTGATGGGGTCCGAGGGGACTCAGAGAGAGGGAGAGAAAGGGTGGGAAAAAGTGCGAATCGTGTGGAGGAAATCAAGGAAAATGAAGCGACTCGGTGTGTTGTTGAAAAGAGAATATAAATGACGGACAGCAGCGGGATGTTGCCTAGAAAGGTCGGCATGGTTACCATAAATCGATCGGTGAGATGTCGACGAGAGGCGAAAGCCCAGCAAAAGCTCTGGGAGCACAACTATATATAACCACTCTCTCTTGGGTACATATAAAAAGGGATATATAAATGCTCCAAACTCTACATAATGTATCTCTATAGCATCTCTCCCCGCTTTCGCTATACATATACTGTACAAAGGATCCGCCCTTGTTACTGACACATTCTACTGCGAGGCGACTGGAGTATCGGAGTCTGTGGGGGTATTGCGTCTGGCAAGGCGGGGGTGGGCACTTCTCGCTGGGTATTTATATTTCTCCTCCGCCGCAGACTCCCATCCGGCGCCGCTGTAGCCGCAGCCTGGGCCGCGACTCCTCTCATCCGCAAGTAATGCTCTTGTGTGTGTACCGAGCTATTTATGTGTGTTTTGTGTGTTGCACAACAAAAATAGAACAAAACCCGAGCTACTAGGCGCCCCCATCGGGCCTCCCGCGGCTTTTTCGCCTCCCCGCGCTATGCCTGCGCTTGCAATGATTCTGCAAGAAGTGCCGCGCGGTCCAGCCCCAAATGGCCCGCAGGGTGACGGGGCAGAAGTGGTGTGGCTTAAGTACAGTGTGACAAGTCTTACGTAAGGCGAGCAGCAGGAAAAGAAATGTCTTACCTCCATAGTTTGGTCTTACTCTTTTGTCATAGCTAATACTGAAGGAGTCCAGAATAGCCGATATGTTGACGTCGCCCAGCATACTTCCACCCCCGGTGCTGTGAAGAGAGAAGGGAGGGTGGAAAATTGAGAAATTCCCCTGCGGAGCTTTTTTCAGGGTAATAAATTTCAACTGAGAAATTACTATATCAGCAGAGCATAAATTGACAGAGCTTTCGGCGGGGGGAGAGCTTTGGGGTGCAACACACCCCTCGCAACAATAGTGAGCTTTTCATCCCCCCTCCCCCTCCGCGCCACTCACATTGTGCCATCTTCAACTATGGATGATTAATATGCCACGCATTAAAATGTGGCAAAAAGCGCGCTCCGCGCCAGATCAGCACGACTGGGTGAGAAATAAATGAGGAAAAATTACCCTTCATTCATCTCTGGGAAATGGGATTTTTCCATATACACTTCAAGTCGCGTATCTATGCCTAAATATCTGCCATGGAAAATTGAACTCGGGGATTGTCTATGTGCCTAACAAACCATGTCTGATGCCCGGAAGGCAATTGTATACAACTGCCGTGATAGGTCACTTTGGTTTGTAGATTAGAGGTTTATATTTATGATATTTTGGCAATTGATGAGCCCCTAAAGAAGAACTAATGCATTCTATATTGGGTCTCAAAAATCTCTGCAAGAGAAGCCACAAGATGAGCGCTCTTTGAGGACGTGAAACGAACCCATTTTTTCCCTTATTTTCCCAGTGTAGAACTTTTCTTTCTGACGTGAATTCCAGGGCGTAGGGCGGCAAGTGTCTGTGTGAAGGCTCTTTTCCCATCAATCGATGGAGGGGGCCACAATGGGGCTTGGAGTGCAGGAAAGGAGAGGCTGTGTGGGATCAATAAAACAACAAGTGCCGCACTCGTTAAGATTGTTCTCTTAATTGAATTGTTTCCCACTTCACATAAGACGAAGAGGCACTTTCACTCTGATAGCGCGCCCCTCCGCACCACACCCCCCCGCAACGCTGAGCCACTCTACGGGGAGCTGGGGTGCCATGGAGTGCCTCGATATCCCTGAAGACTCCTCCAGCAGCCAGGCTTATCGCAATGTTTGCCCTGTGTGTCGCTCACGTATCGATTTTATTCTTGGGGATGCCACCCCGTGTGGCATGGGGCGCAGACTTGTGCACGCTCTCTCCCTCGTTCTATATTGGGTGTAAAGTGTGCGCCATCGTATGGGAATGCATACATACTGAGCTCTTGTGTACACTCATGGCGAAAATATGCTCATGCGGGACTTTTTGGCTCATGTGTACTCAAAGGTGGGTCTCACACACCCCCCTTTTGCATTGTAATCTTGGGCGGCTCTCCCCTTGCCACACTGGGGCGCTCTGACGGGGGGTTTGGGGCGCTTAAACTTCTAAATACTCACGCAGCATCGACAAGTGCCAGCCTCCTTGACGGGGGTACAAATATGACGAAGGTAAGTACCACCCAGAGTGCTCCGAATTGGGCTTTCGACAGAAGTGTATCCTTCAATAGGTGCATGTTGATCACTCGGTGTGTACCTTGTCAGTGTCGCTTAATCCACTTGCAGCCTCTCTCGTGTGGTCTTCGGGGGATGAAATATCGCAACACCCCCAATGCCAGACGTATTATACGGGTGCCGTGCTATGTAGGTTTATATCTCTTGACGACAATGTGCCTTGCGCCCCCCCTGAATGCACTCTTGTCACCCCAATTGTTTCATAGAGAAGCTCATCTCACCGAACACACTTCTCCCAATTAGTGTTCAGCATCACATATTGATCTGCACACAGATGAATTGGGTACTCCATTTTTTGTGCCAAGACGGAGAAAGTCCACAGTCTCTCGCGCGAGGGCGTTTTCTCAAGGGGGCCTGAAGAAAAGGACACTCTCAGAGGTGCAAATGGCCCTTCATTCTGCGCTCAGTTCCATCATCGGCTTTGCCAAAGTGTCCCCACTAATCGCCTCCATTGCACTGGGGCTTTTTAGTAGCGTGAAATGGAGCTTTTCTTTTTTGACACTATATATACTGTTTTGATTCTCGACTCCGCACGGCTGGGCGGGGTGGCTTTCTGTGGTGAAATTATTTTTGGTTGGGAAAAAAGGGAGTGTGCTGCGGAGATGACTTTGCGATGGGGCGCGAACTAATGCTTAGGAGAGAACCGATTCTGGATGGCTGGGATGTTGTACAAGTGGCAACCAAAGGTGGTGGTGAAAAAATTTCCCTTTTACACGACACACGACAGCCGTAACAGACAATTTTCCGCCTTGCACTAGCAAAAATGTTGGGCGGGACACGGAAAAGCAAAATTCTCACCACCACACTCACTACGGCTCACGCACACTGGCGACCCGTCGAGGAGAAGACCTTCTCGTGTCGAGCCTCGCGCCTGCGCCCATGCAACCCCCTATGTACACTCAGGGCGATATATGCACAGATATAGAACTCTGCCTGCGCGTGTGTGTGTGTGTGTGTGTGGAGCTTTCCGAGCTTGGGGAAAGAGCACACAAATTGCGAGCACTTTGTCGATTTTTTTTTCTTCTCTGACCCTCCGTGGCAATTAAAGTGCCTGTGTCGCTGCCGTGGTGTCCCAAAATGTCCCTTAGCCGAGGGGATCCACCTGCGAGGATGATACTTAATAATTTACTTAAGAGGGCTGCGCGGGGTGATGGCCTTTTTTGGGGTGTGTATCTGGATTTCTCACACTGTCCCTTACAACTCTCCCTCTATATGAGGTTTTAATCACAGCTTTTGAGCACGGGTTATTCCTTAAAAACTACTCTCCTTGGCTTCCCTTTTATCCTTTTTTTTCACTTGAGTTCACAGTGCTTTCTTCCCCCAACTAAGTACGGCTTTAGTGTCTTTACGTCTTGCAAAATGGCCTATCTCCTGGTGTGAACATCATCCGTTGTCACATAATTCTCTTCCTTTCTTTCTCTGGTCTCTCCGGGAGAAATTCGCCCACCTCAGGCGCGACTATCACACGCGAAATATTGAAACACACTTTTAAATCATTTTTTCTCCTGCAAGTTTTTCACTCCAGTCACTTAACTTTAGCATACGCCCGCGAATCGAGTTGTGTAAGGTATGAAAGTTCCATTCGATCTACAACCGTTGCACGAAGCACAGTTTCACGGAGCGAAATTCGCGAACGTACTTCTTGAATTGAATTTCTCACATACGTCATAAGGATTGCGTTCAATTTGGCCACCCTTAGACGGCACCCCGGCGCACAGTGACACACGGGGCGGTGCGCCCAGTCTAAGGACTTGTTTTGAGCGCAAGCGTTTTCCCCGGGAATCTCTGTGGAAAGCTCTGTATTTGGGATATTGATTTGTGCGCGCCCAAGTTGTGATTTCTCCAACCATATTTTCGAGGGCGGCAGTGGGGCAATATTTACACTGGGGGCCTCACTTTTTCCCGCTGTCGTGGTGACGCACACACACTGGCGAAATGTAGGCGACCCCCAACGGTCAGGTGAATTGAAGAATTCAATCTGCCACGCACCGTGGCAAAAAAGCTCAAGTCCGGGCGCTTCGGCGGAGGGGAAAAACTGCCACTGAAGATGGAGAGACATATTTCATATTCGTAGAGAATGGCTCTAGGAATTTTTTTCTCCCCGAGCCTCCACAGATGCCGTTTTTGCCAAAATATGCTCGGCACATGCCTTTTGCGACGGTAGAAAATGCGATGGAGACGCCTGGTTGACCCGGCGTCTCTCTCTCTCGTCGATCAATAAGCGAAGGACCTGCTCTCGCGGATTTTGGGGATATTGCGAATTGAGAGTTGAGCTGCTCTTTAATTTATGTGCCCGAAACTTTTTAATGAAGAAATCTGTCCACACTCAAGCGGTCGCTTGCTTATTTTTCGACAGGGTCGATGAAGGTGAAACCATTTACAGCAAGGCGACACATATTGGGCGGGGCTTCTGAGTGGGCGTGGCATTTCGGCCAGCAAAAGAAGAGCCACAGAAGAGCTATGGTTTATTTGTAAATAGACTGTTTCAACTTACGTTTTGTGGACGTCGTAGACAGTTTGTGTCAAAGACACAACATTGAGGAGCACAGAGGGAAAAGCCGTGTGTTTTTCTTACCCTGCTTGGTGGTTCTGTATAAAATTGCGGTAGAAAATCTGCAGCAAACATCCAACTGCTCTCATCTCACATCGCTTCCCTTTGCTGGCGACAAGAGCATATTATTTTCAGTGTGATGTAGTTGCGGGGGGTGAGATGAGCGCCCCGGCTAAAAGGGGCATCCATTCCTCCCTGGAGAATTATTCCGCCCCACCCAGCGACCCCACATTCCCGGTCGCTTTTATTTATTTATTCTGGAGTTTCCGCGGAAAATGTCAAAGTTGAACGATGAGGACGCCTGGTTAACCTGGCGTCTCCATCGACGCTTCTTTTTTTTCGGGGGAGGGTGAGCGATGAGTAAAAGAGAAACAAGATAAAATTGACATTCTTCTGTAACATAATTCATTTTTATTTACTTGTGAGTCTCCGAATTATTCTCTCCACTGTCATGGGCTTGGGGAGAACATACAATTATTTTTAATAAATCTTCTATGTACACCAGTCAGTCCAATTAAATGTCGTAAATATTTCATATTCCATCTCATCTCAGTGGAAACAATATAAATTCACTCTTCACCCTTACACACACTGTCTCTCTCTCTCGCTTTCTCTTGCTCTTATCTATGAAATCAGTTAATTTCACTAATAAATACTTTTCTCGTCGCGCGGCTCCTTTTTTCACACTCCGCAATTATGGCGCGCAATATAAATATTTTCCAAGGGATAGAGAATGAGATTTCAAGTGTAAACAATACTCTTCGCACAAGGAGGGGGATATATTAATGTTTGCTGATGCGAATAATTTTACGAGGGTTATTATTGTGTTTTATTCCACTGGCGATAATGACTCTCGTGGGTGTTTCACTGGCGAAAATGTTATAAGACAGAGAGATTTCGGGGCGGATATGTATATGTAGCAATGCTGGGGGATGTGTTTACCGCAAAATGAAATGCTACGCGAATGAGTGTGTCTTCCGTCATAATTGCATTTTTCCATCCGCCGCCAAGACAGCCTCAACCTTCTCTTCGCCTCTCCATTTACCTTCTCCAAAAAAAAAACCATACTTCAGTCAGCGCGAAACTGTGGACTTGATTGTTGTGAAGTGCTTTTCCGCCTTTCACACGCGAAAAGCCTTCTGCCGAGGCCATGAAGCCCAGGGTTGCAATGATCATTTGCACCCTCCTCCCCACACATTCTATGCCCTTTTCTAAGAAAAGCACCTCACATTTCCCTCTCTTTCCCGCGCCCTTTCGTCACGAAGAGAGCACTGAATGTATGAAAAGTGTTTGTTTAGTTTAACAATTACGAAAAATATGTACAAACTCACCTCCAAAATTTAAGCGTAATCTCATCTGAGAGATTCATCTTACATTTATTTATTGTGTAGATTAATTAATATGCGTTCACGATTGAACATGACTTGACGATTTTATCCATCCTTTTTGGGGGGCAAAATGAAGACTATGTACAGGTAATTAGTGTGATTCATCCATTTTCACTCTTAGTACCACAGTAATAAATTTCAATTTGGATATGATTATAACAACTATCTATGACAGCATTTAATGTAACTACTAGGAATTTTCATTTTGTGGATTATAATGTATAATGTTTTTTTTTCTCTTTGTAAGACAATAATTTAGGGGGTGGATTTTAGACTTTTTCATTCATCTTACGATTATTCTTTTCATTATATTATATGTATAATTTATCTATTAAATGGGCATCCCTATAAAGAATTAATCTCCCAGATTCCGTGTAACTGATTTTGATTCGAAATCCGTTCCAAGAAATTTCCACTGACATTAAGAGGGGTTTCTTTGGGAAAACATATAATGAAAGCATTACACTAACAGCAAGTCACATAAATTTACTACAAAATGCTCATGATTGACTGATAAAAAGTGTGTTTGATTGATTAAAAAATATAATAATTGGCTTAATTCATGGGAAATTTCACAGAGAACATGGGATAAATCGCATGAAATTCCTCAGCAAACTCCACTGGGCGTTCTTTATAGGGATCTCAATGGAGATTTGGTATGACAAAAAGATGTTTTCTTTGATGAATATCTCAAATGTTAGAAAATAATGTTATATCATTCTCATTTATACAAAAAAAAAGAACCGTAACACAAACTCCTGTATTCGCATATAGCATGTCCGGGGCCTGAGCGTCCATTTTCGCCAAAATGACTCCCTCATCGTAATAAATTATTGTGTGTATCCTTAGCAAAAAAAGACGCCCTCTCACGAGTGATACGGAGAGGCCACGTCATGAACCATCAGTGGATTTGATTTAGAAGTGTGGGTGTTGATTGTGCCTTCCACCGTCGGCCCGCCAGTTTGCGTCCCCGTGGCTCAGGTCTCGAGGTAGGGGGATGACGATGACCCGACAGGGTGTCGATTGAGGGTGTCGTGGCCCAGCATTTTCTCCGTCTCCTGGCGGCTGTTGGCCAATATCCGGCGTATCGATGGGGCGCAGGGTGGCCGTCATAGGCGGGACTCCTGCGCAAGTTCCCGTCAGACCTGGACATGGGGATTGCCGTGCATCTGGTCCGGTGGTTCGACATGGCCCGGCATCTGGCTGGACGGTGTGTAGTACTGGCGGAAGAAAATACCGTGAAATTGGTGCCCAATTGTTCTCCCCATTCAGCAAAACTCACCCCAACACGCCCATTATCAAACTCTCGGCCGGTCATTTGAATTGTTAATTTGGGCTTTGTTTTCACAGCGTCCATTTGGCTGTTTGTCGAGCGACTCTTGAAGCAAAACTCCACAAGGGCCACCATGAGTGCGAGCAACAGACCACCAATTAGGATGTAGAAGATGCCAGCGACATTGCTCAGCGATAACTCATTGTAGGATGTATCGAACTTGTCGTGGCGACACTCGGTGCGATCGTACCACCATTTGTTCATCAGCTTGGTCAGCTCACCGGTCTCCTTCAGCGACAGCACGGCCAAGTTTATGGGGTCCCTGAAAGAAATGCACCACCAATCAGTCCACGCTCTTCACGTCGCAATATCCCCGCGAGTTCACTGTCAGTGTCTCAACTGGCGAAAGCTCGCGAGAGCTTCGCTACACCACAAAGCTCCGCGCGAAGAGTTTGCGAGCTTTCGCGCAGATGTCACCCCCAACCGGGGGAGCTTTCCCCCAAAGGGTTTCCCACGCAGCCAAGAAATGTACCTCCGAAGGCACAGCACAATCAAAACTGACCCTCGTGCTTGACGGAGATAGATTTTTGGGTCACACTTCCTGAACAGCTCCTCTGTCAATATCACCCGCATTTGGGAGGCCATGGAAAAAAAAGTCCCCGAGGAGTCAGAAAATGATTAATTGGTGCAAATTTCTGACTTCTCAATAACTATACTCTCTCTCTCTCTCTCTCTGTTTGATGGACAGGCGGACGTGGACTTGCTCGTGCCGAATTGGCAGCCGCAATGCTAATTAAGGGAGAGAGAGAGAAAATGGGTCACGATGAACAGTGAAAAACTTTGTGGATTTGCAAGAACTTATCACAAACACCCATGAATTATGCACACTTCTCATCAGCTCAACATCCAACCGGAAGACGGTCAATCGATTTAATGCCGCCAGTGCAATGTTTAAGTATGAATTTTAACAATCTCTTCAAAACACACACACATAAATTCCAACTGCGGAAATTTGGGGGAAAATATTGGCATGTGGCAGAGTATTTCATGAATTTAATTAAAATTTTGAAGGTGAGATGATTCACAGTTAATAACTAAACCCCGCGCTTAGAGAGGAAATGTGCTGATATTACGCAACTCAAGGCGGAGATATTATGGTTAGCAGTGATGTACAGCGCAGTAGAAGTATTTGGAAGTGCTTTCAAGTTACTTTCAAAAGGAATTACTACAATAATTGATGAAAAAGAGCTTTTTTTTACATTTTTATAGGTTATGTTGTGAATTTAAGACAAATTTTGCAATAAAATAACCTCTAAAATCATTCATTCCCGTCGCTAAGCTGATGTAATTTGCTATTTACTGACTCAATAATAATGAAATCTGTTGGAAATTACAAGCTTTCAATGTTAAATTGATGTTTATTATGCTGAGATTGATCATAACCTCTAAAATATTGTTTCAGGATGCAAAAATGTCTATTTCAAGAGATTTTTGATTGATTTTCTACTCTGAAACAGAAAATTTCAACTTATTGTCAATTGGTTTAGCCTTTGAAAAACTCCGAATAAGTTTCTTTCAAGGATTCTTTTGTATATCTCAAAGTATTTTTTAGGTTATGTTCGAAAGTTCATCCAAAAAGTATTTGAAAATTAAATCACATCAAAATATCCGCTGGAAACTTCAAATATTTCAAAAATACTTGCAAAAATGGCGTCTTTATGGGTCAAAGAGTCCTAAATTTGAGGTTATGATACTTTATACGGTTGCAAAAATAAGGAAAACGCATGTTTTCGGCACTGCTGAAGTTCCGCAAGTGTCTGTGATTCTTCACAGAAATTGTGGAAGTGTCAGGAAGTGGTGTACAGAGTTCAAGTCTTATTATCTCCCCCTTGACGCCACGAAAAAATTACATTAAAACTGAAAATTGAGTTGAAAACGTTTTTTTCATCATGTCACAAGGGAAAAAAGATAAGAATTTTTGGAATCTTTCTCGTTAATTCCTGTAACGGCTCTGCTGTGACCTTATTTCCACGATGAAAATGTAGCAAGACTCTGGCTTTGCTCATGTGGAAATGCATGAGTTTCCAAAATTCTAACGTATTGCATTGACCCATCCTATGGTTGCCCATAATCTTCGCATATATACAGTGCTTTGGAAAGCATTCTGCTTCTCATATTAGCATTCCTCCATCCCCAAAAGCGCCACATGTGAATACAGAGAGTGTGGGTGAATCCTATTAAAATTGTTAGACCTCAATTGAAATATCGTGGCTATAAGTTCTTGATCCGCAGACTATGCGTGGCATGAGATGTGTATCTTAATCTGTGCGCCTCACCTCAAGGGGGATCCGAGTGGTGTGGCGACGCCAAAGCCTTTGGCATCGAGATTACGGCCGACCTTCATTGTGTCGCACGGCTCTCGTTCATTAATATAATCATTCTTGGGTGATTCAATTAGAAGGGCGTATTTTCCTTTGGATGTTCTCACACGTCGCACACCCTCGTCGTAGGAGCGCACGAAGACCTGCTTCCGGGAGTTCATGTACTCCCACATTTTTGTGTACAGCGTTATTTGGGATCTCTGGAATGATGAAGAGGCGCTCATGTACTTCGGGCGCATGAATGATTTAAATTCCACAAAAGATTATATGTGTGTGGGGGGGTGAGAGAGAGAATGGAAGCGAGCGCAGAAAATCGTCAAAGACAAGTGCTTTTTGCATGGCGAAATGTATCCTTGTGAAGGGATTCCTCCACATGTGTGACGAGGAGTGATATAAGTTCATTAGCCTGCGGTTTGTTTGGTTGTTCGTAATTGCAGCGCGGTTTTTGTCTGTAAGAAAGTCTCTGGCTCGCTTTCACTCCGCCTTGCAAGACGCTCTGGCGCGTGGGCGAAGAAGATTCTTACCCTGAAGAAGTCCCAAGTGGCGCCGTGGTAGAGTGTGCCGTACTGAACGTCAGTTTGCGCCGCCAAGTCTTCCGGTGAGTCAATGGGGGAGGACATCCTCTCCAGTGTCAAGAAAGCGGCCAAATTAGCGGTGTAGGATGATATTAAGATGAGGGCGAAGAACCACCACACGGATCCGACAATGCGGCCAGATATGGAGCGTGGAGATATGTCACATCCCTGCTGCATGAAAGCTCCCAAGGCGAACCAAAATGAATTGAGAATACTAAATTCATTTACGACCGTGTGCGACGTTTGGCCCCCGGAAATTTGTTCAAGGTGGTGGCTCTCCTCTCCTGTTGGAAGTCACAAAAAGGAGCATGAGTGGAGGCGGCACACGGCGCAATACAAAGTGTTGTATTAAAAAAAAGGCGCAGAGAGAGCTTCGGGGACACAAAGGAATGAAATTGAAATTTTTCACAAGGATGGATGGGAGTTTACATCGCATTTAGAATTTACATCGTCTGCTGAGGGGTGCCTATTAAAAAAGAGAGCTTTGTTTCTTGCCGCACACACAAGGAATCACTGCTCGGCGGGGACAAAAGAGGAGCAGCCGGGGCTGGGAAATGGGGGGAGGAAACGGCGGAATATTACGGGTGGCACATGGTGGCTCCTCATTTTTATCTCTTACCTGTGGAACTGAATAATCGCCATTCGTAGGGAGAGAATCTGGACACAATAAAGAGCACAATGCTCACGCCGAAATAGCTGAGCAGCACGCAAACCTGTGGATTTTAACAAATACACATCGTACAGGTGGTTGAAGTGGCACAGAAAAATATATACTAAAGATATCACTTCGTGGGTATTGCTCACTTTTCATTTTCCTTATCACAACACTGCATCGAATGGATGGGAAAATTGCTCAGGGGAACAAATGTGGATTTCTCAACTTCTTTGTTCTTCCACACATGAAATATTTCTCTTTCTCCAAACGGATTTCTTATTGTTTTGAAACAATGTTTTTTTTTATCAAGATTGCGGCAAGTCTCGAGTTACCCGATAATTTATGCAGAAATTCAATTGAATTGAATTGAATCGCCTTTAAGTAGTTGACGTCTTATGCATTTTTGGATAGATTTTAATGTTTTTTTGTACGTCTGAAAATGTTAGATTAAGTGTATCGAAAATTAAATGAAAGAAATTTGATTTATTTAATAAAGTTCAGAAATATTAGATCTTTTCAGTTGTTTTGCCTTCTTAAATCAACTTTAAATCTCTCAAAACGACAGAAATTAGTGTGGCATAATTTTGTATGGTGAAAAATAGTAAATAAGGAAAAGAATCTTATTGAATAATTCAAAATACTGAATAAAATCAATGAAATTATATGCAAGATCAGTCAAAATCTGGAAATTCTATTTGGAAAAGCAAGTTACATAATTATTATTTGGATAAAGAAAATAATAAATTCAAAATAAAGCACAAAGAAAACTATCAAAAATCGCATTATTGTACTTATTCTGCACATTTTAGTTAATATTTCAATAACTAACCAATGAAATCAACTAGAAGTTATAGAAAAAAGGAAGTTTATGGAAATCACAAAGCGATTTCAAGTCTCTAACATCAATTTGCTCTTCTGAAAAATGCCGATTTTGACATTTGCTGGTTTTCGAGGCACTTTTCGGTTTGAATTTCCCATTTAACGATGAAATTATCACAATTTATTCCACAAATGGGGTATTTTTATCCCAGAAACCAACGAATTGGGATGAAAAGGAATGAAACCAGATAAGGGTTAGATTAGTTTGACAAAGGAGTTATTATATTATTTAGAGAATGTTTCCTGAAACAATGCATGGAAAGAGGATTTTCTGAAAACCACTGAGAAAATGTGTAATTCTCTCTTATTAAGTTACTTAAAATACGCCATTCTTCGTGGTGAATTGAATTGAATCACAGTCATTGTATTGATAAATCCATCGATGCGAAATCATTTTACTATCTAGAGAAATTCTATTGCAGTTCTTTCTCTCTGGGAATTTGCATAAATTTCACGCATGACGTCCTCTCAATTCAGAGTCTCTCTCTCTCGAAGGACTCTGCTTATTTTGTTGGGAGAAAACTTACAAGGACTTGTGCATTCTGCATTAGTGCTCAAATTAAAAATTCCCTCAGGGTGCTCTCCTCTTCACTGGCACAGTGACCTCAAGGGTAGCTTGTTGACTTCGCGAAAATTCCCAAGTGGCGGGAAATAAATAATTCTCCACCCTCTCGTTTCTTTGCACATACTTGTGACTTTTGATTTACAGCACAGGCGAATATATAAGTTTCTCTCCCTCATTATTCCTGTCTTTTCGTGCACTTGCACTTAAAACTCAAAATTATTTACACTGCCAAGTGGCGCGAAGAGTGTCTCGCAACATTGCATCTGGAGTGCCAAAGTGTGGGTGGGATTTGTACCCAATCCAAGACACGTGATAAGCCAACGCGTACGTTCGCTTATCACATGACCACCAGACTCGATTTAAAGATGTGAGCTTTAAACCCCCATATCTCCCCTCCTATGATTTCAAGCCCCACAAATGGGGGTTCGTTGGAAAGGTCTCGACCTCAGCTACAACATACTAAAATTTGAAGAAAATTGAAGATCTAGTTTCCGAATTATTCGATTTTGAAACTCTGAAAATGGTTTTTTCGACTTTAGCGCCTCTAGCGGTGGTCCTACTAAGTTATGCTGTTCAGGTAGGATATGGCATTTTACGATACCTTTCCAATGAATACAAAATCATTCCGAACGGTTAATTATAACCGGAGTTAGAGCCATTTTGATTTTTGAAATATGGACCCTAATATCTAGGATCCGGAAGGACTTAGGTTCTTAAATGATGGTTCGTTCTTGAGGTCTTGATGCCAGCTATAACATACTGGAATTTGAGGCAGATCTATGTCATAGGGGGTGAACAAATGAGCAAAACGTTTTTTGAGGGTGTTCAAAATGACCGTCGGAGGGGTGGGGGGTTGGTTTTGACATCACTAAGTTCCAGCGACAGTAAGACTTTTGACCTTTGGTGAAAACCGCATGTCGATATCTATAACCGTTTAGGCACTACAAGTCGCTTTACGACGGATTTCGTCATAATTAGCCTCCCTGATGTCATTTTAGTCGATTTTGCGGCGTTTGATTTTTTGCGCGATTACAGATAGAGCTCAGAAGCTCAATGGTTGGGAAGCTATCGGCGAATGCATTCTGATCCGCGTTACTCTCTATATGCTAATTCCCAGCAGTTTATGAAATCCGGAGAGAACTTGCCAACATTTCCACCCTTGTCTTATCGCAATTTTATCAGTGGCAAAGTGTGCAAGAGAGAGAGAAAAGTTTTCCTTTTTATTATCGGAATGGATATTTCTGGTCCTGGGGATTCGTTGCTGAGTGACAGTGGAGAAGAAATCCGTCCCTTTTGAGCTATTTCGAGAGAAAATTGTGTGCCACGCCAAGCCGAGATGATTCCACCGAGATTGTCTCGGAGGGAGAAAATATGAGAAGAAATAATACCCATTCAAGTGGTTGCCACAGAGTGCAAAATTACCCAAATCTCCTTGGATAGCGGATTGAGGAAGCTGAAGACTCCAGGTTGCTGCTTCATGGGCTTCTTTATCATGATGGAAATGCCGAGCGACATGAAGGGTTTGCTGAAATCAATGACTCTCTCACGCTCGGCTGTGATCGTCATCGATGCGATTGCCACGTCAGCCTCATGTCTTATCAGCTCGCCAACCATGCCGTCCCAGCCGCCGGGAGCCTCGGAGTTCTCCGCGCCGTAGTTGCCGTCCTTGACGATGCGCAGCTCGTAGTTGATGCCCAGCCGCTTGGCCAGCAGCTCGGCCAGATCCTTGCAGTAGCCCTCGAAGCGGTCGTTGCCCTCCAGCACCTGGCCCGGCTCCGCCGCCCTCTCCATCATGTACGGCTCCTCCATGATGCTCGTCACGACGTACGTCCTGTTGCGCTCGATGTCCGAGTGCGGTCGCAGGCGGACGTACTTGGCCGCCACAGGTGTGAACCTGGAGACGTCCGACCACTCTGCCACCTTCACCATGGCGCTGTTGACAGTCATCTCCACCACATGCAGCGTGTAGTTCCTCCTGCACGCCAAACCGTCCGCAGCGAAGCGTATTTGGCCAGTTAATCCCTCAATTTCCACCTGCAAATTAGTATACAAAACAGGCAAACAATATCAAAAACGGTTAAGATTTATGAAAAACAGCCTGAAATTCATGAAAATTTCACAAAATGCAGTGCACAGTTTGTGTCTCACAAATTGCACCGCGAAAAGCAATAATAATTTGCTGTAAAACATCCATTTTGGGCAGAGCAAAAGTTCATAATAACACATCGTTATTATGGGAAATTAAATTCTCCACGAGCAACTATTTTTCAATATCACTTAATTGACATGACGAACAATTAGATTATGCTCCAGAATGATGCAGCAGAGTGTATAAATTAAATTGCAAAAGTTTCCGGATCAAACGGCATAACTCAGGTAAAATAGTTTGCAATATTATATCGATTGAGCCTCTCTTTCGCTCTAAACTCCCTCAGTGAGCCATTAAGTGAGCATTTCCGGTGTGGCAGCACTAAAGTGCATTAATTTAATGTGTATATTTTTCCCTGTACAAAATTTTTCATTCATATTTTATGCGGTGCAGCGCTGAAATATGTTTCAAAAGCCACCTAATGGGAATTAATTTTTCATTTTCTCATTTAACTGGGAAGCGCTGCATTGAAATATATTCGTTAATAATTTTAATTTTACTATAAGCTGTATAATTTTAGACAAAATTTTCACGCGATTGTTTCCAGGGAAAGCCGTGGAAAGCTCTTTTGCTTTAGAGATGAAGTGAAGTGATAAAATTTTGTCCCCACTTGAAATAAATCATAGATATAATATTCAAAACCCTCTTCTCGTGGCGAGAGTGTAATCCACGATGAAAATCACCAAGTTTAGCCATTAAAGTAATCTGATTGAGACATTATGAAGCTCCTCACGAAAGGACTCAATGGCTCTGGAGTGTATCTTTGATCTTGTGATTCAAGAAACACAGCCTGAGCCCTTTTTTTTCTTCTACAAACGCGACAGTAAATTTCGCCTCCGAAAATCCGATTCGCGCTGGTGGGAAAATGTATCGTGTAATTGAGTTTATTGTGCTTCTAAAACTTTTCATGTTTTGAATGACAAACTCTGCCAGGCTGTTGTGAATAGTCCAGTGGAGGCGCCTGGTGGTGTTCATTCATGGAAATTTGTGTTTGCTTGACAATCAATAGTTCTGCCAGTGTTATCTCAGTGGTTGCGATGCTGAGCAATTATTTACTGAAATTAGTTTTTTGATTCGACGACACAATAAATGGAACAACATCAATTGATTTAACTCATCAAAATACACGCGGGAAAAAAGCTCGAAAGCTTTGGCTGGAAAAGAGAAAAAGTTGTTCTTTCCGCCTCTCTTTGGACAATTTGCAAACTAAATACAAAAGAGTGTGAAACTTTTCTCCTGATTTTTCGGGGCCCTAAGAAAACTCTCAAGGACAATCATTATGTCAGCCACATTAGGAATTATTCAATATATATATATATGTGTTGAATTCCGTGTTGGAGCGGGGCGGAAAAGTGACAAGTCAGAGGCAAAAGTTTAAATGAGAAAAAGATCCTATTTGGGAAAATATCTTTATGCAAATGACTCAAATATAAAAGTCACATTTTGATTGAATATTTTACCATGGATTGAGTGTAAAGGAGGAGAAATGGTGAAATATTGCTCACAATGACAGAGAATAGCCCAGACTTTTGGGGTTTTACCAATATCGGGACAAGGAGAAAAGCCCACAGTGAATAGTGTGTGGCCTAAGGCGAGTGAGAAGGACAGTAAAAAAAAAGTCCTACATTGACTTCCATTTCCTCTTCCACGGACATTTCTATTGGGTGTGTCCGTGAGGTGGCTTTTCACACTCTTTCTCATCCCAAGAAAATTCCCCACTTTCTCAGCGACAGAGAAGGTTCTTCATTTCTTCTTCCGCAACTTTTTTCTTAGCTATTCCACGAGGGACGCCAATAAATTTCTCCGTGCGACCCGTCGAAATAAAGATGTGCCACTTTTGGGGGTGTGTGTTGGGGGAAAATTTGAATATATGGTGATTTCTGCGCTCTCCCAGTTGAGACTCACCTTTCTGAGATATCGGGAAATTTTATCGCCATGCTCCCACGGGGTGACCCAACCTTTGGCGGTGTTGCAATCCAATCCCCTGTTGTTTGCGGCTCCCGCGGAGCCACCAGATGCCATGGCGGCCGCGTAGGAGGTGTTGAACGGTTGACTTCGTCTTGTGGTGTAGCTGCGAAATTGGTCAGGCTTCTTCTGCAGCAGCTTATTGAAAGCTTCCACCAGCACGAACACAGCATCGTACATGAGTGCAGCTTGCGCCTGTGGAATAACAAAATCGCTGCCATTGCTGATACCGACTCACCCTTTCCAACCCTCCACGAATGCGACGAGGGCGTGAGGGTGTAAATTGTGGCATTTACAAAAATGGATGAAATGGGGAATATTTTCCGCTTCAATTAATTTACAATGCGCCAAAAGAACAAGCTTCACGGCACTCGAATGAAATGCTCGGCGGAGCGGCAAAGAAGTGATAAATGCACTGTTCTAGCAATGAACTGTGAGTTTAATTCAGGTGACCAAACCATTCAAGTATACTTCATTAGGCGCTCCACGCCGAGTGTCCTCCCTTCATTTATTGGAGAATTCGTGAAGTTTTCGATTTTAATCTTCTTAGGGAAAATTAATTTTCAACTTTGCAAAATGGATTCGAACAAAAAGTGCCAACTTTTGTGAATTTTCCACAAATAAATGGCTGCAAATTTCACTTAAAATTGAGGAGTGTTAAGAAATTCAAGGCGATTTCACATTGTGACAGAAGCGAAATTTGCCAGAATTATTAAAAAATCGACGGAATCTGGAATAATTTCTTGCTGTGTGTAAAATTTAGATCAGCGACAAGTTGTGGTTGATTTGGCGCTAAACACAGTCAGGAGTTATTCTTCTTTGTCGACACTAGCGACAATTTTGCTCCGTGTGCGGCTTTCAGCTGTCACTTGATTTGTTTATTTCGTCTAGATTTTGTCAAAAAGCGTAAAAATTCACATTGCAACTACGAAAAAGGAAGATTCACAGAAGAATTTAATGATTTTAAGAGCCCGCACGAAATCATACGCAAAATATCCGCCATTTTGTGCATTTTGAGCTGTCAAATGATTCTGCAAATTTCTGTCGATCGCGCTGTCGTCGGAAACCCTAAACATATAGGGTGTAACACATTCTTAACATTTCTCATTTTAATGGGAATCGCTTCAAAAGCTAAGAATCGTTTACAATTCTTAGTAAATTACTTTTCTAAATTTATTTGACTTGTTATCTTAATTTTCTTCATATTGTAAGGTGAAGAATCCCCTTTCTGGCACCATTCTAATTATGGTCTCATTAAATATGTGTGTATATTAATGGATTTTGGATCAAAGAAAGTGAAATCATAGAAATTCGGTCATTGAAATTGCCTGATTATCATACTCAACGAACTCTAGATTCATCCATATTCTCATATTTCATCATATTCTCATGGATGTTGAGGTAATTCATGTACTTTTCTTGACTCTGGCCAATCAATTACGACGATTCAGTGGTTGCGGAGGAAAAAGAAAACATCTTTTTGAGTTGAGAAATCCCTCTGAATTGACTCTCCTTACATTCAATTCAGGCGTCCTTAAAAATAAATTCCGCATTGAGACGGAGCCCTCAATGGCATGCCATCAATAGGATTAATATATTTTTTATGCTGCGCAAACAAGCTTAATCAAATTTAGACTTCGCCTCACTCGATGCCACTGGAGGCGGAGGTCTTTCATATGAGATTACATGGGTGGAATCTCAAGCATTCCCTTGCAGGGCAGCTCTAATTAGGGGGCATTTGCAGTACATCTTCTCTTGTGGAAAATAATGTTGTCATAACGAACTCATCACCGTCAATTTATGGCTTTGGGAAGATGGCAGATCACAATGAGGAGTGAGAGAGTGAGCTTTTTGGGGGGTGGTTTTCGTTTTGGGACACGCGCGTGGGTAGTTTGGGTTGAATAACAATAAAGGCACTTGGGCTTGTTTACGTGTAATCCATTTCCCGTGAAATCCCATTAATTTGAAATGATTGATTGCATATTTTTGGTGTATCAATCCACATATGGTTTTGCTGGAAAATCTACTCGCTTGTTTCACTCAATTTGCAATTAATTCGCCTCTTCCATCTCTATTAAATGCCATGCTTTTGTGTCTCTGTTTTTTTTCCACAGATGAAAATGAGAAAAAGCAAAAGCTCGTCTCATGGTCGCTTTTTCCTCCCCCAGAAGCTTCAGCACACGAATAGTTCAGCCAGACTCTATTAACTATTAAATACAATGTGTCAAGAGATCAAGTTGTGAATTGTTGGACGGGGAGATAAAATATGAAAAATGCTCCACACCAGGCGAATCCGTGAAGGGTGGAAATATGTGTGTGTGTGTGTGTGTGTGGGCAAAAGTTTATTTGCCAAGAAGCTCAGGGGGGTGGGGAAAAAGCTGTGGCGGGTGTGTGTGGCGTGGGGTGAGATAAAGGCGAGGGTGTAAAAAGACGGGAAAAGTAATTTACCGATATTGATTCTTTGCCGGCCCCTTGAGACGTGGCCGGGTCGAGCTTCTTCCAGCCATCGAGAAAGTCCCTCACATAGCGCCTCGTCGTGTCCACAATTCGGAAGCCAGTTATGTTGATGGCACCATATTCTATCACTTCGGTCTCCCATCTATCATCCATGATCTGTGAATTACAATAAATTACAATTTTACTTAAAATATCCGCTCACATGTCCTTTTTCAGTTGGCGTAATGGGAGCACATTTTGCTCGGTTTTACAGTGACAATTTCGGTTGGGTTCCAATTTCCATATCTTCACCAAAGTCTCTCCCCCCCCCGAGAGTCCAATTTCGGAAGATTTGTATCTCTAAATTTGAAACACTGAGAGGAAAAGTCATGGAGCGGGAATTGAGTGTGCTCGTAAAAGTCGGGGAGGACAAGAGACAATTCTTATGAGGAATCGAAAGGAATTTTCTCCAGTAAAGGCTTCAATTGGGATTCCATGAAGAGTAACCCAAGATTTCTCTCAAAATTACATTGAAATACAGTCAAAGAAATTCCCAACTTAAGCGATATTTAGCACTGAAGGTCGCTGAGAAGGATTCGTATATATATATATATATAATATTCCACCCAATGTTTCACACTGAATTGAATTTATTATTCTTTCGGTATAAAGGCGATAATACATTTAAAGATTTGTCCGAAAATAAGAGGATCAAAATGTGGGGGAAATGAAGAAAGTTTCCGTGCCCCGGAAAAATTGTGTGTCGCTGAGAAGTTTACCGTGCCACGGGAAAGTTCACCTCATGAAAAATCACTTATATTGTGCAAATTATGTCCTTGCGAGGTGTCTCTGAATATCAATTGAATAGAGAACGAAATGTCCTCGGGCGGTGTGTGAAAAATGCAGGATTATTCAAACGAGGAGACCCTCTAAAGAATTTACGGGACGAGAGTGATCATTAATTCCTAGAATTTCACTCTCGTGGCGGGAGAAAATCTCCAAAGTTCACGAGATTTCTCGGATTGAGCCTCTCTTCAGGAAGGATTTTATACGCTGCTCAGTGGACGGATGGGGAGAAGATGGAAACTTGAGGGGTTTGCGTAACATGATTTTCTGTCCACGAGCCCGTGTCCTGCGGGAGTGGGCGGGACGAGGAGTGTGGGCGGGCGACGGGAAAGTGGGGCGAAAAGGGTGACTGAAATGGATATAAAAGGCACACAATTTATGACGGATGGAAAATAAAATACTTACAAGACCACTCAGCAAGTAGTGATAAGTTCTACGGCCGAGCGAAATGTCTCTAACGTGATTCACGATAATCTCCTTAGCCATATCAGTTGAGCAATCGAGAACGATGTACTTTCTCGACCAGCGGTCAACATTCTCCAGCACTCGCAGGAATTCTATCGCTTCGCTGGCGTTCGATATGCGTTTTACAGTTTCCACTTGAAATGTTTGATTGCCCGGCTGGAGGCCCTGGTAGATTTGCTGGAGTCGTAAAAGTCCTGCAACGACAACGACGGCGGGGGAGGGTGAGAAAAGGTCGTGGGATTTGTCCTTTCCAACATCTTCATTCTTCACGTGCCCCACCCATTGGCCGCCCACTCTCATTTTTCACACAAAAAACTCATATCAAGAGAGATTATGTGCGAGTTAGCATTATAATCTCCGAGACTCAAGTGAGAGTATTAAGGGATGCGGACGGAGGGCGTTCATCTGACCAGGCGAGGCACTAAATGCCACTTTTATTCACTAAATTTATTGTGGAAAAAAAGCACCGCTCTTTTCTGCAAGTATTTCACCCTGAAGTGCTTCTCATGGCGAAATTCTCTCCCGCTTCTTATGTTGTTCTTCAATTTTTGCGCACTTTTATTGAATTCTTCTGCACTGTTTTATTCCTGTTTTGCTTGAATTTCTTGAAATTTCAAGCAAGGAGGAAAATTATTCGCAATTTAAGACAACTAAATTTGTGAATACTCTATATTTATTGTTAATTTCATCAAAATATATTAGAATTATTTGATTTTTTTTCGGAATATTTTATCAAAATTGAAATATTCGACTATTTTCTCCATATATTGCCGCCAGAGGGCAGCAATTTCAACTTTAAAGGCAAGTTCAAATCCAGTTTCTGGTAGATTTTGTGACTTTTTGCTATTTAATTTATATAAAATATTTAAATATAGTGAAATTTATTTAAATATTTTGACAAAAATATACAATTTTTATCAATTTTGCAAATTTACTTAGTAAATAATCATGTTTGAATAATTTTATTTGTGATTTTTTAAAATATATTGAAAATATAAAATATAATAAAATTTATTTAAATATTTTGCTAAAATAATCAATTTTAATCAATTGTGCAATTTTACCTAGAAAATAGTCATTTTTTATTATTTTTCTCAAATTATGATTTTTAATTAAACGGAGAAACTTCAATTAAAAACGAATTTTAAAGTTTAGTGATTCTAATCGTGTGTTTTCAGTTACATTTCAGTTTTCTCGGTATAAAAATCAGTTTTGTCAGTAAAATTGATAGTAAAAATTAATATTTTTACAGTTTTGTCAGTAAATAAGTAATTTTGGTCATTAAACTGTCGAATCCTCCAAACTGACCAAAAGAATTATTTACTGCATTTTATACTTACCATTCTAAATATTTAACTGACCAAAACAAGTCTTGATTTGAATGTTTTCAGTCAATGGAAAAAACGTTGACTTTGTTTATTCAACGTAAGAATTCGGGCAAAATCGTAAAACCAAAGACGAGATTTAAGGTTAAGTGACTGTGTGTAAATTGGGTAATATTTTTTATGAGTGAAGTTATATTACATGGAGTAATAAAATATATCATATTTTATCATATATATGGCAATCGTAAATGTGTGTGTTTTTCTTATGTATCTTTTCAAATAAATCTTTCTCCGCCAAACTGACCACAATTACCCTAAATTCTATCATTTCCATCAGCACTACGGTTTGTAAATCTTCGGTGGGATGAAAAACCCCCTTTAATACATACAATCGCTTACCATCGTGCGAGTCGTACACGTAGATGATTTTCCGCCATCCGTAGAAGCGGATCGTGTCGATGATGGCTTCGTGGTAATTGGGCCGCATGCTCACGGCGAAATCCAGGAAGCCCGACGACGGACTCTGGACCTGCAAAAAGGGGCAATTTTTCACTTACGCCCAAACATGTTGGCGACCCTGAAACGCGAGGTGTGCGGAATTCAATTTCGCCGCGCGATACAGATGGATCAAAAGGGTGATTTTCGCGCTGGCATAAATCACTCGCGGTTAGCAAAATGCCGCAACATGAGAAGTTGATGGCATTCCGTCGCTCTCATTTTTCATCCCCCGCGACCAAGCCAAGGGGAAGTGGCTGATTATTATCCCACCCCCTCTCAAATTTTTACCCTAATTCATCCTCTTGCATTATGCTCTTAAGATTTTCATGGGAGAAAAAATTTATAAAATATAAATTCCCAAATTCATCCCAGAGTTTATTGCATGTGAAGTTAATCATGAAATTGCCAAATCTCGTCACTTTCGGCCTAATGAAGTGCAACACTATAAATTTGAGGGAAATTGTCTTTCATTCTATTTTCCAACTGATTTCCTCCAAATTGCCAATTATCCATCGCAGACCGTAAAGAAATCAGCAGCAAAATTTAACTACACAGCAATTTCTCTTCTCGAAAAAAAAAATCTTATTAAAGTCATAAAATTAAATGTCTTAAGATATCCGCGATAAGCGCAGGCAAAAGCAACTTATTCTTTACCATAAAATTAATGAGTAAAACGAACATGGGGTGTTAAAATGAGGTTAAAAGCTGCGGTGTACTTTTTTCTCGCCTCCTCGAGCGTCACAGCTGATGTTAATGGGCGAGTGTGTGTCTTAAAGTTGAACTTTGTGTGTTACAATTTCCTCAGCTTATGCACTTTTGCCCTGAATTAATGTGGAACTTCGCCACAGATGACATGGCGAAGCATTTAAAATTTAAAGCACTCTAATGAAACGTCTCTAATACGTCATTAGAAAAGGGGGTTTTCAATCGTTGTGCGAAAGCGACCCTATTGTAAATAAGTAATGCTAGAACCTCTTATGCTGTCTGGTTAAACATTAAAATTTCAGTGGATAATATTTAACATCTAGAGAGTCCTGAGCAAAGAAGATTTGTCTTTGTTTGGGGAATATTTTGTCGAGGAGAAGAAGAATGGCTGGAAAAAAGGGAGATTTTCATTGTTGAATTAATTCTCCTGTTTCGAGAAGGGGGAGAGGGGGTGGGAAAATGTATAGGCTTTTGTCGTTTGCGCCCAGTGTTTATTGTTCTATCATTTTGCCCCGCAGCCCAGAGACAAATGGAAATTTAATAAACTGGAGAAATGTTGCTACAAAAACTCACACAGAGTTTCACTTCACAAAAGTACTTCGTTGCTTTCTTTCATCATATGTAATATTTTCCGCTCTACACATTTCCGCCCCCTTTCCACAATGCCTTCATGCATTGTAATTGTATTCTGAACTAGGTTATATGGATACACAGGAGGCAGAGAAAATCTCTCAAGGAGGAATCAATTCTCGAGAAATGTGGTGAATTCTTTGAACTCATCGAGAATAAGCTTTTCTTCAGACTATCTCAACACGATTTTTAACAATGAATCCTATTTAGAGGGACAAGAAGAACAAAGAAAAACCACCGGGAAGATTGAGAGCACAGAAAATATATCCTTTCTTCCATTTGTGAATTGGATTATTTATCCCAATGACGCCAAGATCGATGGTTTCATGATAGGAATTGAAATTTTATGCTGCCAAACTATTAATTCTCAGTGCTTTGAGTGATTATTCAAATTATGTTTTTCTTTAGTCGGTGTTTAAACGTTTTCAGAGCATTGAAATCAGCAAACTTTACTACAAAAATGTATCGAAAACTTTCCCATTTTCACCATTGATGTTAAACTTATGCATTGAAATTTAGTTTATTTCTAATCGAAACGTGCTTTATTAGTGTTCAAATATTGATTGGAGAGTTTATAGTAATTGGAATAATTATTTAGAGACTCAAGTGAAGATGACAGGACACAAGATTCTAAACTAAATCACCAAATAAGACAATTTGCAGCCTAGGGATTGCTAAAGGGTTAATTTTCAGTGCATTTTGCAGTTGTTCTCTATAAAAAAACAGATATTTTATCATTCTTATAATGTTTAAAGACTAAAAAAAAATTTTCTCAGCTGAAAAGCTTGCAAGCATCAATTATTGGACAATATTACTTTAATATTTGATCTTAAGTCGAATATTTTCGGATTTACTCAAGGTTTTACGATAAAAACAACTGTGAACCTGGAAAACCTTCTGATTATTAATATTGTTGACGAAAATCTGTAATCAAGAGTAGAGAAAAACCGTAAACTGTTCTTTAATCGTTCAATATCCTTCCTAAACTTCACCTCAAATTCCTTCTCTTCTCTTATAGACTTTGGAAATGTTCTCAAAACTGGGTTGAAATGATTCTCTCAACGCTCTAAAATCCATCTTAAGACCTAAAGCATCTCTCGAAGAGACAATTTGATACCTAAAATATGTTTTTCTCCTTCATTTTCCACTTTTTTTTTATTCTAAATCCCACACAGAATCTTCGACTGTGTCATTTTGGGCATATTTTCTAAGATCTAAATCCTGAACGGAGCTTTCTTGATGCCTCAGCATCAGCAAAATCTGTATTAGCAACCCCTCGGTTTTCATCCCTTTAGACACACGTAATTGTCCCGTGAAAGTCCACGTGTGTGTGTTGGAGTGTCAGCGGAAACTGAGATTTTTATTGATACATCCGACAGGAATTGATTGCAGAGCGATTACATAAGTTTTGTCACATTGCCAAGCGGAGTTGAGTTGATAAACAGCACAAATTTACGACACTCCGAAACGGAAGTGCCTCGAGTTGTTTTAATTGTCGCCCAGAGTATTTTTCCGCCCCACCCCCGCCGCTTGGCGCTGTGGAGGTGAAAATGCCTCGGTGGGTGGGCCAAGGAAGGGGTGGTGCGAATGACAAGAGAAAGCTGTAATGTCGTGACTTGAAGTGCTCGATGGCATAATTCTATTACCAGGGGCTTTTCACGCATACACCGCGGGTGGAAATTTATCATAAAAGCACCCCCGAAGATGATTTTCATCGTAAAATCTGCGAAGCATTGAGTGCCGAAGGGTGAGCTCCTTGTGTGTGTATTGGATGGAAAATTCTATCCATTAAAATAACATTCAACTTTCTTTCGCCTTATTATGTGTCATACAATCTCGATGGCAACTCATCCGTAACACAACAACATCATCAATCTTGGCCCATTATTAATTTGTTCCCATCGAATAATCACATCATGTTTTGTCCGAAAATTGTTAAGTACACACCCTCCTTCGGCGTGGTAGTTTTCCTCGTGGTTCCCTTTTTCAATGAACCACGATATCTGGGCGCGACTCATTAAATTTTCATTATCAACACCCTCTTCAGCGGCCACTCTCCTTTCGCCATTCTATCCACAAAACATTAAATAAAACTCCACGCCAAGTGGGCTGGCGCGATTCCACCGGCATTGCGCCTAAAAGGACATGGAATGGGTGCGCGGCGAAAAAAAATGGTGAAATATCAGAAAAGTTGTGTGATAAATGACGTTATTAAATAATGCGATGAAGCGCGATGGCATGAGATCTAATGAAAATTCACAGCCACCCTCGCGGTCTCTCACCTTCTCTGGGAACCAGGGTGTGATGAATGGCATCTGGAATGTGTTGCAGTACGAGTGCAGGGTGTCGAAGGAGTCCGGTGACACGGCGCCCAGCATCGAGAAGACGCCCCGCGAGAATTGGTTGCAGACTGCAAAGGAAGAAGAAAAAGTTCATCTTTATTTAATTTCACAGCGAAAAGGCGCTCAAGACAAATGGCAAAAACTTTACACTCTCAATTGTTATGCGCGAGGAAAAAAAAGAGGGGGTTTGAAAAGCGTCCAGTGACTTTTTGGCATGTCATTCCGGAGGTTCTTAAATTCCATTTCATACGAAATGCATTGAAATTTTTTCTGACACTCGACAGTTTTGCTTTAATCCACAATCATTTATCACGGCTTTCATTCGCCCCAGAGTGTCCGCAAGTGGCTGAAGCTCTATGAAAATTTACTGCTAAAATTTAAGTACAAAGGATGTTCTTTTAATCACGAAAGTTTCACGTGAAAACTCCGCGCAAAATGCTAATGAGAATTTGAGAAGAGTTTCAAGCGTATTTCATATGAAATCACTGAACATTTTCTATAAATTTTCGTGTTTCACATAAATCAAGGGGGAGATAATCTGATCAGAAGTGGTGTACAGCTTAGCCAGATGTATTAGGAAGAGGATGTGGTTAAATTGAGCAATTTCAATTCATTATTTTACTCTTAGGATTCATTTTTACTATTTAGATCGTCATTTTGATATATTTTTCTAGGTTATGTGACTTTTATGTGAAGTAAGAAATATTTCACATAAATTGTAATTATTTACATTTATTAATAGAATTTTTCTTTTAAACTCAATGAAAATCATGATTTTAGAAGCTGAGTTGTTAAAAACAGCGCTAAAGTAAAACATAACCTCAATTTCTTACCTATTATCTGTCATTCTAAGCTAGAAAGAATCGAACTAAGATCAAAAAGGCAGTAAAAGGATGAAAATTTTTAAATATAAGTTGTATTTCTGTTAGTTTCCAGTTAATTTCCAGTTAATTTTCAGGGGATAAAACCAAAATTGGTAGTATAATTTGCAGAATATTGTTGATTTTGACTTTATTCGTCGTTTTATCTCCCCCTTGATAGAACTAAAAACAATTCGGAAGTAAGTTTTGATCCTGTTTAGCCAAATTGTGTTGTGGTTTTTGTGCAAAGTTAGCAAATTTAGCGTGAAAAGGATTTTTATTAGTGAATATTATTATAATCTTGCTTTTATACAATTAGCAATTATACAATTTCGCTTGTTCGCATGCTTTTTTGTTTTCAATTGGGAGGAATTTTCTCATTACAAATATAATCCAGCAGTAAAGTGAGTGGATATCCAGCAATAAGAGGTGGATTTGTGTCGCTTGGAGCTACAGAGAAATGTTGAGAAAAATGTTGCACAGCAGAAATGACATGGCGAGGCGAAAATCTTCGAGGATTCCGATTTTCTTTTCCACCCCGGCAAAATTGTATTTTGCAGAAGGCAAAAAACCCTCCCAGTTTCGCTCACCCGTGATAGTGTTTGACTTACAACACTGTGTGATAGTTGCGAGATGAGATTGAGAATGGAGCAAAATAATTTATCTTTTTCTCCCTTGCGCGCTTCTCTTGCCATTTTCTTTAGGGGAGTTCCTCGGCCCGAGGAATGCCTTTTGGAAGATGGGGCGCGCAGTATTTCGTCTGAGATTGTGACCCATTTAAATTAAAGGGCCGCCCAGTGGGTGGGCTTTTGGGGAGAGGACAACGACCAGAAAAAGTGCCATGAAACTTGCCAAAAGCTCAACAGCACAGAATATTATACAATACAATGGAGGAAGCAGACATAATTTAATCTCTTGAATAAATATTCACAACAAATTTCAAAATGGGTCCTCTCGTCTAATTACCAACAATTAGGGGGTCAATTTCATTCATTTGCTAAAGTTGCAGAGGCGCTGAGGGAAACTTTTTCCCAGCACAAACTGCCAAGTGGGAAACCATTCATTGTTTCTTGCTCAATTTCCTCACCCACACACACAAATATTGTTGGGCTTTTGAGCACTTTGCAAATATAAATCATAAAATTGATTAACAATTTCTCAATGCGCACGGGTGTGTTTCTTCATTTCCAATTTATTGTTTTTGCAGCGAGGAATCCAATTAAAAATTCCATACAAAATTGCGCGAATGGTGAGAGCGGAAATGGTATTTCGTCTGGGAATTGCAGTGTTTTTGCTCAGCGTTCTTCAATATAATTTGTTGGATGATGAATTGGGGATCGATACTTTCCGTGGCTTTTTCCACCCCCTCATAAATTAAGGGAGTTTTCGTTTGGGAAATTTCAGTGGATTAACATTTCAAATTTAATTCAAACCACTCGTTTTTTTTGTGCTCCTGCTGAAGCCTTAAATAAAATTCTCCATCGCCTGACATGTAACATATTGTGCCCGGCGAGCAAATCCGCCTTTAATTATTCCGACAACGCCTACAAACTTTCTCTCATCTGGCGTCGTCCCAGAGCTTCTTCGCTGTCCCCCGAAGCACCCCTGAGAGACACCCGGCAAGGAGAGTCATGCAAGTCAATAGATGGGGAAAAAAAGAAGGATTTGATGGCAGATAATGCTCAAAGTTTCTCTTCCAAGAAGGATCTGAGATGGAGTTTTTTTTTCTATGTCTCTCCAACGTGCTAGTGTAATTGATTCTCTCCATAAAGAGACATCCTTTCTGGCAATCACACAAACTCCTTGCGCGCAATAATTCCACGCCGTGCATTACAGATGCAACCAGTACTCATTAAATTTCCCATTGCAAAAGGAGAGGAGCGCGAAGAGACGCGGAAGCAATTAAAAAAGTACAAATAGCTGAAATGGGGACATTATAAAATTGTTCCGCGAAAAAGCGAGCTCCTCTTTCAAGACACTCAATTGCAATCTTCGTGAAGAGTAATGACGAAAACGCGTTTACCAGGACTTTTTTTTCTTTCTCCAACGGCAGAAGCAGAGGAGAAATCTGCAAAAACTTTTCAAATAAATTCCCCAAGGGAGCCCAAGAAGGAAAGGATCGCAATCATTTTAAGTATTCTAATTTATTTCTCCACTTTCATCCCAAAAAAGCTGCCATTTGAAATTAATACATTGAACTCAATTTTGACGTTCATGCGCAGGTGGAAAGAAAGGCACTTAGAGAACTTCCACGCGAATTGAGGTATTTCCACCCAGGAAAAATGACTGGGAAAAAATGAGAATTACATCTGCTGGAAATTCCAGACCATCTCAGAATATCCCAGCACACGAAGTCTAAAGGCTCTTGTGCTGACGCATAATGACGCAATCTCGTTGGTTTCCTGAAATGTGATCTTAATTGGAAATTCGAGATGTGAAATTGTGATACATTGTTTGATAAACACGAACCGTAAATCAATTTATTTACATATTTAATACCACCTCTGATTGGTTGTATTCAATTGTTCCAATTTTATGAAATTGCCATGTTAACCCTACGTGGAAATTTCCCTAATTAATTTGTCACTCCATACAAATTCCCGCGATGCTCGTGACACAAAAATGGACATAAAGTTTTATTGCGTTCGATTTTAATACAATTGTCATTGATTAATGTGACTCGCGGGCGAGTTGAAATCAGATTAAAATGCACAGTGAAAGATTTTCATGTTTTAACATGAAAAATGGCACTAATTGGAGTCCATCGAACAGTTTTTTTTTTGCCCCTCAATATTCACCAAAATGCCGCAGAGAATCAAAAATTTCCACTGCTGGTTTTTCCTTCTTGCTCCACTTTTGTCACTAAAAGCCACCCCCTCACAGAATACCCACAATAAATATTCTCCCGACACGCCATTCTAAATTATTTACTATTCTTTTGCATTTTAATTAATTGGAGAACGTGTTTTGCACTTTACTACCAAAATATTTGCATAACTTTGCACGCTTGAATTAGGCGAAGGGGAGATAATTTGTCTTAAATTTGTACACCACTTTCTGACACTTTCTTAGCCTCTGTGCAGAATCTTGAACACTTCAGACACTTCTGAACGCCTTTACAGACATTTTCCATCGCTTTTTAGACTCCTTTTCCGTCTCAAGAAGCTTAAGCTCTTCAAAAGTTTAGATTAAAGATTGTAAGAAATGATTTTAATGTCTATACTAACCATTTTAAATCTGGAAAATGGATATATATTGCGAATATCTCAATGTTTCTACAAGAAATTGAGGTTGAATTTGCCAGTTTAATGCACAAACCGCGGGAAACACTAATCAAAGAGACATTTTACTACGCTGAAATGATATTTTGTGAGGTTATGATTGATTTGAAAGCTTTTTCTTAATCAATATGAAGCTTTTTCGCAACAAAATGCTCAACTCTGCTCAGAAAAAGAGAAATATTCTTAGCTTGAACACAAAATTTGATGATTTTGAGTGTTTTTAATCACCACAGAATCTGTCTAAAATCAAGAACATAACCTAGAAAAGCAAGAAAAGTGATATTTTTATGCAAAATAATATAGAAAATGCCTCAATTTGTTGCTAACTCTTCCTTGAAAGCTGTACACCACTTTTAATCGTGATATCTGCCCCTTTGAATTAAGTTTCAACAGGGGGAGAATGAGTGAAAAACTACTCTTGCTGATGTTCTGCATAGTTAAACTCTTGTCTTAGCAAATTGAGATCAAGGGATATTTGCTGGTTTGTAATTATTTATTATTTGCTCCAGTCTGTGGAAATCCAGCTCAACTCTGTGTGTAATCAAATAAAGCGACATCAAACTCCCTAATAACGCCACAGCGTTGGCGCAACCCTGACAGAGGGTGAAATGGACAAAAAGATACAGACACAACACGATGCATTTAATGAATTATGGAAATATTCTGTACAGAATTCTGCTGGGCGGACTTTTTTTTTTATTCTCTCTCTCTCACTTTGCTGGCGGAATTTTATGGAAATGTTTTACATCTTGTTCGCTGCAATGCAAAAATATCGCACACTTTTTTCCGCCGTCGCCCCTTCTTTTTGGCCCACGGACTCTAAACGACTGAGGAAATACACCCGTGGCAGAAGACGGGCATTGCAGAAAGTTTTCACCACCCCCAAAAAGTTGCTCCTGTATCTCCTTGTGTCTCGGGGTGTGTGTT